TAATTTAAAAATTTAATTACTTTAATAATATTAAGATTTAATAATGCTTAAGTCTAAAAAATTATATAACATGCTTTAAAAAAAATACATTCTAGTTTATTACTTATAAGTAGTATAAAGTAGATCTTAAGTGTAAGATAAGTAAAAAAAGGCTACTAAGATTATTATATATTATTCTGCTACTATTTTAACACATTTTTAACTCTTTTTATTGCTAGCTTTTCTGTATACTCTGCCTACTTATCTAGATTCTCTACTAAAGCCTAATTACTAAGAATTTGCTTAGTTATAGCTTTAATTAAATAATTTTAGACTTTAAAAATAATCTATGCTGTTATATAATAAGTAGCTTATTATCTTTTTTACTCTTACACTTTACTTTAAAGAGGTGTTAATAATAAATTTTAATATTTAGATTAAAAATTAAGCTAGAATTATTTTAGCTAAGCTTTTTATACTTTTTAGTTTTTAGTAAAGAACTCTAAGGCAAGCATTACTTTATTAGCCTAGTTTATATAATAATAAAAATGCAAAACTATTATAATTTAGTAAAAAAGATACTTTTAAAGTAAGTCCTACTATTTTTACTATGCTATAAGTGCTTAAGTAGCTTATATAATATAATCTTTATTAAATTATATATATATTTTTTTATGTTTTACTAGGAAAGCTATTATGTAAGTCTATAAGATCTATAAAGAAAAAAGAGCCTGTCTAAGGCATTTTACATCTTTTTTATTTTAGAGAATTACATTCTTAAAAATTTATAAAAATGTTTTTATTATATAAAGCATTTTCTAATCTTTTATCTTTAAAGTATTATGTTTAAGATTAGGTTAGTTTTTAATATAAAAATTTATATACATTTTAAGCTTAATTACTATATTAATTATATAATACTAGCTGTTCTATCTTATATAATTATCTAAGAGTATTATCTGTTTAGCTTATAAAATAAACTTATTTATATAAAGCCCTAAACTATAAATATAGACTATAATGTTATAAAGTTTACTAAGAGAACTAATAGCTCTAATTATATTTTATTATATAAAATTAAAGAGTAATTTATTTACCTTTTTAAAGTCTACAGCTTTAAAATTTTTAAGATAACTTTTATATAAACTTAAAAATAAAAATGCTTATATAATAAAATTAATAATATAACTAAAATAGTAAACTTTTTTATTTTTAAAATTTTAATATAGATTAAGTTTATTAGAATACTACTTACTAATTATATAATAAAAAGTGTTATTAGTGCTAGTATTATCTTTAATAACTGCTTTTAGATTTCTAGTAATCTTATACTTTTTAAGTACTATATAAAGTATAGAGAACTGTTCTTTACTAGAATAGCCTAAAACTAGTTATAAAGTAAAAAGGTGTTTAGTAATAGTATTATCTAAGCTTTATATAAAGTGTTTAGTAATTATAATAAATAAAATTTAGTTTAAAAAAGTCTAAAGATTAAGCATAATATTAATTTTTAAAGTTACTATTTAAATCTTACGCTAAAAAATAAGCTTCTTTTTATACTAATAGCTTTAAATTACTATATAAATAGTAAAGTGTAAAACTAAAATAGCCTTTCTAGTAATAGAATTTAATGCTTATATAAAAGCTTAAAAGAATAATAATTTAATAACTAAAAAAGTAAAATGCTGTTAAATAATTAGTTATATAAAAACCTTTTAAATAATATTTTTATCTAGATAGGCTCTAAACACAGCATTCTATATATCTTCTTTTATGTAAGGTTCTGCGCAGTTTTATAGCTCTTAGAGTTTAATAGCACTTGCTTATTATATAAAAGAAAAAGTACCCTTTACTAAAACTTAGTAGTTAGATTTTAAGTGCTTTTAAAAGTTTATAATAACTTTTAAAGTGTAGTTATAATTATAAAAATTATAGTATTAAAGAAGATAGCTATTTTGTTTAGTAAGTTTATTAGACATTAGTAGTTATACAAAGTTTTTAATGTTACTGCCCTTATTTTTAGGCACTAGAGTTAAGCTTAATTTATAGAATTCTATTATATAAGACTTTTAAAGTTGTTTTATTAATAGGGAAGCAAATTTTTAGCTAAGACTATAAATTAATTTAAGGATCTAATCCAGATTCAGGATAGCGTGGATTCGGATCGATCCACGAATCAGATCGATCTATCGCCAGCACTGTGCTTCAATCGAATCGTACTACTCGTACAGATCACGTGAGGCGTAACAGTTACGATACGTACACCAACCTCTCATCCTCCCTGCCGTACAGGCACCAAAATCGCCCAGTCGTACAGCACTACGGCTCGTTGGAAGCGCTGGGATAGGTTCTATCATTAGACTAGCAAATTGCGTAAACTTTGCATTGTGAAATAAAATAAATTCGCTGTATTAACTTACCGTAAGATACTTACCTGAGGACCGCGAAATGCGACGAACTACTGAATGTGTTCGAAACTTTATCTCCCGGTACCAACTTGCATGACGAATTGGCCTCACGGCACACCACGTTGATGGCAGCTTCTTAGCACCGTAGTACAATTTCTCGACTTGGGTGAACCCCTTTCATAATTTTCAATACGCGATAAAAGGACGATGATGTCGTTGCGGTGAAGAACTCGGGCACGGCACCAACTGTTGCAAGTGGTAGAAGGTTGACCTTCTCCTATGCACAGCGGAAGAATATATAGCCGGAAGAAATGTACGTACGACATCAACGTGCACTTTGCGTAAATTGAGCTATAGGACCACCATACCTAGATTTTTAGTTAGGAAGGATTCTGAATATGAAGCACTATCTACAGGGCAAATTGAGCCTAGTTTTATTAAAACAAAAAACCAGAGACAATCTGTGCAAGCATTCAAAGATGCTTCAAAAGTCAAAGTACCAGAGTATTGGTTCGGCACACAAGGCGTTTCGTGAAATCGGGGAGAAGGTTAAAAGTGCCTACATTCAACGAGTGTTGGGGTGAGCTGTGTGCATACGGAAGGAGCGAGCAATTTTGTGACCCACACCGTCAACCAAACGGGTAGTCGCAGAGGAGACCAGACTTTGGAGACGTGAGAGTAAAACTCCCGGTTCGGGTGCATTTCAATGACAGATCCTTACACCTTCTATCCGGGATCTTGCATAGTTTCTTGATATGTAGTGGATGGGAGGACAAGCCAATGAAAAATGCAGAAGAATGCGTTCAGTTATATGCAGCATAAGAAATGACACCACCCTTTAAATTTCACGCATATCCGTGAGTAGATAGATCTTTCTCTGATCTTGTTAGCTCCCAAGGTTGATGTAAACATTGGAATAAGAGAGGTGTGAATACGGGTAAACCTCCGGGCCACGTGAAGCGGGCCTAACACAGTCGTCTTAGCAGACAAGGCGGTAGCCATCTGGGGCCCGTTCGAGATGTTTGAAAGCTCAGTATATTATCGATCTTAGAGCAGGATTTTCATCCAGTTATTCGCGGGCTTAGTCATCATATTTTCTCTTGATAACTCTCCGCGGGCCTTGAAACCTGCGTACATCCTGGAGTAGTGTCAGCAAACAAGATGGCAAAGCTCATGCGCGTAGTGCGCAGACAAAATAGCAAAAGAGAAAAGAATCGCCACGAAGTGGAACCCAGCTCGCAGATCAGGAAAAACGGAATATATTCACACTTGTACACATCTCGCGCAAAGAACCACCAATCTAGGCCACACACGCTGACACCATTCGCCTTTATATTGGCATAGTATTGTGTACGTTCAACGCTTCTCCTTGAAGCCCCCATACAAGGATAAACCATGAAAATGTGCAACACTTAAAAACTTTACGCCGACACCCAATCCCTGTGATGGAAACAAGGGACGGCCCGAGGCGAGCATATCCATCAAGATGTGCTCTAACTGACTCATAGGTACACTCCCAACGCTTCATTGTCCCCTGAGGAGATAGCTGTCAGCGGAGATAAGAACCTCAGCCAGTTTGGGAACCAGAAGCGCGGTAATTTCTGCCTAAAGCAATATTTTCGGCTCTGAGAAGATATGCGAGTACAGACCGACATGCACCTGAGGAGACCATAGAAAGAGGGGATGCGCGCAATAAAGATATTGATCTAGGCGAGCAGCGCGAAGCGAGGCGAGCAAAGACATCCTATTCAGCGAGTTAATGAGAGCCTAGATAGGAATAGTGAGGACAATTGCGTCGAAAAAGCGACAACCGGTGAGCGTTAGCGAGGCTGCAGAGCCGCTTCGCCAGTGGTTAGCTTGGCACTTAGGAGCAGAAATTGCAATCGAGATGAATTGTGATAAATAGCAAAAACTATTTGCGGGAAAATAGCAAAACAGGGGTATATCGAGTACGAGACATCAAACCTCCTTCCGACGAGGTCCGTCGGCCCAAACAAGCGGAGATATTGCGACAAGTACGCATCCATATTCCTTTTTTCCAAAGGCTTGAAAAACTCTAAAACACCGTAATCATGGTTCATACCAGTTATTCGTAATGGCAGTTCGTGGCCCGTGCTTTCTAATGCGGTCTAAGAACAGCCACGATGTAGGATCGAATTGTGGCCTAGGCCGACGCAGATGGGTACTTTTTCCGTGTGCTTTCTTTTGCGCCATCGCATGACGTGTTATTGAAATAAACCTCCGCCTCGCTTCTTGGTGGTCAATCGCGTTAGCAAACGCCGATTCAATTCCCATATTCCTTCAGGTTCAATCGGGTCCGTGGGGGCGTCGATGCATGGATAATTAATACGAAATGATGTGCCACTCCATCCATAAACCGAGTTCGCCGAGCCTCGAATGCACCTTCCTATTTCTCTTGGCGAGGAAGAGAGAAGTGCCCAGACTTTGCGACTCTCCCTAATGATCGAGCTGCGTATCCGGACGTCACTTCTCTGAGGTAGACTGTCTCTGGTTTGGTAGTTTGTCCATTTTTTCCCCTCCAATACTAGTGGTGGCTTGCTCGAGTCGAGCTGTGTATGTCGTATTCGGTCCAGTTGAAGGACGCTAATAGCCTCATCTGAACCAAAAGACAAGAGAGGAGCCATCTGTGCTAAGGATCCGCCTCCTAGTGTCACCGGGCATGGCTTGCTTCCGCCCAAAGGGGTCAGCGAGGAGCACAGATAGTTTCTCTGAAATTGGTCCCATTTCTTCTTTGGAGACCGGAATCGGAGGACTCAGTTGGGCCGGATTGGTAGACTGGAGAAGCGAGAATATGCTGGTTTTGGCCCTCCCCAACATTCGTTGGTGTATATCCCGGAGACTGTCGTACAAGGGCCACAGGATCTCCAAATATCGCTCTGCAACTGGTTCGTAGTTTCGGCATGGCTCCAGCATGTCGAGACAACCTTTGGCATATGTAAGATCTTCGTCAACCCCGTCAGGCTGCCCATCGAGGAGCCTGGTAGCTGCGGCAAAAAGTAGAACGATGCAGGCGGTAAAGGCCCAGTAACTGCCCATTCGCATCAGCATGCAGCTCTGTTAGTTGCCGTTTCATGAACTTACATAATCAGCCAACATCGCCTTGTGAAAGTGCCATCAAAAGAGATGAGACTCAAAATGCGTGCCATCTGTTGAGCGGCCATAGCACACTCATTTCTATACCTGGCCACTTCATCAACGCTTAGATCAAAGTTCCACAAAGCGCCATCAGTGAGTTGGGTCTGGGCTGCGGCAATAAGTAGTTGGCGATGGAGCAGCAAAACAGCGCCGAGATACATGATCTACATTGTCCGTCAGTTTTTCCATAGATTCAGAAGCTGGATGACTGCATACATGGACCATAAGAATAGCCCGCCTCTGGTACAACGTCAGCTCCGGAGGATTATCAGACGTCATAACTGATATTTGCAGCATTGTAGGGACTTCCATGCGCCAAACTTCCAACTTGCGATTGAGCATGTCAATGTTCTCGCGCGTGGCCAGCTCGGCCGATACCAAAGTCTTCGCAATTTCGGCCGCAATCAGGCCAATCTTACTAGTCTGGATGTGAATCAATTCGTCCATAGTTGCTATGTCGGGTTGCCGAGAGGTGCAAGCAACCTGGTGTCATTAGGTTTAAATTGTCGAAGTGGACATAATTGGTAGGCTTACAGCAATATCATCAGGAACCACCTCTGACACGTAGCCAAGGGTGTATGAGAGCCAAGAGTCCATGAAGATCAGGCTGCGGAAAATTCGCCTCCAGCTCTCGTTCGCCGTATCAAGAGCTGACTGTTGCGGTGGAGGGCACTTCCAACGAGCAATCTGTAAGCCGGCGGCTAACGGTAATTAGTTCGAGACCAGATCGACATCATAAATTTCCTATTGAGAACTCACCAACTAGGTACCTAGCACTCATGTGCTTCTCCAATAGGGCATAAAATGACATGGATAACAGCAGCCGCATAGTTCGCAGATAATCAATACGGGCCGTCTTCTCGTGGAAGTGGAGAGTTCCTGATGCATATAGCGCGCGTCTTATCCGATCCGGGAAACAATCAAGATCGTAGTGCGCGCCCATGGCCGCCACAGTGAAACATTCCGCAAACGTCATGGCATCCACTGGCTTCTCGGGTCTGTATATCCGATCGAGGATTTCATCTACTTGTGTGTAGGTCCACATATATAACAGCGATCCTGTACCCCGCACAAAGGCATACATGGCACGGCGTGTCAATTCTTCAGCTGGGAGATGTTGTTCGTCGTATGGGCGAACCCCTTGGCCTAAGATTTCGCCCCTCAATGATACCAACTCACTCAATGCAAGGGTGAGTGACCCATGGCAAAGCTCTGCTTCTGTCCTGGTCGAGCCAGAGGAAGGGATCGAAACCGGGCTATCGGATGAACTTGAACTGGCACGTGAGTACCCGTTACGCGCCAAGCTGTTAGCCACCATGCCATTCACACGTTTCCCGTTTTTCGCCTGTGCCTGTTGCGCTTTGAACTCTTCCAGGTAAGCATGGTACTTGCGCCAGAGATCCGTTTTCTTATATTCGTCCATCTGCGCCTCGTACTCTTGCATGGCTCGCGCCGCCTGGCTCTCCCACATGCGTTTCTTGTCAGCCGGCAGGTGTTGCCATCGCCGACCGACTTCTTTGGCGATGTCTACAAAGGAAAGGGAGCTAATTGCGGGATCGGTCCGCAGATGATCGGCAAAGTTCACGTCTACGCGCTTATTAGCGCCAAGGTATAGTTAAGGAAGGAGCATGTGACATACAAGCTGTCTTTGGTTTTTTGGGTGCATTGTTGTCTGGACGGGGGTGTCGCCGATACCTCCTTTTTTCTCTGCTGGGCGCACTCGTACTCCGTGACAGGGTCTCCAAAGCGGAGGTTGAGAGGGACGACGGGCCAGTCGAAGTGCCATCTGTTTCCAACGACAAAGAAGACGGAATTCCTCGAAAAGAGGCGATTTCACGCTGAAGCGTTCGTCGGTGGCCCAGCTTAAAATTTAGGGCGGTCAAGTCGTCTTCGGTAATGTCAAGCACAGTTTCCCAGGTGCTGAATCCGTTGTCGGTCAGAGTGCCGAGGTATTCGCTCAGGCCTAAGCGCTCAAGAGCCTCAGCGAGGCTGGGAGGGGTCACGTTGAGAGGCGAAGAGGGCGTATCGGCGCAGGGTGAGAACATGTTGACAACGGGAGCATGGGGATCTGAAGCTGGGACACTGGACATACTTGAGCAAGGCAGATGACAGGCTTGAAGACGGCATTCCTAAGTGGCGCATCCTGTGAGACTCGAGAGGGGGTAAGACCGTGAGCTCAGCCGGGGTCGGTGAGTCTGGCATCATGAGAGTGGTCTGATGTTGCAGGTGAAATGAAAAGGATAAGTCCGCGAGAGACGCCTTGGCATGGCGGGTGCAAAGGGGCCTAGAACGCGACAGTTTTGATTAAGCTTGCCGCTAGCCACAGAAGCCTTAGTCTCGCCAAGACGAAGCTTGTTTCCGCCGAGCACCATTGCACTCGTCTCACACTGGGCATCAGTCAGAGCACTGAGCGTTGCTCGCTTTCGGGTGACATGCCACTGGCCCCGAGGTGACTCTGAACCTTCTCCACCCTCCGCTCGCCAGCAGTTCGCTGGGGTGCTTTGGGCATCTTGATGAAACGTTCTTCCGCATTTCGCATCTGCCCGTGCGTGCCGGCGGCCCAAAAGCCCACTCACCAACTACTGGTCATCGGCTTCTACTTTGCCGTAATCTGCCTCTCCACCTTCCTTTTTGCCAGCTGCTTGGGGCATGTGGCCGAGACCAGGGCAGAACGCCGCTGTGGATGCAACAGCCGCAGTCGCAGCATGGGGGGACCAGGGTCTGTCCAGCCGCCAAGGCCCACGAGGCCTCCTTCCAAGCAGCTGGTCGAAGTGTAAACGTCACCGGCTCGCCGAGGGTGGTAGCACTCACCCGCTGGAGTGTCTTCTCGACCCTCAAATGAAATCAGCACTGGTCGACTGTTTTCCGCGGCTCTTGATCTGGAGGGCTGAAGCCTGCCTGGCCGGCCTCGCCAATCTCAGGGTGTGGCCCCTGTTGCAGGATCTCGTGTTCTCTCCATTTTGGTTTGCCTGCAATATCGTATCACTTTCTGCGAGTTTCTGATGCCCATCTGCAAAGCCTGACAGCTCGGAATCCCCCGATCAGACACTCCGGAATTTCTCTTTCCACGCTAGGGCATATGCGGTTGGTATGGGACTTCAGGAATCGCTCCGCCAATCTGCTCTCTGTTGTCTCCTTCGCGATGGGCGGCTTGGTTAAGCACTATTGGCTTCGCCATTTCCACTCTTGTCAGTTCTTGGCGCCCGCATTACCTTTCTTGCGCCCACGCTAGCTCCAGAAGGGCCTCAACTTGCTCAAGTGTCGAAGTGACATGCAATTGACAGGCGCATCGTCCCTAAGCCCCCTGACAGCTCGTTCGCTGCACTCTAGTGCGCTGCAATCTAGAGCTGGCCGTGTCCCGAATCACACCATGTTCCACCGCCATCACGATCCAAAGAGACCTCAAGGATTCGTCCTTCTTTCCAATGTCCCCAAACCGTGCCAAGTCCGCCGGACTACTGTGCATGTGAGGCCAACATCGATTCCTGATAGCTTACCGATTATCGGAGACCCTGAAATCGCGGGGGTTGGATAAGCTCGTGTCGAGAAAGCCTATCGGGTTGCTGCCATTTCTGCTGAGGGCCACTCTTTAGGAGTGACGTGTTCCAGAACCTTTCCGATGGAGAGGTAAAGGCTTGGGAGAAATTGTATTGGAGCCTTTAATTCGCATCACGCTCCCATCGGCTGAGGAAAATTCCATGGCACCTCTGCGATTATCGCCAGATAATCTCGCGTCTGCCAAGCCCTCCACTCTGATCGGTGGAAACCTCGGCATAGTTGTATTTCTTGTCACGTCAGCCCTATGAGCAGCCTCGTAGGTCTCGACGCATCCACCCGCGGAGATGCACCTTTCTACGCCTTGTGCAAGCCTTCTCGGAACTTGATCGCTGGTGGTTGCTTATGCATGATTTTACCATGTGCTGAAACACATGCTATCCAAGCGCTAGCGCTGCGCCTCTAAACGGAGGTATCTTTCGGCTAATGGCGGGCTAGGAAAACGAGAATTTAACAAAAATCCACCGCAAATTTCTCAATGCCTGTCAACTCGTACCGCTGTCTGGAACTGCGCTAAAAACGGAAACTCTCACGACGGAGTAGCTATAGGTGTCAGATCGAAATATCAGGATACCAGTGAAGGACAAAATACACCCCTACACCTTTGAGACTCTAAAAGAATACCACTACATCCTCGATGCTAGCAACCTCGGATTTTCGACCCAAATCGGTATCTAACTAGGAGTTTTCACAGGTGGGTGAGCAGGGCTTTCAAGTCGAGAGATCAGAAATCGAAGGGTGTGGCTCCTTCCAGAACCTGGGCCGTCATCTGAGGCCAACCATTTCCAAGGTTGTTCGTTTTGCGATACGCCCTTCGAAGCCCCCACAGGTCTTATATCAGTTGCTGAAGGCAGCAATTGAAACTTGCATACTCTAACGCCTTGATAACACATGCTTCCGGTTTCGCTTTGTCCGCGGAGGTAGCGGATCTACGAAACCACCAGGCTTGAGCCCATGTGGCCTCCCCCTCCATTGAAAACATGGGGAGCCCTTCGGCTACCTAATAGATCAATCATCGAGGTAGTTTTCGGTGTTTTTGGCATGTGCATCCACCGACCTCCGATCCCAAGACTTGGGACGGTGGGACCAACATCCGAGCTCCTTGACCCCGTAACTTTAATTACGCCTTTTCACGCCGAGGCTTTCTCAAGGTTTCCTCACATCAGTTCGCACAAGCGACCCTAATCCTCGTGAACCCATTCCCTATTTCGCGATACTTTCCTCGTTTTCAAGCCCGCTCGTGAACACATGTAACGCCGAAATCTCTGATTAATACCTTTCTGACAGCGCCATAAATACGATTGGCCTGGCGCAAACCGGTTCCAAGTCTGGATTTGACTTTTCATCCCGGCATTGCAGCTGAAACCAACTGAATTCGGTCCCGACGCCACATCTAAGTCGATTTAGGAAGTCGAGCTCTTTTAGGAAGAAATCTGATGACAATGTAACCCATTCATATAAACCGTTTTCGGGGCGTTTGGCGTGCGGATTGTCATCTCAGGCAGAAATTCAGCCTCATCGCCGACCAAAATGCCATGCTCAACATATCCCTGTATTCAACGACCCCTGGGCCCATTCACCGACATTTCTCTGGCCGCATCCCTGTACCCCGCGAATCTGGGTATTGCATGAAGAATGTAATCGAAGGATACGACGTTGAGAGATGCGGTATCGAAGCGCGTTGCATGCCGTAACATCAAAGTAAGACAGACTTGTTGCCAGCAAGGATTCGTCTTGTGGAAGGCCTGACTTCGCCGTTTACGCGAAACGTCATCTACTGACGCAGAGATTGCTTTAGGCAAGCATCTCCCTCCGGCCTGGCTTTCTAGAAGCACTCCCGAACAAGCTCTCCGGAATCCGCATACCGAGCCGCAGGCACCAGGAACAATAGTGACAATCAATCCTGCAGACCCCACAATATCTCAGAGACCCCTCAGCTGATCCTCACACGGCGAGCGGGTCCCGGAGAGTTTTGCTCACTCGCGCCAACGAACCAGCCCCCGGACGAAAAAAAATGCGATTTCGATTGGTTCACGAATACGATTATTACCCCATAAGGCAAAGTGGATTCCCATACTAACGCATCCGCATTCTTCGTTTGCAAAAAAGTGAAGGATCCTAGTATGTGAAAAACTCTGACGTGGTCGGCTGTTCAACGACACGTCTATCCATCCGACATCGGAAAGTGCAAGCAAGACAGTCGGGGTCCTTATTTCTCCTCGAGCACGCTATACCCCATAATATTGTCAGTGATGTTATCAGTTTTCTCAGCCTTATACGGCTCTCTTGAAATGGTAGAGCCATGCAGCCAGAATGGTAAGTAAGGTTAATTCAATCTGCTGAGGAGCCATCAGCACCCTCTTAGGCGTCAAGCCCTAATCCAATACCACCCTCTCCGGCCACAGCATTCGAATTCTGATCGCAGTCTCAAACAAACGTTACCCATACCCTACCTATCTCAATAGCGAAACTTCTATCCAACTAGCCACGGATCCTCAGACACCTGATGTGAAACGCCAACACACTCTCTATCCACACCCACGGTAATCCCTTCTGCATAATCCACCGCCAGCAAAGCAGCCATCGTGTTAAACATCCGAGGGACCATTAAACCGGTACCAAACCCCCGGTACACCACCGTTGCCCTCGGAAGCTGCGCCTTCTCGCGGTCGTACGACTTCGGGACCCCGTGCGGGGCTATTTGCGCAAAATCATTGAACATGGAGCACAATTCCTCGTGTAGCGCGTCAAGCTTGAAACCGTGATTTTCGCCATCGTAGGGCTAGCCGAGTTAGGGGTTGTCGGGCAGAGGGATGGTAAGGCCGAGGTGAAGTTTGCGGGGGCGGAAGGAGCCGGCGGGTGGAGGGATTTCACAACGTCGTGATTTTTACGGAGAAATGTGGAGGGTTGGGGGCTCGGAGAATATTCCTTGAGTAGTTCCGTGGTGGTGTTAGTGTTCTCGAGTGATGATGTTGTGGTCTTGTTGGTACGGATGTTGGTGCCGGGCTAACTGCATTAGTTCCGAAACTCTAAATACGGCTCATGAACCTCCTACTTCCGACCATTACGGCAATCCTTGTGTTCTTCCTGACACGGAAAGAGAATTATACGGAGCACCAGGGTGAGAGACATTTTTCGATTTTTCGATTACTGGGTCATAATTCTCGCCTTGAATACGAAATATGGATAAGTAGAGTCAAAATGAATTCAAGCTAACTCGTAGCCGAAGCATTTGCGAGTCAGGAACTAATTCTCGTGCATTGAAGAACTGTCAGCATCTTACTATGAATGGTATCGAAGTAATTCAGGCTTACCACCCCCAAACCCTGATGCTATCTCAGCGTCTTAGCTCCGATGCCAAACGTGAGATGATACTGTCCCATATCTTCAAAGCTTCAAGATTTTCTTGAACCACCCTCCATTATTCCTATCAATGTTGAGAAACTCAACCTTAACTATCTGTTCGCTATTTGAAAAAACCAAGTGCCGCAGAGAGCAAGTTCCACAATCCACCAATACCATCTCTATCCAAATCACGATATGAACCATGTTCGTATGCTCGGATAAGGAATCTGACTTTGCTTTGCAGTGACTTATCCCCCACAAAAGCCTAAGCACTTCGTCTCCAATATATGTTTTAGAATCCCTTCGAGAGAACGATTTTAGAAAGATGATCGCTCGAATTAGCGCCGTGGATGTACTGAACATTATTTCTTCTAAAGGTCTTGTGTACGCCTTATTGCGCGATGTTGATCCCAAAAACCACTTTACTTTGTATCGCACGTGACTTTTCACGTGACCTTGCGTCGAGGTTGAATTTGGGTCCTTGAGTAACCAATGTAGGACTAGCGCGATATTGTACGCCATCAGCTCTAATCGTACCATATTTTGGATGGCGTTGGATGTCGCTGGATGGCGAAGACTCACAAATGACTGATTGCACCTAGAGTAAGATTCTGGAGAGAGTGGGGATGCTACTCGAGAATCTTATGCTAACCCTAAAACGTTACTGAGAAAGGAGAGCAGCTGTGCAGCAGCCGACAAAGCTATCAATTGTCGATGAACTAGCTAATTCATAATCAAAGCACTATTGCAATGACTTCTTATATTTCTCCGGGATTGCCGTAAGAGTTTAAAGTGGTGAGACTGAAACTTAGTGCGAACACGATTAGTCTAGGAATCGACCTAATTAGGAGCAAGGAGACTGGAGAAATGATTAGGCGTGATGGTTGCAGTCCTCTCGGAAGTGAACAGCGAATTTCAGCATGGTGTCTAAAGAATTAGTGTAGATAAAATCTTTCAGAAGGGAAACAAACATAGGGTGGAATAATCTCAAGCAAGCCCCGCATTTCCACTCATCTTTTTCTTCCATTAATTTCTTGTTCTAACTCATGCGTCCTTCCTACTCATTTCCACCTTTCCATTCGCTTCATTAGCCCCTTCCATTTTGCTCTCCCCATTCACTTCGTCTTCCAACTCATTTCCTCCAGCTAACCCCCCAACAAAGACCCTCTCCCTACTTAAAGCCTTCCCGCACCCAACCCTAAACCCCCATCTACCCCAACAGCCACTCCTGTAACAAAACTCGCCCCTGGCCCGCAAAGAAACACCACTACGCTCGCAACCTCATCCGGTCCCGCCATACGTCCCCCTAGTGGCACGCCCTTCTCCACCATCTCGATCTTCTCTGGAGTCTCTGTAAGCGCATCCCGCATCATCGGCGTATCCACTGGACCCGGACATACAGCGTTGACACGGATACCGTCGCGTGCGTGGTCCAGGGCTGCGGATTTGGTCGCACCGATGACACCGTGTTTGGCGGTTGTGTAGGCGAGGGTGCCGAAGGTGGCGACGTGGGAGGCAATGGAGCCGATAGTTATGATTATGCCGCGGGGGAGGGGGCGGGGGGGATATTTTTGGAGTTGGAGTTGGAGGCGGGGGGTTGTGGAAGGGGGTAAAGGGAGAGGGAGGGGGGGTTGGGTCAACATGGCCCGTGTGACGGAGTGGATACAGTGGATTATTCCTTTGAGGTTAATATCCAGCATGCGGTTGGTTTCAGCCATGCTTGTCTGTGCGACCGGGACGAATGTGCTGTTACCAATCTACATCCCCATATCAGCGACCATCTCTTCATACTTTCCTGTCCCCCCACTTTCACCCCAAAACTTGATCAGTGAAATTCAACTCACCCCAGCAGCACAAACACAATAATCGACCCTCCCAAACACCTCAACTGTCTCATCTACCAAATGCTGCACACTCTTGTCGTCCGCAACATCTACTTTGATAGCTATGGCACGATAACCGTCTCTAGTTGCACATTCTTTACTTTCTTTTGCGGCAGCGACTGCGGCTTCGTAGTTTAGATCGGAGAAGACAACGGCAGTACAGCCAGCTTCGGCGAATTGAAGGGCGGTTTCTTTGCCAATCCCTGACGCGGCCTAGTTATGCTTAGATTAGCGGTTGTTGGATTTGTATATTTAGGAGACTTACGCCGGTGACTAGCGCAACACCAGTTAATGAGGGCATAATAGCCTTGCAAGCTTTCCTCCACTCCTGTTGATATTAATAAAGTGATGGAATTGATGTTTTGCACGGTTCCTCCAAGCTTGTTTAAATAAACTTCGAATGAACTTATATCATTCCACAACAATACCATTGTGGTCCGTGCCATGCTAGGTTCTCCAGTCGCTGCGCCGCGAAACCTTTTTTCGTGTCTCCATAGTTACGTATGTATTGTATTGTCTTGTGTTCCATCCTATGGACATTAGGGGCAGAAGGCGATAGTGGGTGGGGATTAGTTGTTGCGTTTTGCACACTGTGGGCAACGAAACTAGTTCCACCTCAGGAAGAACCAAGGGGCGCTCTGGCTAGATTAGCGGTCCATTTGGACGCAAGTTTCTACAGTACACATCGCACATGGCCTTAAAGAGAGATGAAATGAATTCGCGAATGACAGAAACTGGGTGATGGAAAGGAGATTGCGTGGAGTCCAATTCCCCGCACACGTGATCAGATGCTCTCATGCTAACCCTAAATAGATTTGGCATGTTCAATGGAGGTGCATATCTCTCTGTGTTGCTGTCAAAATGTAATGTCTTCGATTGAAGGGTATAAACTCCATTACCATGCATGTGAGTATCCATCAGCGCTATGCCCACCATGCTCCAAAAAAGCCGACGTTTCCCAAACAAATCCACCACTCAAGCACTTTAACCATTCACAACCATCACCAGAACCCCTTAAACCCAAAATACCCGCATCTATAGAGCATCCCAGCCCTCCTCAAACATAGTATTCTTCCGCCAAAAAGCTTGTGGATACTTCTCCCACCCTAAATCCGCGAAAACGCCAACCGCACCAGTTCCCACGCCCATAACCTGCCCCATGATAATGCACTCGCTAACCCCTGTCACGTCATCCTTCTTGCCCTTTGCTGCCGCTTCGAAAAGGTGGTCGGGAGTCTTTTCGAAGCTAGCGTTTTGTAACACTGAATCTCGCATCTTGGTCATGCCAAAACGAGTGATACCAAGCACGTCGCCTTTGAATGTCATGACGTCGGCGAGAAGCTGCATGTGGCGGGGATCAATGTCCATTTGGCCCATGACGGAACCGATTTCTGAGATAATGGTGCTGCGAGCGGCTTCGATGCCAAGGATGGAGTTCACTTCCATCACAGAGTTGGATGATGATCGGTAGGGCTCTATACCTGGGGTGGTCATGCAGTTTTTGAGGCCGTAGCCTTCGACGAGAAGTTGGATTTCGTAATCACCTTTGGCGTTGGGAGTAGTATTTTTCTTGATGATGGCGCGTTGACAGTCCAGGAAGCCTTTGACAACGACATCGGGGATGAGCGCTTTCACTTGGTGCACCCGCTCGAAATAGCCCTTCTGGTTTTTCTGGGCCTTTGCAGAGGATCGTTTCTTGGTGTTCGAGAGATCTGGAACTGACACCCGCATTACACTGCCTATCATTTTGATGAACGGCTTGTACTTCCCCCATTTTAATGGCTTGAATTGTTCAATAGCGGTGGCGATTTCTTCGGTCGTGATATCGATGAACAACTTGTTAACAGTGTCCCAGTCGATGCGCATCTGAACGTATGCACCTTCTGGGTGCCACACATCTTCTACATACGAAATTATATCGCGAAGAAAAGTCTTCTCAACGCGTGCTTTAACAATACGGGCCGCTTCGTCGGACACGTTATTAGAGAGCTCGCATAAGATGACAGGGGTAGAGATGTTGGTCGAAGCGTTGATAATTTCCTTAATACGTGGGACACCTTGGGTAATGGACATACCTGCGACACCAGCAAAATGGAAGGTCTTGAGCGTCATTTGCGTTCCGGGCTCACCAATCGACTGTGCACCAACAGCACCAACAGCGCTACCAGGTTCGACTTTTGATCGCCAATACTTGGTTAGACAGAGTGAGATAAAGGTTTCCAGAGCGGGCTTAGAGATCTTGGCGATGCCGTCTGCAAGTGGGGAGAATTTTTCAGCTTGCTTAGCAGGGATTTGTTTCTTCATAGTGGTAGGATTAACAATTCCTAGATAGACGAGAGTCGACTCGAGCTTCCTTGCTTTCTTGAAGATGAAGTCCTGGACGGTGTCAAGGAAGTCGCGTATAGATTCATACTGGTCGATGCCCTCAATACTTTTGTCGTTGTAATCGAGCTTGGTGACTCCATCCAGCTTGTACCGAGCGTACTTAGTGCGTTTCGTGTCAAGTGCCGTCTTAGTGTGACTCCGCACTTCTTCGGGTTCCATGCTAGGATCATTATTGTTCCATGTTGATGTGACAGCGTGTGCAAATGTTCGATCGAAATTCACCGGCTTCGCCTTGCCTTCCATGTCAACAGGGTCCAGATTGTCATCTCCGTATTGAAACTGCACTACACCTTGCCCAGCGGTTCGGACAGTCTCATCGTACTGCGATGATAGATCTTCCAGTGACTTCATCAAACGTCTGCTCATATATCCAGTCTCGGCGGTCTTGACGGCGGTATCAACCAGACCTTCACGGCCACTCATAGCGTGGAATATGAATTCGGACGGCGTCAAGCCAGAATAGAAACTGTTGCTTACGAACCCTTTTGAGGCGGGTTGTCGGGCGGCTTTCGGGAAATGAGGCAGTGTCCGATCCTGGAAACCGTCTGCGACACGGGCGCCACCAATCATCTGCTGTCCGACGGATGCAACCATTTGAGAGACGTTGATATTAGATCCTTTTGACCCACACTTCGCCATTATTAGAGGCGCATTCCATTTGCTGAGTTCCTCGAAACAAATATCACCCGCAGCTTGACGGACTCCAGACAGGATACCACCAATCTTGTTCTCCATTGTTTGTTCCTCGTCGCATCCAGCGTCGCGCTGCAATTTGTTCTCCTTGAAATCTTTAATAAGCTTGTCGCATTTTGCATAGGCCTCCTCGATCAGAGCCTGTTTCTTGCGAACGAGTACGTCGCCGGGCGTTACGTCGCTAATGCCAATGGAGAAGCCGTTGTTGGTGAGCCAGCGCGCCGAGAGTTTAGCTAGCCTATTCATACCCTGGACGGCATGGTCTGGCCCAAAATCACGCATCATGACATAGAAAACAGAATCCTTTTTACCATCACCAACGGTAGCCTTGTCCATGACACCACACATAACTTCTGAGTTCCGAATGACCAGATAGGAATCATTTTCATCCAGGTCAGGGGCCTGGCCAGCTGTGGGCTTGAACTGTTTTCCGGCTGCCTCTAGATTAACCAATACTTTGGACTTCATGTTTGGTCTCATGAGCACATTGAAGACTTGCTTCCCTGTCCAAAGTCGTTCGGGCTTGACCACGGCAGGCGGGGGCAGATCGATATTCAAGCGGTCGCCGGTGTCAGGATCGACGACCGAATCGCCGTTGAACATATAAGAGCAGATTTGGCAGAAGGTCCTTCGATCGTAAAAGTTGTTTTTGCTGCTCAGGAGATATGCCGCTGTGATGAAGTCTTGGATAGCAGCGATAATTGGTGTCCCGTTCTTTGGCGTTGCCAAATTGTACTTAACACCCATTAGCTCGATGGCTTCTGTTCGAGCTTCCTCGGTCTGAGGCACATGCAAGTTCATTTCGTCTCCATCGAAATCAGCGTTGTACGGGTTGCAGACGCATTCGTTGAGTCGGAATGTTCTCCAGGGCCGGATCTTAGCTCGGTGGGCTAAGATACTCAGTTTGTGAAGAGAAGGCTGCCGGTTGAACAGCACGATATCTCCGTCCTCAAGGTGTCGCTCAACTATGTCCCCATCTACAAGGTTCTGCGCTCGTCTGTCAAGTCCCGATTGGCCCTCTTGCCCTTTGCTCGACAGAAAAATTAGACTGACGAGTTTGCCATCTCTCGTTCTGACGTAGTTCGCTCCGGGATGGCGGAGAGCACCTCGTCGCACTAATTTCCTCAGTTTTTCAATGTTTCGCGAATTAACTTTTTCGGGATATGTTAGGTTCTTTGCCACCCGCTCCGGCACCGCGACTTCGTCGATTCCTAGATTAGGGTCCGGCCCAATAACGGTGCGGCCAGAGAAGTCAACCCGTTTCCCAGAGAGATTCTGCCGGAAGCGGCCACCTTTGCCCTTGAGCCTCTGGCAAAAGCCGCGCATATGTTTGGTGAGGCCTTGTTGTGACAAACCAGGTGCATCACTATTGATGTACATGGCAATTTGAAGCTGCATAAAATCCCACTGCTCCATGATTGTCTGGAGGGGGTACCCACGCTGGAGGCCTGCCCGGATGATGCTGCTGACGTGGGCAATGTCGCCGATCTTATTGGTAAGGTCATCCTCCGTGGTTCCGCTGTCCTGCTTTACAGTAGGTCGAAGAGCGACTGGTGGCACGGGGACGTATTCCCATATCAACATTTCCGGTCGGCCATCTTCGGGAACCATGCCAAGGAGCTCACAGTCAGGAGGTGATATTTTCTTAAAGAGATTAAGGACCCGAAGCGGATGCATGTCGTCGGCAGCCTTCTTCAGGTGCCTTTCCATGTCAGGGTGCGTAGCCTTGACCGTTTCGAAAGATTCGTCGAACTCCTCTTTGCCCGGCGGCGGCTTCTTAGACTTAGCCGTGGATCTGTTGTAGGCATCGTACCTGTTATGGACGATCTTAAGCGGGTGACCCGGCACCTTGCGAATGGTACCGTTGACAGCGCCACAGTGGGGACATAGCTTCTTCTTCCTGCACTCCTCAGTGACTTTTTTGGAGATGTTGAGCCGCTGCAGGTTGTCCATGCCCGGGCGGCGCAGGCTGCGCAGGTATTTCCGTCTGTCCTCCTCCTCCAGCATGACGCGGGCGCAGTCCTTGCATATGCAGTGTAGCACTTCGATTATCATTCTGAGGAAGCCAACATGGAAAGCGGGGAGGGCAAGCTTGATGTGACCAAAGTGGCCGTTGCAGGTCTGGAGATCCGACTGGCACGTCTTGCACGTTTGACTGCCGCCTTTTGATATGCCCATCAGCTCGTCCATAGGGCCGTTAGCCGTGAGGATGCGGTTCGCTCCAGAGGAGCCAAGTTCATAGACATTACGGTCAGAGACTTCGAGGACAGCCTGCTTGACGAGTTCTTGATGAGAGAAGATTCCGAACTGAACGTGTTTGATGCGCTTGGGCACCGTGTCTACGACCTGGGCCTTGACATCAGCCCCGGCAACCATGGTGGTCCGTTGGTTGACTGCCCGGGATGGCAGGGAGACGTTGCGACAAAAGGAGGCCACGATGAGTGGAGAAGTGCTATGGGCGGCAGTCGCAGGGGGAGGGCGAAGAGAGGGCGTTGCCGTTTTGGTGAGTCATGGCCAGACAGGAAGGTGCAATTACCAGGTGAAGCAGCCGCGATGCAAAAGTTCAGCAGCTTCGACTTGTAGCGCGGTGGGGTCCCACGCCAAGTCACTAAGACGTATTCAGATGCGGGGCTTACAGGACCAAAAGCTCGTCCGTCCATTGGTGAATTTTGTAATATTGGTTTCCATTCACAAATTCAGTCTACCAATGTTCCGTCCGAGGCCTATGATGGGGCGTTTTGCAGGCAGAAACGCCGCCACGGTGCAAAGAGGGCAGTCGTGCGTCACTGCGTGGCCCGTCTCCCGTTTAAATAGTGACGAGAGACGTAAATCTGGTGCAAGAAGTCTGCTGAGTAACGAGTCTTGAAGCATTCCATTACGGGGACAGTGCAGAACCGCCCGCGACAGGGCCGCTCCGATAACTGCGCGATAAAGGAAAGCACGGACGCTCAAGGCAGCTGCCACCGTGATCACCTCTCCCTGCCCCGCCCGTAGCCTCCTCTGCCAGCTACTGCACACCCTCTTCAGCCTGCTGCTCCTGCTCTGGCTGCCTTCCTCTCGCTCTTTATACATACCAGCCCTCTCCCCTTCGTGCCTTCCCCGCGCACAATAACCCTCTTTTCTCCTCGACTGCTCCTACCACAGCTCCGAAGGTCCGGCCCCGCCAGCTGTTCCAGAAGCGGTTTCACCTCGCTGACCACGTAACTGTGACGGCTGCACTCGACTGCCCGCTACACCCAGCCCTAGAGGCATCTTTGTCCTCGACCATGGCTGCTACCGATCGTGAGTTCATCACTGCGGACGGTGACACCCCAGTGCCGCTAACTGAAGACACAGCTGTCGTTGAGGTGATACTCCGGTCCGTGGACGGCTGTGACGAGTTCCCCGAACGGAAGCTCTTGTTGAGCCCAACCACGAGGGTCCCGATCGGACGCTGCTCCAAATCCGCACACAAGCAACTCTTCGCTGCCGCTGACAATCTCTACATCGACAGCCCCGTCATCTCCCGGGACCACGCTGTCCTCACGGCGAACACGGCTCTGGGCATTCCGTCCGTCTACATCAAGGACAACGGCTCGATGCACGGTACAGTGGTCAACGGCGACCTTTTGCCCGGCGAAAAAGAACATAAGCTGAACAACGGGGACACGCTTCGGTTCGGCCAGGACGTCACCCGCGAGTCTGGTATGTCGCACCCTGCTCCTTTGTCCCGAGGCAAGCCAGCCTCGCACTCTACGCTCTTCATGGCTCTCGAGGCTGACACCGCCACGGGCGCAGATGCATTCCACGCCAAAAAGTACACGTTCGAATCCCGCTTAGCCCCCGTCAAATCCGATCGCCCCTACTCGGTCGGATTCAGCGTCCCCGAGACCACTTCGTCAGACGAAGAAGAAGAGGAAGAAGAAGAAGAAGAAGAAGAAGAAGACATGGATGATGGAGCCAGCAGTATCATGTCCCTTCCACGTCCTCGGTACGGAAGTCAGTCGAATCCTGTCAATGTTGATGACTTCGAAGACATTCCAACTGACTTCATCGACTTTGAAGAGGACGATGAGGATTTAGCTCCTTCACAAACCCCCGCCAGCAAGTCCCACAATGACGCCACCATGGAGAAGCCAAAAGAAGGCGCCCAATCTCCGCTAGTCTATGCCAGTTTCGTGCCCATGACTGCTCCCCATGAGTCACACCAGTCCGGCCCAACCCCCACCTTAACCAGACGAACTTCGCTTGATGGGCATAGCTCCGACGACGAAGGAGATCTCATAGTTGAGCTTGGGGGGACTGCAACGCCGATCCATTCTAGTGAAGCCGATGATTCTGAAGACCACTTAAGTGAGGATGGGTCAGATTTAGCATCTGATGATGGTTCCGAGCACTCCGTTAATAGCGTCAAAGAGGACCTGGATACAATCCAGCGACTCAAGATGAGAGCCATGCTTAACCATGAGCAGGAGAAACCCATCCCCATGGACCAATCTTCACAAACCATGCGTAGTACATCCTCCCAGGCCTCTCCAGCAGTCAATGTTCCCGCGCGCTATTCCAGCCCTCCATTTTCATTTGGCATGAAAGCGTTCCCGAAGGCGGCCGAGGCAGAAAAAGCGAAAACTGTGGGAACAGAAGGCGTCACCATGTTTGATGTGTTCAACAACGGACCATTCTCCGATACTACGAGCCCAGCGCCGCCAGTCCCACCCCGCCCATCTGCCCCGGGGCCAATAATGTGGTCAGTTCCGGCTTCTGACTTCGGACCGCTCAGTAATCATGCCCCTTGGTTCGAAGAATCGCCCACCCTTCAAGGCGCATATACGCTACCAAACCCCCCTGAAGGCTTCCCCACGTTTGGTCGCGTAGATGGCTTCTCAAACGCGAATTATTTCAGCCCTCATAGGCCATTTGCGCCGCAAATGACCTCGACATTCTCGGAAAGCAAAATCTTGAATCTTTCCAAGTCGGGTGATGTACAGATAGTCCGACCCCAGACTCCAGATCCACCGAAGACGGCGGCTGTTCCAACTCCGCCTAAAGCTACCAATGATGAGCAAAGCCCTACTTCTCCCCCTCCAGCGCGCAGGGGTTTCTCCATACCAGAAATTGTCGAGGACAATCCTGAAGACCGTCTTGAGCAACCACCGACGCCGACTTCGCTGACGAGCCACAAACGTAAAGCGGATGAGCTAGACGCCGAAGAGCTGGCGACCGAGGCACTTTCCCAAGACCTAGCTGCAACTCTGTCCGAAGCTTTGGTTACCCCCGGGGCTGCTGCTGTCGCTGAAGCTACTCCGCCAGCGACTGAGCGCCCCAAGAAGAGGATGAGGACTGCCCTTGCTCATGTAGGCTATTTGGCGACAGGTATTGCTATTGGTGCCCTCGGTGCCTTCGGGGCGTTGCTTGCCGTACCTGACAGCTACCTTCAATAAATTTGTGGAAAGAGCTTCGATGACCAAACAGTAAGGTAACATGCAATTTTGGCGTTCGGGGCATGGGACAAGGCCACGCTCACGGGGATCTAGGGTGAATGCAATAAGCGGGTCACGGGGCGTTCGAGGACAATGAACAATGCTGCCCGAAGGCACCCTCGGTGAGAACGGAGCTGATATGGGGTTACTTTTGTTTCTTTTTCCGGCGTTGATGGCTGTTGACGCCTGTACATGCATCTCATGACCACCTTGGGACATTTGCCTTTTATAATAAAGCTTGCTTATTAAGTTTCATCTTTCAACGTGTCTGCTTGGTGCTGCATCTTTTGTCACGTGTACCGTCGCCGTTACGCAAATAAAAGCGGGATCCATGATCGACTTGTGCGGAATGACATCACTCTCAAGATGGGAAAGACCACGAATATAGCGTTTCTCACTCCGCTGTCCTTTCACTCCCACCTTTCTTCCCACGCCACCTCTTCAATCTATCCGTCCTGCTATATTGTTTCGCTACACAATGTCTATTTCATCCTAGTCCATTTGCAATTGCGACTTGGCGCATACACGACACAGTCCTCTTGGAATTGACTGGGGTTTCTCGTCGCAATAGTGGATATTGTAGTCGCCATCCGGTCCTCGTCCAATCTCTGTCCAACTGATTTCCAGAATTAGCATTCAAGCTCGAGGTCCGTCGTACAGGAGCGGCCTGTCCGTAGCCATTATGCGAAAAGGATGTGGTGAAAGAACGCAGCTGCCAAATTAGCGCATGACCACGATGAAGAGTTCTCAGTGTGAGTGGGCGGGGAAGTGGTACATCCAATGTCTAGGTGGCATGGCAAGGCTGTAGAGGAAAAGGTCAGGGACGACCAAGGAGGCGTGCCCAGATTGGGAGGGAGGACTAGTAAAAGAGGTATGACCCTCGGAATAGGACTAACAGGACCACAGTCTTTGGATTCCAGCTATGGTACCATGCAGAAGCAAAGTCGGATGGAACCCCAAATGAAGTATAGGACAGTGGGAACATAGATCTGTGAACACGAAAACAGGCACTGCCCTTCAGAATTCGGCTATTATATCCTCTGAATTTGGGACTCAGAAGGTCGGGAATACCTGGTAGGATTGTATTACAGCCACGCAACCTCGTTAACCGCATGGAATGGTCCTTAGCTGTAGAAGCTTACTTTACGATTCTAGATACCCATAAAAAGAAGACACTGCTTCGAAGTCACCTCAAGGTCACGCAACCATGCACCGAAAAAGCCACTCGCGTTCGTTGTGCGGGTCCACCGTGTACTACCTGGCGGCACACGCGACTAGAGAATTCCACTGAGTCCAGTCGTAATGGTGCCCGAAAGCCAGTTGTCTCTACGCCATATTGACCTACCACCAGCACCACAACGTGAAATGGTGGTGACTATCCCAATAGCGTTGCTCCATGCCTTTCGAGGAGATGAGAGTTTCTCCTGGTGCTCGGTGTTGGCAGTGGGACGAAGTGAGATGCGCGAGCGTAACCTAGGCCGTGCAGTGCCTTTCGCCCGCGGATAGCTTCTACTCTCATATTTGCACGGCGATTCTATGAAGAGAAACGGGTTCGTACGCATTACTCGAATGTCCATAAGACTTGTGGGGGTCTCTATTGTTACAAAATTGCTCGTGGCTCAAAAAAGGAGCACGACCACGAAACATGATCACTCAGCTACCCGTCTCCTTGCCAAGGCAAAACCATACACGTGGAACTGCATTGGAAACAGCCCAATCCAAAGACCACCGATCAGCATTTCGATAAGCGGCTATCCCAGCAAGGATGCTCCCCACCTGTTTCAGACGTTGACTGCACGAGAGCGGAAGAGCGATATGCAGGTTACAACGCATGCAGTGGCATCTGTTCGCCCTGTATCACAGAACGGGCTGGGAGGTATGCAAATATCGATCTGATAGCACCTCTATCAAGGACTTCGCCGCAAAGTGAGTGATTTCAATTATCTTCGTGAGGCCTTTACAATTATTGCGCGACACGGCTGTGCCGAAACACACCCATACCACGCTGTAAATGGTCAGTGTCCGCATGACCATCGCGAACACCTTCCGATGAGAGCAGCTTCCGTTCCTGAGTGAGCTGAGCAAAGGCTTCGTGGAATTCTCGTGAAATGGTGGGACAGTGAAAGAGCTAGGTATCGCCGTTACGTGGTGGGTAAGCTCTTGCGTCGATCGTCGGCAATCCCTTTCAATGTTTAAAAGCCCTCCTCCAGAGCACATTTGGAGCCATTTCTCAATAATTATAATTTGTTACTTGATCCTCCTCAATCTAAATTCGACAATCCTAATCGCCTTTTCCGGTGTTACACACGACGATCATCCAATCACTCCTCGTTCGTCCAAAATCTCAACAATGGCCGTCACAGACATCCAGCATTGTGGTTCCTGTGTGAACGGGTTTCAGATTGGCAATTGCCCTGACTGCGCCGGGGCTCCGTTAGAGTGAGTACACTTGTTTAGATTAGTCTTGTGTTGCTCAAATTTCTGCCCAAATTTCTCTCGAATTACTGAATCTCCACACCTACATCAAACCGCTCGGTTTCAAAGCAGGCTTATCACTGAGGTTTCTCGTTCTCCTGCTATTCAAATGTCATACTCGCCCCTTCTCACACAATATTTACGCATCGAGCGCGGGCGAGGGACATGTTGATAATTTCTTCCCAGGTATCGTGGCCGTAATTGCCTCACTTGCAACGACTCGGGTTACGTTCAAAAGCCCTGCTCCTGCCATCCGAACTATCACCAGTACCAGCTGGCAGTGAAGAAGGCCGCAGCATCTACCACTTCGCCTGACAAGCGCTAAATGCACCAACGCACACATCTACCGAATATCAGAGATTCTGTGTTTCATGGAAATATTCGCTGTAGCGGCGGGTGAAAGGAGACGACTACGACGCAAGATCGGAGTGAATGATCTCCCCACTTCTTTACGCTCTTTAGTGGACTGAATACTCAGCGCATCTATTCATGGCTTCTTCCCGAGCTCGATATCTTTAAATCAATATTTGCTACCTATTTGTACCCTTGGAGAAGATGAAGAGGAAGCGGTGTGGACGACTAAATTTCACGACGCTCCTCAACAGAACCGACTTGGCAATATTTTTAAATTGATATTGGGTATCGGATACCCTGTGGATGATATTACTTGTGAGTCTTTGGAAATAGTGTTATAGAATAGCAAATGGGACCACTTTCTCTTCCAAGGAGTTCCTTAGGTTAAAGGCATGTGACTTTGACCGTTTTTTCTTTTTTCGACACTATCATGAAACCTTGGGGCTCACAACTGTTACGTATGGCCTCTGAATGAATTGGAGCATCTTCTTGAGCCCTTGCCAATCTTTAGCTACGGTCCTGAATATAATGGCATGTGAACCTGCAGTCAGAATTCTGCATCCCATCTCGTGCAACCAAACAGACGATTTGGCAAGCGTGCATGAAGATTGCTTCACCGGTCCCGTTCCACAAACTACTGGCATGTGCCGAATATAATATCTGCATCCCTGATTCCCCCATTTACCTACAAGCTAGAAAGTAGACACATATCCAAGAACTCCCCAATGAATTCATTTTCAGACTACAACACACCAAGCCTCTAGCTCCCGGCTTCAGCTTTAGTTTTGAAATCCCGACACTAAGTCCAACGCAGAGCGTCTGTAGGGCGTAGACAAGCGGTGTTGCTTGCGCCACGCCCGACTGTACTACTTGGCCCAGGAGTGGTGTACGACAGAACCGTCGTGTGGGAAGCTGCAGCTGCAGCTGTAGCTTCATGAGTGCAAGGGAATCGAAACATCCCTACGTTACCGAGGACATGTCGCAGGCTTGGGGTTTGTGCGCCTGTCTTAAATGTGTAGCGAAACTTCTTTTTGGGGTAGGCTTCGCGGAGGAGATGAAAGGGAGGGGGGTCAGTGTGACGTATGGAAGGAAGTGGGTTGGTATGAAGGCCCGGGTGTATTATTTTGCGGTTTGGGTAGTGCTTGGATTGAGTCGGGTTTGAGGGGAGGGACTTTGGAATAGATCGATTTGGGTTTTTGCGAGGCGCGCTGGAGACTTGAATGCATAATTTATATGCATAAGATGTGGTGTTGTGCTTATGCAACACCGGTACAAGGGTACGAGCTAGTCTATGGTAATTGGATCATGCTTCCCACCTCCTCCTCCACCACTTACACCACTACTGCTCCTACCCCCATCTCCTTTTCTCACTTCCATCATCGCCCTACACCACCCCCCCAAAGCCCGAAACATATGTACATCTCCTCTATCCTCCGCCTCGCAATACTCTACCATACTCTCATACCATTTATCAACCCCAGTCCCAGTCACTCTTCTCACTTTCTCAAGATCCACGGGACAGAGGTATGGTGCTTGTCTAGGGTCTTCACGGATGGAGGCGGAGGCATTCATATTGCAGGCGTAATAGACGCAATGGTCGAATCCGAAGCAATGACCTAGTTCGTGGGACGCAGTGCGGCAGACGCGGGAGAGCCAGAGGTTTGTTATGGAGGTTGGAGAGGAGGCTGCAGAGATTGGTGGGAGAGAGATGTGCGTTTGCACTGCGGCATTTAGGGGTCTTTCGTGTAGAGTGGGGAGGTTTTCACAAGTCGTGGTATCCGAGTTATGGGGTATGTGTTTGACCTGTGTCCTCGCCTTCTTCTGCTTCTTCACCGGCCGCACTTCCTCGCCGCCCTCATCCTCACAGCAGCCATTCACGTAGCTGAGACAGTGGCTTGCAGGCCAAGCATGTTCCCTCTCGACTTGCATCACTCCATCCAGGTCTGGATTATACCGTGCCATGCTAACAACACACACTCTACTCCCTCCAATCGCCATCCCACAAACAAACTCATCATCTGCGCTCTGGTATAGATCCTGACTTACTAACATCAATACCGCGTAAGCATCCGGGGGCACCATTTCGATTGCTGCGTCAAGCAGGTCGTCAAGATTAAGCTGGTGGATGGAGTTTTTGGAGCGGGTGCGGATTCTTGTTAAGGAGGATTTGTGGCGGAGAGCGATAGCCGAACCGTCGCATTTTCCTCGTCTCCTAGGGCGCTTTTGAGATGAGTTTGAGCTGGAGCCAGAGTTCCAGGTTGTGAATTCTGCATCTTCTTGTGGAAACAATTTCACCGGTAACCCGTGGTAAAACGCTTGCAGATATTGAACAACATCCTCCGCCCCTGGCTCTTTCACATCTCGAAGTTTCTTTCCCTTCCCCTCCGCCTGCCCAGTCAGTTGTTCGACCAGACTCTCCATCCCTATCCTCATCCCTATCTCCCCAAGCCCCTCCTCTATCCTCGGCGGCGAAATGACATACAACGTCCTTCTCTTATCCGTAACTTCATTTCGCCATTTCCCTCGCATCCAGGATGTAAGGCTTTGTGGCGGATATGTAGGATCGTCTGCGAGATCATCATCTGGTAGGATTAAGGGCGCTGGAAAACATTGGATCCCGGGATAATCATTGAGGCCTTTGAGATGGGGGTCTGAGTTAGAGCCTGGGGTCGATAGCGCGCTAGAGCGTTGACGCGGTGTCGGGCCTTTGTAATTGATTGTTGTGGCGTGAGGAGAGGGGTGGAGGGTTAGGATTGTGTGGGGGCAGGTGGAGACGGGTTGGTGGTGGAATTTGGAGGGATGTTTGCGTTTGGGTGGCATTGCAGGAATGACAGATGTACTAGCGAAGAACTTTTATTCAAGGACATGAGAAATATTAATGTAGGCGTTTCTTAGATTTTCAGGTTCAGGTTCAAAAGCAATAACTGTGTTGCCTGGATGCACAGGACCATTCGCGCACAGCCTTGTTGTGGCTGGTTGAAATTGTGGCACCGCCTCATCTCTTCCACAGGTTCCAATCCTGTTGACTTACCCCACCCTTGTAGATGTTGAAAACAAAGCGAATAAGGAGTGTTCGTGTTGAGTCCCAAATCTCGGTTGGAGGTGAACACGAGTCGTGAGTGTGCCAGACGAGCGCTAACGGCGTTAAGTTTAGCGCAAAATGTTCAGTGGAAAGCCGAGACCTTTCACAACACTTCAACCTCAGACTCGGAGGAAGTGCGTGAATGATTCTCATCGCCACAGATGCTCTGCATTATCCGCACAGAATCTCGGACGTCCTCGAAATTCTGTCGGACGGTTTCGCGTCAATCATTCCCTCCGCCGACCGTTGTGCGGAGAGCCCGAGTCCGGGGTTTTTTTTAAGAGGACGCGTGGAGTAATGCGCTGGCCGACTCATTGAGCAGCAGCATGTCCACAATTTAAATTATATCTGACCACATCCTGCCACACACGTCTCTGACATGAATGTGTTCAAAAATCGTCACCATTGAAGTTATTAGGAAGAGAAAGAGCAAGTTAAATGGTCCTAAGGTAAGCTATAGCAAGAGAGACATCGTGACTCTGGGCTTCTTAATCTAATAGCGAAGCATCGTCAGACGTACGAGCAAGAGGCCATATGAACCTAGGCTTCTTTAGACTAACCCGATTTTTGGATTGACCTCTTCCCTGACTTAAGGATTCAACTCCAAATGGATCTCGGATCGGATTATCAGACCATCGCGACTCTTGCACAATAAAATTGCATCCTTCAAATAAGCTTTCATCATCTACCTTCATATATCCCCGATTGAGCTTATGTGGTCCTTTCTTCCGGTGCCACCTCACCGACGGCAAACCGGGCGAAAATGTATTGCTCATGATGCAGGATCCAAATTTCATGAACTGCAAACAAGGTCCCTCCTATCGTTCGTTCAAAATCAGACGATCTGCATCAGTTGTTGCTCGCTTGGGTTAACGTCGTACAGCGGTTAATATATGCCGGTCCGATGCTACGGCTCTTCAAGGGCACGCAATCTGCCGACAAGAATCCCGGTCGCCTTCCCCACAAGACATTGGCTGGTGGGGATAGGGCTGCCACCGAATTGCGAATTGGTCCATTTGGGATTGCAGACGCAATTTGTAAGAACTGAGACCCCGGTGAGTTCGTCCAAAGATCTGGGCGGGCGGTTGGGGAGGTCGTATGTGGGGCTTGGCTAGAGCATACTTCAATACGGAGACCCACGTCACTTTCTGTTCAAAGCTGCCCTTCGCTCACTATTTTCATAATGGCTCCACATACGCAGCATCTGGTGCATAGGTAGGTCCCTGTTGAAGGTGTCTTGTTTTGGTGGAGTTTTACTGACTTTGTACCCCGCACACCAGTCATGCACACGAAGAAGATCTTCCTGGGACTGTTAATTTACAAGTTGCGGGTCAGTACGAGTCTGAAGGACTATCCGAATCTCAAGGATCTGATTTGAAGTAGAGGGCGATGACACGGCGTACGGCCAGGCACTGTTTCCAGTACCCGCAGAAGATCCGAACGATCCTCTCCAGGTCCGTCCAATCAAGTCTCTACACTCGATACGATATCTCTGACTTTTGTGCCAGTGGTCCAACACGAAGAAATCGCTGATTCTAGCGGTCTGCTCCTTGTACTCCTTCCTCGGGAATTCCGCTCTCCTGGGACCGTCCGTCTACATTAGCTTATACTCGGAGCTCTTCAGTATCACTCCAACGAAAGCCTCCGATCTGGTTTCGTACCCCAATCTTGCGTTTGGCTTCGGTATGTTCCTGTCCTATCGTTTCAGATACATGGCCTGACATTCTAGGATCGTTGATTCTCGTACCGTTGTACTTGAAGATTGGCCGGCGACCCGTCATGTTGGGATCGATGATTCTGGTTTGTACACCTCAATGATGTACGTGTAAGACGTTATAGGCTGATAAAGAGCAGTTTGCAGCAGGCTTGATTGGAGCTTCTCAGGCAACTACTTTCTCTGGTCTGATGGCTGCTAGAGTCATCCACGGTTTTGGTTCCGGAGTGTGCGAAGCCCTCCCCGTGCAACTTGTGAACGACATTTTCTTTCTTCACGAGCGCGGAAAGAGAATTGGATACTACACAGGTAGGTTGATCATCGTTCTATTGTATGCTCTGGGGCTAATTGGCGTTGAAGTGTGTCTTTGCTTCGGTTCCACGGGCCCACTTTATGCAGGTTACATGCTAGCAGGAGGCTACTCCTGGCGTCTGTTCTTCTACGTTGAATTTGCGTTCGCCATGGCACTGCTCATATTCGCCTTCTTCGTCGTCGAGGAAACGTCATACAAGAGAAATAAGGTCCCGTCGGCTCCAGTTTCTAGTGCGAACTCGGACAAGGGCATGGAAGCTACTCACGAAGAAGTCGCTCCGATCATTCCTCCGCGGAAGTCATATCTTAGTACCCTAAAGCCGTGGAGCAGTATCGATTATGAGTCCGACTTTTGGATTATGATTCCAAGATCGTTTACGTACTTTTTGGTCCCGCAGGTGCTGTGGGTAATTACCAGTTTTGGTATTTACATTGGGCTCGGCGCGCTTGCGTTCAATTATACCTTTCCGATCAAAATTACAGCACCGCCTTACAACTGGAGTCCCGTAAGTAGAATTGTACCCAGTATTGTACCAACACATTGGCTAACATTTCTCAGACAAACTCTGGCCTCATCACAATCGTACTAATTCCCTCTCCTTCTTCCGCTATAGCAATTTCTAACGAATCATACAGGCCTCATTTCTAGGTTACCTATTCGCCATCCCCTTCACCCCTTCCTCTGATCGTCTCGCCGCCCATCTCACCCGCAAAAACAACGGCATCCGCGAAGCAGAAATGCGCCTCGGTGTCATCCTCCCCGCCATGATAATCGCCCCCTGCGGCATCATCCTCTACGGCCTCGCAGCCGAGCACAATCTGCCATGGATCGCCTACTTTTTCGGCGTCGGGATGGACCAATGGGGCTCGCTATTTTACTTCACCTTTACCTTAGCCTATGCAGTGGATAGCTACCAGGCTAACACAAGTGAGATGTTGATTGCGATGAATTTGGGTAAACAAGCGATTAGTTTTGGTATGGGTATTTATCTGTTGGACTGGATCCTGGAGCGGGGATATGCGGTTACGATTTCCGGGATTTTTGCGGCCGTGTTATTGGCGAATAATTTGTGTTTGCTGATCTTTATGTTCTGGGGGAAGAAGATTCGGATCTTTATGAGTAAGACTTGGTTGGCGAGGCTGCATAAGACGACGATTAAGACTGTTGGAGAAGTCGCTTGAGGGATGGGGTGAAAAGATTGTAGATAGGCGCACCATGCAAGATTTCGCCGGCTACGTTTCGAGGCCAGCTTCAAGAATGAATTAAGGACTAAGCCGATCGGACTCCGTGCCCTGATTCTCACGTGAAAGAAATATTTAGTCGAGAATGCAGGATTTAAGTTCGCACCGCCACCATGCAAGGACCATCCCAGGATTCATTGAAACAAGTATCGGTAACAAACAGAGGTCTGAACAACCTGCAATATGGTTCGTATTTTAACCCCTCATGCAAATCTTAGTCCAACATCCTTCGAACCCACTATTCACCAATTGCAATCGTTCATTTCTCCAAATTGCCCTTTTCAGATTTCGTAACTGCGGGACGCACGAACCTCATATCTTCCTTGAGGACTTGAGATAAACGAAGTAGGCCTGTAAGGTCGAATGATGTCCGCGCAGAGGTCGGGGAACGCGGAACGGAAATTCGGACATGTCTTTGCTTGGCGGATAATTGCATCGGCGTATATAAGCCTGGTTTGATTGCGCTACCTATAGTCATGTCCTCCACGTTGGGAAATATTTTAACATCCACTGTAACCGCCCATTTCGCTCCACCGTCCACGAAAAACAACTTATTCCGTTCACAATGGCGATCAGCCACCTCCTCGCACTTACTCTCCTCTCCTTCGCAACCTCAGCAATCGCCACTCCAACTCCGCAAGACCCTGGTCCAGCACCCGGTTGTCTACCTCCCTACGTCGAAGGCGTCGGAAGTTGTTGCTGGCCAGGCGATGTAGCTTTCACCAACACTACGACGGGTTGCCAGTTATGGCAGTGCAAAGATGCTACGAAAGGGTACACGGTGCCTTTGAGCGCTTGTTCGACATGCTGCGATACGTTGCCAAATTATACTGGGCTTGCTAAGCCGGTTAGTTTTGTTTGCTGCACGTGAGGAGGTTAGCCGGTGTGTAGGGGTGGAAAAGGGGTGTTTTGGTGGTTTGGTGTTAGAGAATGGTTCTGTTCGTGTTCGTGTCGATATAGAATGAGGTTTAGAGTGGAGTGGACAAGTGAAGTGATGTGAAGAGCTGCGGTGGTTCAAAGATCCCACTCTCAACCATGGAGTGATTGTCTCAATGAACTTCAGTATCATCTCTATCGATAGACCTTGATATAAAATGATGTTCATATTCGTTACTCCTCACATCTTACACAAATATCTCTTCTCGAGAACCTACTCCAAGCTCCCGCGCCATCACCACCTCCACACCTATGGTGGAAACTATATTCACTCCCTCAGGGCTCTTTCTTGACGAAGAGCTCGCAGATTTTGAATTCGACTACATGGCAGAGGAGTTGTGCAAACTCCCTTCTCCCTCGATGATACTGAAATATGTTCTAGTACGAACTCTCCTGAATCTGGTTTCGAATGCAATTATATGCTTGGCGTCCGATCGTTTAGATCTGAATATCAAATATGATAAATTCGAATTGGGAGGAGGCGAAGAGGAAGCTGGAAAGGTTGAATGAAGGGAACACCGGACGTGCATCAGACCAGAATACGGACATAGGTTAGGAAGGGCTGGAAGCATAGCAAAACTAGGGATCAAGTTACGGAGATGATACCGAAGTATGTGACAAAAGGAAGATTGCCGGGACTCATCGATTTCGGTGCATCTTTAGAGAAGGCGTTATTTGTGCGTCAGTTGCCATTGCATGTCTTTCCGCTTTGTCCCGAAATGAAACCACCAGTTCTGCTACATATGTACCTTCTTCAGTTACCAAATTTTTAAATCTCGAGCATATATATGTTCTTACCCGATCGCTCCAATAAACACTTCATACTTCTTTGCCCTTGCCAGCGCAAGCACGGTAGCCACTAAGATGGTGAAGAGCTTAATGAAACCTAATCTTACACTCTCTCCTTTGCCATATTCCGGATGAAACGCAACAACGGCAGCGATTGTAAGAAGTACGACCCAGATCACAGCTACTGCAGTGATAATAGCGTCAATAGTCGAAGATACGTAAAATATGAACACTGATTTGCTGCATGACGATGTCACTCTTATTTTGTTAACAGCCTAGCCTACAGCCTAAGACATTACAGGGCTTGCTTACAATAAAGAAAAACTTAAGCCATGAATGTCGCAAGTAGTTTCTAAACTAGCTGTCGGCATGCTGGTTGAGGGAACGAAGTTCGGCATTATTATTTGTAGTGATCGAAACCCGATAAATCCACGCCTCTCTCTAGGGCAAATTACTTAAGTCTCAGATATCTCCAGCGACACGACTTGCACCTCCTCCCCGACCCTACGCTCCTTCCAAACTTCCAATTAGCGCCGCCTCGTCCATGCCGGTATAAAACTGCCAATCTTCCTTTGATTTAGAGCAACTGTGCTCAGGTGCTTGACAAGGGAGCCTAGAAGCCAGCAATTTGCATGCTTGCTGACACTGGACGTTGATTCTGGTCCAAGGAAGGGCATATCTGGCAAGCTAAACACTGGTCTCTTCCACTCCACCATATACGAATTCCAAGTGAGTCTCCACCATAGCACCATCACTACTAACAGCTCCTCGCAAAGAGCAACGTTATCTTGCTACTCAGCAAACATCTTCACCTATATCACATTTTCTACATTTTAGCATAGCCCTGTGTACAGGAAGAAAATCCCATTCCCTGTATGAAACTACTAACTACACCGCTACCTAATCCCTTACACATCGCCCCACATCTATCGCACATCACCACACCTAACTCAACAGAGCCGAATTCGCACCATCGAAGAAAATGTTGTCATTTTCGTCAAAGCCTTCCTGATGCCAGTCTGCACCTCCCTCTTCGTGCTGTTGTAGCTCTTCTGCATCATAAAATTCATCATACCCGTGACCTTCTTCATCTACCTCGGCCTCTGACTCTCTGTCTGAGTCGTCCTCAAGATCGGTAACCTTGTGGTGTGGCCTGGCAGGCTCGTTAAGGTCCATTTCACGATTGATTGATGGAGACATGAAGAAAGGATGATCCCGAGACAGCGGCTTTCCCGTAGTGACGAAGCCCATGGGTGTGTGCTCGAAATCCTGCCCTTTACGCCTGACAGCAAGCCACTCCTGAAGGAACGTGAGGGGTTTCTCTGTAAACACTCCTTGTCTGGCAGTCTGTATATTTTCGCCTGAAACAGGGCCACTGTTAATACCAAGGTATGCGAGCATCTCATGATACTCGTTCCACTCGAAGTAGAGACGTCCAGAGAAGATGCCCAACTGAATCTTGACCCAGACTGGGATCTTGAAGTTTGGTGGCAATGGAGGCGTCGCATGGTAGTCAAGATTGTTGAAGTGCAGCATACGACGCGTAACCGGGGCTGCGTAGATAATCAAATGGGCTCTAGCAGGAAGAATCTTGGAGCTCCCGCGAAGAATGGGGATCAGGAGGTTAGCTTCCTCCGGGCTGACTATTAAAGCCACTTCAGCTGAATGACTCCAAAGAATCCACTGGCACGGGCGAAGGAAGTTGTCGTTCGGCTCCGGGACTTTGACTGTGCGGCAGAATTGTGTTGAAACAAAAAGTCCAGAAACCATTGAAGTAGCGGTGATGTTGGAACCCTGCTTCTTGCCTAGTGCGGTTTGTTGTAGAGCAAAAAAGGCTGGCTTGAAGGCTTCACTGCTAGCAAGCATCCTTCCCGTGATCGCAAAATCCTCGATATCTTGGTGAAGCTTCGGGAATTTCAGCGCTGTGAAGTGCACTGGAACCTGAATTTCACGCACACTCTCGACCTCGAACTCTACCTCGCGCTCTTGCTCTACTTCCTCCAACGCAGAACTGTGGACGGCGATGCCGCGGTCTTGGAAGTTTTTGCGACGAGTATGAAGCTCCTCAGCATATCCGCGGAGAGCTTGTGGAAAGCTTGAAGGTTTGCACTCCGCTCCGCGTTTGGGGTGTTTAGGTTCATAGAGCTCCTTCAGCGTTTGCAACTCTTTCGACTGTATGACTGATAGATACTCCTTCCGCTGAGACGCGTTCTGAAGATAGTCTGGATTACAGAGCTTAGAATTGACGCGTTGAAGGTAGCTAGCTCCTTGGTTGAAGTACAGGGGTTCCAGTTGCTCTATTCCGTTGCAGGTTTGCTCTAGCAACCAGTAAATGACGTCTGATGAATCAATAATTTGATCGTCGCGTTTATTCCGGAGATCTAGAATACTCTGGTGCACTTCTGGCGGTGAGAAGAATGTCACAGACTGTGTTTTCCCAAGTAGGCGTAACCGCATGGCAGCTTGAGCCAAAGCGTCCTTCGTTAGATGCGGTCCCAGGGTTAACGCTGCCCTTGCATTTGGAGGAAGCTTGAGATCAGTTCCCCTGCAGTGGCTCTCATCTAGATAGACAAGACAGTTCTCAAGGGTCTCTGCGAATGGAGATGCGACCAATGGCACCTGCATTCCTTTCCGATACAAAACCCAAGGCCGATGATCAGACTCAAAATACACTGCCGCTGCCGCTTCATGATCAATCTTGAGCCATGCTGCTGCCAGGCCACGGTTGTCATGTTCAAGGATCTGCGCTCCGGCGTCGATCAAGATCCTAATTCTATCCTCCCGGTAAACTAGACTGATTTGGTACCTCTTGCCGAAAGGATTCAGGAATTTCTCTAGCAACGCATTCTCGCCCAGTCGTGCATTGTTCGCGTCGACAGCAAGGACATAGTGTCGGTTCCGAGCTTCAAGCAGGTACGATAGAACTTCGGCATTTGTATGTAAGAGCTTCGGAAGATCGTTCTGCTTGATCGTCATGGGCAGTTGATGTCGGGCGTCGTTCGTTCCGGAGAACCCAGTTGTCTGGCAGGCTGACTTCGTGCTCGGGTTGAAGAGAACTAGGTCCCAACCTGAAGCTTGCAGTTTGCTCTACTATCGGTCAGCGCTTGAGAACGAGACACAAGAGGGGTTATTGTAGAAAACTTACCTTAAATTGCGTTGCATGTCTTGGGAAAACAAAATGATTCAGGTAGAACTCGAGGAGGTATACGTTAAAGCGGACATGTTGGTGAAGGCCCCGTAATTGAGAGCTGTCATCCACATTTATAGCGTTGCAGTCACGCATGCCTTCAGGTAGTGCCTTAGTAGCCCATTTTTCGTATTCAATACTTGGCTCGTCAGACTTCAGGAGTTGCTCTAGGGCTTGCTTGAACTGATTGACATTGAGGCCTTGATAGTAGAATGAGAGACAAGTTAGGATGATAGCGACATCCGGGTGACCCCATTCAGCCGAGGGTGATGGCACACCCTTCGCGTGATATGGGACCGCGATCGGATCTCGCGACGGGTGAAGACCAAATTGAATACTCCATCGTTTCTTCAATGCCGAGAGCAGGATTCGATGAACAAAGAGCCCACGGAGGAGGAACATGACCTTCATCAAATTCAGGTTGTCTTTGAAGACCTCATTAACCCGCCTCACTAAATCAGTATTGACTTTAGCGGATGAAATAAATTCTTTTATGTCCGCCTTTGCACCCGCCGAGTATTCCGTGCAAGGCATGATCGTGGTTTGCCCTCTACAAATAGCATCAACCATCTCGGCCACAAGGTAGTTTTCAACGTCTTTGCGGAGAAAGTAAATGAGTGGGTAACTGCCCTGGGTTCGCTGAACGACCTCAATACTCCGAGGGAATCTATGGACTAGATCTGGGAGATAGGACCAAATAAGGCGAAGGACGGCCTGGACCGCTTGCCACCTAAAAGGATGTCCATCGAATGTCATCTGCGATCCAGAGGGATAGATAAGCTGTGTCCGAATCGCGAGCGACACGTCACACTCATCTAAAACATCTCTGGAGTGCTTGTCCAGCCATTCTTGGGTTTTTATCATCAGCATTGCCTCTCTAGTCTCGCCATCTACTAATCGTTGCAATCCACTCAGTTTGAATGAGAGGAGGCATTCCGGGAGTGCTAAGATGATTCCGCTACCATGTTGGATCTGTACATGTAGCTGACTAAATGCTCGAATGTGCCCGGTTTTGGTTGGGGTTCTTCGAGAGAATGGAATGTGAATGACCTGACGATTTACGAGACCTCCTAATTTAGATTGCATGATCTGGGCGGATTGTAGGAGAAGGGGTCTGGGCACAACTATTCGTAGCAATCGTTTCCTATCTGCAAGAATAGACGCCACCATTGCTGTACTTAATTAGCATCTCAACATGTCTAGAATTAGAGCGTGAAAGCGTACGCAGAATGCAAGATGTTTTCCCTCTACCCATTAGCAGCTGCAGGACAGAATTTTCTCCAGATTTTGGTGATATTGTAGCCAATGCCACCTCAACTTGTTCTGGTCGAATCAAGATGTTCCCTTCCACTTCCAAAAGTAGCCAGTCAACGTACTCCAATGGCGACCAGTTCTGATGGCCAGTATTAATTCTCTCGTCAAGTAGTTGCTGTTCCCTTCGCTTACGATACGCATCCTCGATCCTCAATAGGCGCTGATATGATGTAATCGCTAAACCCATATTGACGAGGATTTCCTTCATTCCCTTCCCGAACGCTATTTCCGATGTGGACCGCAGCTCAGAGAGTAGAGTAACAAAAGTAATGCTCGGCCAAAGCCCACCATATCTCATCCATTTGGCTCGTGGATCATCCTGCTGCAGCGCTGTCCGAATATGCTCGAGCACCTTACGCGCCTTGATTTTCGCTTCATTAATCTGGTTGAAGAATCCCGTTGGATTGAATGACTCGCATGAGGTTTGCGGTCTAGATTCTTGGCAACGTAGAGCGCTGATACTTTGTTCTAGTTCTCGCCCATACTGCCTCTGTACCATAGAAGTTGATTTACCTAGGCTCGCCACGATACTTTCGAGCTCTTGAATTCGCGGCGACGGGAAAGCCGCTGGTGTGGTGCTTCCTACGAATTTCCCCAGCGGACGGCTCGAGCCGGTAGCACTGTCGCAAACGGCGGATTTTTTGGATACCCAAGCGAGTGAGAAATCGGTTCCTTTACTTAACAGTTCTGGCAAACTAGGAACCTCTCTTCCCATCATTGACTTTACATAAAGGCGAGGGGGGGTAGAAGGTTCAACAGCCACGAAACTAGCAGTATCTGTACTGTCTAACATAGGGCCACTATTTTTATCTAGAACAAGCTGCACTTGTTCTAGGTATTTTGCAAGCTCAAAATTTTGCGTGAGACGTAACCATTCTGGTTGGACTCGCTCAAGAGCCTCATCGACGTCTAAGTGCGCATTGCTGACGTTGTACGCCGAAGGTATCTTCAGCTGAAGTTTCTCACTGGGCCATTGGGATCGAATAAATCGTGCGAGAGCAGTACAGCTTCGCTGTGCTTCTTTATCATACTCAATCCTCTTCAGAGCAAGTTGACCTGGCCGCGCGCCACTTGTCTGCTCGCCTGCGATGTACGGTAATTTCGCCTCCTTCATCAAATCCGCAAGATATTCGACTGTTGGTACTTCCGTGCCATTATATCGAATATAGGAAGGACAAGTTGGGGGGTGGAGTGAACTGAGACCTGGAAGGAGTATGTAGGCAACTATCACCCGGATTAGATCCATTCTAGCCCGAGAGGAGAATGCCATTGGTGCTAGCAAGAAAATTAGTCGATATTTGTCCTGGCCGCTTGAATTCAGAATGGTGCGAACTAGGGCGCCCCAGTCTACTCCAAAGTTGACGGACAGGAGGTCCGAGATCTGTACTTTGTCAAACGGTCGAACGAATCCCCCAATGACAGGGAACTCTTCTAGCAGCGAACTCAGATCTTTTGTATTCGAGAGAATAGAAGGAGGCCTGAGCAGTAGGTTCGTTACAACGGCAACATTCAGCCGACAATCGGTTTGAAAGCGGCCATCCCTGGGATGATAAAGAACATCTTCCCCAGGCGGTTGGCCATATATCCTCGCTATAGCTCGGCATTCCAGATGCTCATTCCCAGATGGAAATTTATGAGTGCTTTGATCATATCCGTCTGAAAAGAGTGCCAGATTCGAAGATCTCTCGCATATTTTCTCCGTAAGAAGCCGATATCTATCATCTTGAATTGTGGTGGTCAGCTCTGGATTCCAGGAAACCGCCTCCATATATTTGAGGTTGCTAGGATAGTATCCGCGACCTGGAGAGAGTTCTGCAATATGTCGCAAGATTTCAAGGTTCTTGGCATCGAGGGGACTCCAAGGCTGATATGAGCCCGTCTGGAGGCAATAGAGAGCTTCGTCAACTCCTATTCGTTCAGTGAGCGGATCTGGAAGAAAGTGGGATGTATAGGCATGCCACAACGCCTTTGTGTAAAGTAATCGCGGCTCCGCTGGGCACTCCACTCGCCCCAGCACTTCATTGATCCCAAACATCAAGTAGTTGCCTTGGTTCTGAATCTCAATCAAGACGTGCTGTTTATGGCGTTGGACATTAAACGGCCCCATAGGAACAAGGATGCTTCGTTGACGCCAGTTCTTGACGGATTGAATAACTAACTTGCTCTGCAGTCCATACCATGTTCCAGGGTCCTGGCGCCTGGATTCCACAATCTCAGCACCGAGTTGACGACACTGCAGCAGCCCCTTGGTATTAACACGAAAGGTTAATTCAAGGCGCTTCAATTCGACCGCCAAGGATCCCTTTCCTGGTTGATATATGGTGACGTGGTGAGGATGCTCGAACAAGTGAAAGTTTTGCATGACTAATTTTGCAAGGTCACTGTTGGGATCTATAAGTTTTGATGCCCTCCTCGTGGCACGGCGAGTTGGGACATGGATGAGCCAATTCCCAATTTTTGACTTCCACAAGTGTTCTTGCCGAATCTCCAAAACTCCAGTTTGGAGGTTGAGCCAATGATGACAGTTCAAAACGAGCGATGCAGGCAAGTCGAACTGGGCAGGATTTCTAAATATATCCCGAGGAATGTATTCAAGCACCGATCCGTTATGTTCTGCCCTTAAGATTAAGTGCTGTCCATTGCGGAAACCAAGGTGAACCCAACACCCATTTGGCATGCAACGGTCAATCATAAGAGACATCCCTGGCATAGAAGACGGGCGCACTCGAAGGATTTGCGTTCCAAACAAGTTCTGTATCGTTGGCGTCTGGCGATATTCAGAAGGGAGAACTCCCAACTGCTTCCCATTGATCAAAAGACGCCCGTAGACGAAGTCGTAGTGAACATTATGGCTAGTCTCTTCATCGGTTGACGTAAAGCTCAACCGAATCCACCATGAACCCGCATTAGGTTCCAGATTGACTGAATGACTGTTGCAGCCCTCTGGAACAGGCCATTTCTTGGATAGCACATCAACCATCGCCTTAGGATTGGATAATATAGCATCACGGAGGCGAGAACGAATACCGAAAGTGAAAACCAAGTCGTTTATGATTGCACTTCGCAAAGAAAAAGGAAATTCGTCGAAAGATCCGATGAGATTGTCCTGCAGAGAGATTGATGCCTCAATTAAGTGTTGCAACGCTTCATGATCCAACTGGGGCTCGAGTTGTGGGTATAGCTGGAAAGTGCGTTTGCACAGAACGGACGCCCAAATTCCGAAATTTGACGTCTCTGTTGAAGTTTCGTTGGCTAATGCAAGAATGTCGGCACACCAACCAGAGGTTATGCTGCGAATGGAGTGGAGTAGTCTGACTGCCTCACTCCGTATCGGTGTCGCCGAAGTAAAGAAACTAATCTTGAGGAGCATTGAAATGAGCGTATCCATCTGAATTGGTTCCCTATAATTGCGACGTATCGCTTCGAGGCGTTGACTAATCTGTTCGAGGAGTTTGCAGCAAAAAGATTCGTCATTGAGGGCCGCGTGAACGTCTCTGAAGGGGTTATTGGTAGACGCTGGGCCGGCATGGAGTATTAATCGTGATACAATACCCCATGTGGACTCTGTTGAGAAGTTCAAATTGGTCGAGCCCAGCTCACGCAGCAGAGATAGCCATCGCAAATGAGTGTTTGCCAACAAGCCTTGCCAAGCCATAAATTCGTGCACATTGAGATCTCCTGGGCACTGTGTCTGACTAGCCAAGATCTCGTTGGAGGAAGGCCATGTATGGTGCAGGTGCGATAGCTGAAGAGAACGATAAGGTGAATTGGGCGGGATTTTGAGAGGGAAGTAGAACGAGAACGAAGGCGCACCTTCTCGAGACGTCCATGTGCCGCTGCGGCTGTCATAATAGTTCAGTTTCAGGCCACAAGGACGACAGATCGCCCGCAACGAAACCGGAAAGGATGATACTGCGTAATGGCAGTCTAAGTGAGACTTGGCTGAAGACCCCAGAGAAACATGTGGGCCGCGTCGATTTGCATAGCGCGCAAGCTCAGAATAGTTTCGAAGAAGGGGCACGTTGTCGACTGGATCCACTTTAGGATAGGCCAGGGTAGAAAGAACCAGCCAAGTTGCATCTCGGTACGCCGCAAATGCTCCTGGGATAGCTAGCTCGAAGAGTGCAGCCTTCGCCGCTGGCTCATACATTGGTAGAGGATGTTCAAAAATCTTGATTTTGACCTGTTTCGCCTCCCATTTCAATCGATGCTTGTAACAACCCTTCTTGTGCTCACGGATAACCTCACCGTCAAATGCTGTGTAGGTAGTATAGACACAGGAGGCTTCTGCAATCTGCTTCATCAAGGATTCGTGATGGCGACTCATTTCCTCCCATTCTGCCTCTTTCTCTGTGCGGTCACGCTCGGCCCGATCTTCAATTGTGCGACGGAGTTTCCTGAGATGGGAAGAATTCTCGTAGAAGCGGGCCGCGAACGAGTCCTCTGCAGGATCATCGAAAATGGTCTTGGAACCAGTGCCATTCCAAGCCCGCGTGCGCCTTAAAAGGTAACTCTGAACACTCTGTACACGTTTCATGTCGTCAAGTGACAAGAGGTGGAGGTCGTTCAGGATCGCGGCGTCGAAACCCGGGTGGTAGAGACTTAAGAGTTCATAGCACCCAAGAGCGTTTTGATCCATTACAACCCATAATTCCATAATGTTCAAGAGGGTCTTGCTCTTTAGTTCTGGGAATTCGTCGAAGGAATCGCCAACCTCAATCAAGTAGGCTTCGATGGTTTCCGCTAGGTCGATGCAGCGAGCCTCGCAGTCTGATGTAGAGCTGGCGTAAATATCCACAGAACTCATGGTTTTCTCTTCGAATTCGGATAGCTCAAGATAGCGACGAGCAATAACTGTAAAAGGCTTTTTAGTGGCGACGGAGGATTCGTACCTCTTGACAAGTTCGTACGGTGCCCCACCGTGACTTGGAATACTAGCTAGCCTCTTCCACAGTATGTCATCAAGGAACTGGCCGCTCAGAGGTAATTTCAACGTTTGAGAGGCAGGATTTGCATATTGGGGTAGAGGATGGATGATTCGCTGGGTCCTCCTCTTAAATGTCTCCCACTGCGCCTCAAGATAGTTCTTGGCCGATATCAGCGATTTCTCCAAGTTCTCTCGAATGTGTTGCAAGATCCAATCATAAGCATCCCTAGCCGGGCCAACCGTGTTCTTTCGGTGGACTTCAAGCTTTGCGAGCCGGACACAGAGTTTCTGGATCAAGGTATGGCTCGCTTCAGGTGCCATGTAGGCCAAGGCAGAATCCAAGAATCGCGACATGAAGATACACATCAGAACCTTATAATACATCCGGCCGGCATAGTCTCCTAGCATCTTAGACAAATGCCGTTGGATAGCGACGCGAAGTGTTAGATAAAAAGGTGATCTCCGCCATGGTTTGTGTGCTTTATCCCAGCAAATCGTATCCCGAACCCGTTTCCGCAGAGTTGGAGGAAAGGACGCCGTACCATTTGCCTCTAGAATCGTCATCAACAGGCCACTAACGAGATCAGGGTTGGCAGCATCGCGAATCTCAGGAAGAGGGGCCTGGGCTTTGTGCGTGATAGCAGAGAATTGCTTGACCGACTCGATACTGGCCTGTTCAATAAACGCAGACAGACTGTCCTGGAAAGCTGGGTTGCAGAAGTCTTGGTATGGAATGGAAACGGCTTGGCCTGGGAAATCCCATTGCAATGCGCCCTTAGAAGCTAAAATATTCGAAGCAGGTGCGGCAGTTTCGAAGGCCTCGAACACAACGGCGTCATTGTCACTGGATCCACGCTCCTGTCGGTAAATGAGAAGAGCCGCGTTCTGTTCAGTCACATAGAGGATAAGAGCGTTTGTCTTGCCAAGACTCCCAAACTCCTTCAGGAGCAGGGTCTTGTCGACTTTGCCATCTATGTTGAGCATTTTGCAGGTGGTGAGAGCCAGTCGAACGGCATCCACGGCTTGAAAATGAGAGGGAAGTACGATGGGAGCAAGCACTTTCACAGCATCAAGCAGGCGATCGAGGAGCGCCGCTTCGATTTTGTGAAGGTCGCCGTCCTCTTTCCCAGGGGTCTGTCGGGGCAGAACAACATGGTGGTATAGCGACGTGAGAAAGGAACCGCGGGCCGAAGCGGCCATGGCGATGGGAGTATTGTAATGAGACTACGATAGGGTTACAAGGGTAACATGCCCGGTCGTAAGAAAGGTGTAAGGTAGGAAGGTAGGTAGGACGAGATGGTCGAAGGAAGTTGTAGTGGGTGAAAGAGAGGGGCCAGAAGGCGTAGGTCAAACGGTGTCATGGCGAAACATTGATCCGATGGGAGGGTTTGTTTTGGACAATAGTGACACTTTCACCTACTTTCAGGGTGATAGGCAACCAAACGAAGTGGGGACTTCGCTGGAGCATCTGAGCAAGAGTGTAGTCTAGCTATTCAAAAGCACTACATGTTGAAAGACGGAAGTTCTGATGGGGAGGAACAGGATGAGATCGAGTGTTAAAAGATGATTAAAAGGAGCTAGCTCACCGACTATGAGCTGCCACAAATAAATTCGAGTCGGCCGTAGTATTTACTGCTTCCTTTCTCTAACTCCTACCGCATTACCCTCCACCTGCAACTGATAGAAGGGTAGTCATCTTCAAGGTGGAGGGGAATTAATTCTCGCCTCATGAGTCAGACTCGGACATTTTCTGGTATGCTATGCCTGCACAAAGTATCCTCGAAATCAAGTGTCTAAAACCTGAGCAAATAGCCAGGTATTCTATGCTTAACTGATTCATGTTTGATCCTACTCAATGAAGTGCATTCCAAGGTTGGTTGTGCAGTGTGTTATCACAGAACACGTAAGATGACCAGGACAGAGTCAATATGTTACACCTCTTGCTAGAATCAGAAGGAACGCCCTAAGATGCAAGGCTATGTCCTGAACTACTCTCCTGTTCCGTTCCACGATTGCGGATGAGATCTGGGCCGACCATCGCGTACGTCTTTCCGTATCCCGTCAGCTTCTAGGCACTTTTACGCTGTATGTGTGTCTCCAGGATTAGAGGTGCAAGCTACACAGGTCGTGGACAAAACAATATATGGACAGTTTTGCATTGCGTTTTGCTTAGTGTTGAGGGTGCTTATATGGAAGAAGATGTTAGCACACTCTAGGTCACGTTAGCGAAAGGTTCAATTCAAGGGGGGCATCCTATCCTACTCATGGTCCTTACCTCGAGATATGATACAAGTTAAGACACGTTAAAGGATTCTAAGGAGTCGTTAAACTAGACACCCAAAGAGCAGCCGAGAGTTTATCCGTCCGTAACCGAGGTCTGCACACGAAGCCGTCCATTACATAAGCACTCAAGTTTTCATTGGACAATGAACGCGCAATTTTCTTTTCCCATTATCCTGACAATTCAAGGCCAATGAACAAGTGAGTCATCTTCAAAGAGCTGAAGTTTCTGCATGCATTTCCCACACCTGTGGCCTGACCGCCCAACCTCGGGTCAGCCTCCTCTTCGAGCCACAGCGGACGGTTCTTCGGCACACGAACTCCCTCCCGCCGCACCTCTACATGCCAATCAACCACGTTGGCATGGACCATGATCAACGCGGAAAGGCGCCGCTACGAGCAGGATCTACCGTTATCGATGGCTAAGTACGAACCTTTCCTTCGTGTTGCATCATGCATTTTCTTGTTTCTTGAGTCTTTCTTGTTCTCTTGCTTTCCTTGCCGCTAAGTTCGTCTCAATTTCATGAAGGATGTCTCTGAACGAGAAGGAAATCGACCCCGCTTCTTCTACTAGGGAGAAGGTCTCTTCGGACCTTGGTGAGGAGGAAGTTGATCGGTCTTCCATTTCCACAAACTCAACCAACTCTATCGATTCGGCGGAAGACCAGCTGTCCATCCACCAATCACTGAGCCGCAATGCAGGACTGGAAGAACCCGACAAAGAGCTCGCCCGTATTACCAGTGTCGCGACGAACGTGACTTCTGATCCGCAATTTGAAGTTGACTTCGGCGACAATGTAGAAAACCCGCAGGACTGGGGTATGGCCAAGAAGAGCATGATCATCGGATTCATGTCTTTCTCTACCCTTGTCGTCGTCATGTACTCAACTAGCTACACAAGTGGTATTCCTGGCATGATGGAAACATTTGGAATTAGGTCAAAGACTCTGATTGTTCTCGGCATCACTACGTATCTGGCTGGACTAGCACTTGGCTCGGTTCTTCTAGCACCTCTGAGTGAAATGTACGGTCGGCGGCCAGTATATCTCATTGCGGTCTTCATGTTTGTGGCGTTGATCATTCCATGCGGGCTGGCGGAGAACCTTGCAGCTATTCTCATCACGCGATTTTTTGGTGCAATTGCTGGCTCAGCTATGATCTCGAACGCGCCAGGGACTGTCAGCGATATTGTGAGCGATGACTACCGTGCTTTGGCATTTTCAATATGGAGCATAGGACCAATGAATGGCCCCGTTATTGGGTGAGTTTTTTCTCTTCCTACTCCTCCATCTTCAGGCATAATTGACCCCATAACAGTCCTCTTATCGGAGGCTTCGTTTTCCAATTCATGGGGTGGCGCTGGACGAATTGGGTTGTAATGATTGGGTCAGGGGTTTCCTTTGTCATGGTCCTCATTGTCAAGGAGACGTATGCACCGGCCATCTTGCGAGCGAAAGCAGCAGCGAAGCGAAAAGAGACGGGAGACGAGCGGTGGTACTCGCGATACGACGACAAGAAGAAGTTCTGGCCTCTCCTGCGAGAGAACCTTGTTCGTCCGCTCTCTATGAGTGTCAAGGAACCGATATGGTAGATATCAGGCCTCGATGCACTTTGATTCCATATGCTAACACTAGAAACAGCATCTTCTGGAATGTATACATCGCCCTTGTTTATGGTGTCATGTATCTTTGCTTCGTATCCTACCCGATCGTCTTCACTGAATTACGAGGTTGGAGTCCCGGGCTAACAGGCCTTGCTTACGTAGGCATTGGCATCGGAGGTAAGACTTAAATCCTCTACCTCCTCTTTCTTTGCTTCTTTGAGCTGACAATACGCAGGTCTTGTGACCATCTCGTGTGAACCACTCATACGCCAATGGATCAATTCTCACAAAACAGATCTAGCTACAGGAAAGCCCCCACCAGAAAGCATGATTAGTATTGTCTGTGTAGCTGCAGTAGCTGTACCAGTCGGAGAATTGATGTTCGCCTGGACCTGTACCCCGAATGTCCACTGGATCGCTCCGATCATCGCAGGTGTCCCATTCGGCGCTGGAAATTGTGCTGTGTTCATTTACGCTTCAAATTACCTCGTTCATTCCTACGGTATCTACGCTGCGTCCGCATTGGCTGGCAATGCTGTACTAAGAAGCGCGATGGGTGGTGCTCTCCCGCTTGCTGGTCCCAAGATGTATTCGACTTTGGGTCCCCATTGGTCTGGAACTATGCTCGGCCTCATCGAACTCGCTATGATACCAATCCCTTTTGTGTTCTATCGATACGGCCACAAAATTCGAGAGAAATCCACCCTCATTAGCCGCATGCGTGAAGATCGGGAGAAATTGGAGAACAAGAGGAAGGCCTCTGAAAGGGAAGAAATGTTGAAGATAGGAGGAGCTGGGGCGCGTGTTGAACAGGACCGAGGGAAAGAGAAGGAAGATTTTGAAGTCTGATCCATGCTAATAGTAATCTATAAGCCCACGTCCGTTAATAGCGGTTCCTCTAGCAGCGTTAGCAACCTGTGGGTTAGAGACATGGGAAACGTTTACCAGAGATGTAAACTAGGTTGGAATAGGAGCTGGATCCTATTTGATCGACAAGGTCCATTGATTGTCAGGTTATGATGGCATCTGGGTCAACGGAGAGAAAAATGGTAAGGGAGGGGGTGCCCCACATAACTGCAGTTTTTTATCCTTCGCGGTGTCCTGAGGGTCGGCTGCAGCCATCCTGCTAGTTGCAAGGATGGGTGGCAGCCGTTCGGTTGAGAAACCGCCCCTCGTTTTCATCACAAATCCTCTGTAGGGGCGTTATAATTGGAGGGCCGGAAAGCTTGCACACCAGCAATTGACTCTCAAATCGCGGCCAATTGTAGTTGAGCGATGTTGATGAGTGAAGGTGTTGTGGCAGTAGGTTCGCTTCCAAACGAAAATATCGATAACAATATGCACCCACTACCATCTCGATCAACTCGAATTCTGCCGGCACGCCCCTCTTCAGTTCAGGAATGAATTGGCATTCTCTTGACAGCTTTCTGCCTTGCAAATCAATTGCTTCGGACCCCTAGAAGACAACAATGTGGCGTCCTCAATCCATGTCGTATTGGGGAGGCACAGCTCATCATAACAGCCCCGTGAATGCATGCAGGCATGTGGCGTAGATAATTGGCAGATTTTGCGGCATTTTTGAAGTCGTAGAGAAATCTAGTATGCATATCTCGCGAGTCTTTTTCAAGAAGCCCCCTGCTGCTTCCGATACCAGAATCGAACACACATTTTCCAGTTCCTCCTTATTCACATTTTCCCTTTCCACCCCACATGACACCACCACCACGGATGGATTTCATAGGTCTGGGAAATGACATACACCATCTCATCCTAACTGATTTCGCCATACCTCTCCCAGCTTTCTCCTCTCCTTGACCTGTGTGTCAAAGCTTCTCAATGCCTTGGTGACACCGCACATATTCCGCACTGTAGTGTTATCTAGCGCAATCGCTTCGAGTCCAACAAAGAGAGCCCAGAGTAATATTTCGTACAGTAGACTGGTCACATATCTGTGTTCTAGAGTTCCACCAAGACTACACCGAACATCCGTTCGATGTGCTTATTGGACTCACCCCCAGTCTCTAATCCCTGAGAATCTGCCTGTCGAAATCGAGACATCTCTTCGCAATCGATCCAGCGATGTTGTTATTCGATTCTCTAAATTGTCTCAAATCATTAGATATTGCAAATATTGGAATTACATTGACAAATTGTAGCCAGCCATCAAGAAGCATAGGCATACGTTGGAGACATTAATGCTAAGACAGACGTTATATTCCGCAGGATATCGCAACTATCTAGGCCATACGTACTTATTGGGCATCTCCCGAGATTTTCCTAAGTTAAAGCATGTGGGGTTCGACATACCTTTTCTACCGGCTAAGAAAAAGGTCGAGATCAACCGAAGCTATATGTTTCCCTCTGCTCTTTCGTTCTTCATTTCTATGAAAATAATTTTTGGGTTAATGTAGCCTATTCTTTACAGCGGTATCCGGAATACATGTCTCTCCTCACAAGAGTGCAGCTCAACACCTTAGAGCTCTTTTTACATCTCCCAGACCGAAACCCTCTTCGCCCCCGGCACTATCAAGACGTCATGGGCGGTGTTTCGTTTCCAGTAATCAACCTTACAGGCTGTCGGCGATATGCAATTGACCTTGCAGACACCATATCAACGGTTCAAAAAGAGTCCTTGCGAAACCTCAACATCCACTTTTCAAGAACCAGATCCTCTGACAGGTTTCAGTCGTTCTGCTGCGAAGTGATTATGCAATTGAGTCGGAGAGGAAGGGATGACACGGATATATTGGAGAATGCAAAGTATAATGTTGTTGGACCAGGAGATTGGAATGGTCCTAATTCGTAAGGGGGAAGTGGGAAATACTACTACTATTATTGTGAGACGTGAGCAGCTGGTGTCAAGTGTTGTGGCCTCAAAGGTGTGCGAAAGGGCGGTCGAGAAGGGCGGCGTTCATCCATAGCTAAGCCCAGGTATCGCGAATCACCGCTCACAGCTTTCGCTTTAGCTAGCACTAGTATGATTTAGAAGGTATTATTTGAAACATCAAGCCCTATCTAGAAGCGTGCATGATACTACGACTTGTGAACTCCTCTTGAGACATCAGGGCCAGTGTTTAATTGGACAGCCCGAACGCTTGTCAAGCTTTGACGTCAAGGCCACAGGCACTGTAAGATTTGGATTGAGTGATGGACCTGACTATATGCCTGGCTGTCTACAGCATGTTATCACATTACGTGCAAACACAACGATGGAAACGTCTCTCTGTTTTACCTCTTGCTGGAATTAGGAAGAGCGCCAACGGGAAACTAATTTCTATCCTGAATTACACCCCTGTCATGTTCCACATTTGGTGGTATGATGTCGTTCTTTACCCTACATCGCCTTTCCGTGGTAGCTAACGAATTTATCTACCACGAACTCTTCCAACCCCCATTTCGCATTCTGTCTCCCAAAGCCACTGCCCTTCACCCCGCCTTGCGAAGCAGTCGGGGAGGTGTAAACACTTATGCTGTTTATATGTACTTGTCCGTACTCCAGCTCCCGTGCCATCCTTAACGCTCGCTCCATGTTAGTACTCCAGATCGTCGCATTGAGACCATATGCCGAGCGATTGGCGAGCTCGATGGCTGCTTCGTCATTTTGGACCACGTACAAGGAAGCGGACGGGCCGAATGTCTCTTCGTCTACGATTCGAGAGTCCTTGGGTTCCAGAACAATAGTCGGTTTGAGGGAAAGTGGTCCGTTGTGTTCTACACCACCGACGAGGAATTTATCTCCCTTTGCTTGAGAGTCTTTGAGCACATCTTCAGCATGCCTTGCTATTCCCTCCGTAACTGCCGCTCCAGCCTGGCCGCTAATGCCCTGCATAGCCTTGATCAACAGTTCTTGAAACTGCTCCGCCACAGCCCGATGAACGATAATTCGCTCCGTAGAAAAGCAAATCTGGCCATGATGCAAAACCGCACCTAATGCACACAACTTTGCCGCTTCCTCAAGCTCTGCATCATCGAGGACAATAGCAGGACACTTCCCCCCTAACTCCATCAACACAGGCTTCAGATACTTCGCACACAGCTGTCCAATAACCCTCCCTACAGCCGCAGACCCAATGAATTCGACTTTCCGAATTGCTTCATTAGCAATCAACGTCTCCGTAACTTCCGCAGCATCTTCCCGTCTTACCTGAATCTGATTCAGCACACCAGGGGGAACGCCGGCTTCCGTAAATGCCTCTGTAATCGCAAAATGCGTGCGGGGAGACAGTTCACTCGCTTTAAAAACCACCGTACAGCCCGCCGCGATTGCACTCGCAACTCCCCGCGTTGCTAAAATCAGCGCAGCGTTCCAAGGCGCGATACATAAGACTGGTCCAATTGGCTCTCTGAATACAAAACCCATGGTGTGCGGTTTCTCAATTTGGGGGATCACGCCTGTGATGCTAGAGATGCAGGACGCGATTTCTTTTAGGTACCGGATAGAGAGGTCAACGTTTAGACGCGCCCAGGCTTCGTCGCAGGATGTTTCAGAGATTTGGTGTTGGATGAAAGAGGGGGTGTGAGCTTCGTAGTGGGCGGCGACGCGGAGGATGAGGTCGCGACGGATGGTGTGGGCTGTGTGTTTCCAGGGTTTGAAAGCAGTTTTTGCGGAGGAGACAGCGAGGAGGGCTTGGGTGGGTGATGCTGAGGTCGCATAATGCACGGTTTCGTCGGTGACGGATTTTATGACGGGGAACGAAGAGGTGGTGTGTGTGGGGAAGGGAGAACCATTGATCCAAAGGGGAACTGTGTAGGATGAAGGCATGATATGATGAAACAGAGGATAGATGTTTAATAGAGAAATCAGACAATGAGGAAGTTGATCTAGATTAGGTATACTCTCATTTGAATGATCTATGGTACATGGGTTTTCGTGTGGAGAATGACATGTCGGAAATATCACAGCGAAGTGTCATGTGGGGCACTGATTGGTCTCTTCTCTTCTCCCTCATGTCACCATCAGGACGGCTCTGGGAGTGACAGAAGAGATACGTCGGCAGTTGTTTAGCCTATGAAGCAGTTGTGGCTGATCCAAAAGCCCAAGCCACACCGCTGCACCGCCTCACGGATCATCGACATCCGCCCTTCGCTCAGCCTTCAGCCCTCATCCTTTCCCTAATCCTAATCTCGCACTACGACAAAGGGCACAGTCAGCGCGTGACTGGTGCATGGATTGCAATGTAGAGTCATATCCAGCTGTGCTCTTCAGGAGAAGGGTACAATACTCGTTTGTTCAAAGCGAATACCTCCATATCAATTTACAAATAGCACAGGTCATCCCAACCCAGGATCCCGAGCAACATATAGTCCTCTTCATTGAGTGCACTAATTTCCCTATCTACTTGCACACACCCTCTATAACATTCCAGCAAGCCGCTCTGAGAGCTAAGAGACTTATCATGGCACCCACCCCCAAACCTCACGACTCTGATCTCCATATCGCTCTCGAAATCCATGGCCTTCCATTCTCCACCATTCCCGCCAACGACCTATCCCCTAAGCACGCTTCCCACACCTCCGATCTCCGCGCCTCTAGCCGCATACAATCCCGCAACCGAGCGCGAATGGAGAAGTACTACCACTTCAAAGGCCTCTCTCCCTTCGACCTCCCCTCCCACCCCAACCAACAGTCCCACTACACGCCCCATTCGCACATCCCAGACTGCGACTCCAGCATGTACTTAACATCCTTCCCGGCTGACCTCTCCACGGCCATTATTCACAGATTCACGCCGCGCGAGGCGTATCGACAAGCGCAGCAATGGCCGCGTCCACCTAGCTACCACCACTCGCGGGAGAAGAAGTATTCTAATAAGTGGCAGAAACGGCAATTATCGAAGAAGGGGATGAGGAGGGAGATCAAGGAGGAGGAGTGGAGAGAGGATCTGGATATGATGGAGGATACAGAGAAGATGATTGAGCGTATGGATGCGTATGAGAGGTATTGTTATTTTGGAGATTATGCGGATGTTTTTGACGGTCCTGGGGAATCAAAGGTGCCAGTGCCACAGACTACCTCTCAACTTCAGGACATTTCCTCTCTATCGCAAGCAATTGAAGAGAACGTGGATGTGGATGAGGGATACATGAGCTATATCTCTGACGAGGACGATGGGGAAATCGAAGGGGAAGAGCAGTCTGAGGACGAAGACGACAACAATTGGCGCAACCTTGGCTGGTATCCATTCCGCTACCACTTCACCGCAACTGGGGGTGGGTGGCCATTCCGATGGCACAGAAACTTCACCGGATGTCACTTCATCGCCGTCTGGACCTCTTGCAGTGAACAGTTCTGCGCTTGTCATTTATATTGGCCCCGCGATCCAGAAGTTCCTCAGATGTTCTCGCTGGGAGAATGGGCGAGAGGAGCGCTGGGGGAAATGGAAGTGGGAAGGCCATGGGATGACGCCAAGAACGAGGTTTTTGGGGGTCCAGAGTGGGTGGATAGTTCCGGTGGAATGAGCGTCTACGGGCGGAGTGACTACGAGGACATGATCATGGATGTGGCGGAGCAGCTAGGGCGGGATTGGGATATCGTGTCTCTGGCTTCTGAGGCTTGGACTGAGGTCGAAGATGCCTTATCCGATATTGGATCTTGGTGAGCACATATCAATACTCTCTTCTGAATATTAATAGAGTCATTGATTGGCGAAATTTACCGCACTTTCTCATCTAACGTGGAATATGATCAATCCATCTATTAACCCTCTTACTGGAGTCAGCGAGAAAGTCAATAGGAAACAGATTCCCTGCCGTGTTCATCACTAGGTAATAGGATGCAGTGCAATAACACAGCTTATTAACTTCCTATGCTACGTTGCTATATATCTAGTTTAACTATGGTCAGACGTTGTATCCAGGGCCCCAAGAATTATATACTTTTGCTAGGAAGAAGACTCGTCAGAGAGCTAAATTCGCACAACTAAAAGCCGGTCTCGTACCTGCCGAATAATCATCAATAATCGCCTTCACCGCGGAATAAAATCCCGGACCAAGTATAAACAGCCCAACCGCCATAACAAAGACATGCACAACCGTCATAACCGACCTCCAGGTACCCGCAAACAATTTCCCACGGTAAAGATGCCAATACGCAACCGCGAAGTAGATGAATCCGAAGAATGAGTCGAATGCGGAACCAAGCAGGGAGAGGAAATCCCCCATGCTGGGAATCACCTCTGCGAATATGAAGCCGAGAATCCAAATCCCTGCCATGACTGCACACCAAATCCCCCAGCCAATCACGGTGTTACTATGCGCGTGACGAGATGTGCCCATGATGCGGAAGTAGATGTATTTGGCACTGACGTTGGCGTAGATGACGCCGATGATGAGCGTGGGCACAATGACAAACGCAAAGGATCCTTTCTTGTAGGCGTCGACACCCAGACTGCCAAATGCTGGGGCTGTGGAGTACTGGCCTAGATATCGGAATCCAATGGCTGGGGGAACAATGAATAAGAAGATGGAGATGCCAGTGAGAACAGTCAGGGATTTGGGGAAGTCTTGTGGTCGCTCCATCTCGGCGATAAAGGTGGGGAAGAGAATTTGCGGAACCCAGAGGAATGTGATGTTTAGCACGGCATTCATGCAGTTCACCCAGGTAGTGCCGGGGAGGGGGAAGGCATAGGTCCGAACTGGGCCGTCAGTGGGATAGTTGCCGTTGTAGCCATACAGGGGAGCATCCTCGATACCAGCAAAAATCAAGAAAAGGAGGACAGCAACTGCCATAAATGCAGCTGTCAAAACAGGCGTCAGTGAATAGTGCCGAAAGGTCATGAAAATGGGAATCGTGATCACTCACCTGAGAACATCGACATGAACGAAACGTGGCGTAAGGTCCTCGGTAGGGACAACACTATACCCATCAAGGTTGCAATGACAGAGAACACTACAGTGCAAAGGGAGTGATCTGATAGAGTGTTAAGGACCTTGGCACCAGTGAGGATGTGAAAGCCAATGAGGAGGATATTATTGGCGAGCAGCATGAATCCAGAGAACTCATAAGCAAACCTATTTCTCCCAAAAGCGTAGTATCCGAAATCACAGATATCTTTGATCTGAGGATACTTCATTATGTACTTCCACATGGTCATTGAAGTAATCCAGAAGAGGATACCAGCAGCCACCATAGTGATAATTCCTGGAACCCACCCTAGGACCCTGCGTGGAGATGCAATATTAGAGGCGGGCACCAAGATGACTGCAGCGACGGCAGGCTTACGAGAGCGACCATGTCTGAGCCATAATGGCAAGACAGACTTGGTCTCCGGCAAGCAACCACGCTGCCTTCTGCCATGACATAGTTCGCAGCTTGATCTCATGTTGGTGGTCTGCACATTATCAGAGCAAATTCTGGAGACAAAAACAGAATTTTGGAGAAATTAGGACTTACCTTCATGGACCAGCGCTTTGATGGTGTCGATACTGGATCCGTCGTACTGAGGCACATCGTCGCCGCTCTCAACGGCGGCTGGCCCTTTGATCTCGTCTGGATAAGGAGGCGTAGACATGATCAAGAGCTGTCTAGCTAGACGACTAGATACTGGAATTTATTGATTGAAACTTGAGATTGCGATAATGGCATCCTGGTGAAGAGGGGACAAACTTATAAAGGAACTTAGTGCATATTCGATTGCTGATGCCATTTTAGAGGCGATAGCGTGCGACATCATGAGAGGTCCAGATAAGACCCAGAGGCGCCACTCGGACGTTAAAAATGCTGAATACGATTAGTCATAAGTGGGCAAAAGAGCAAGTCACCGAAGCTATGGCGATCGGCAATGAATTTGTGAATAATATCCGCCAGAAAGGGTAGAGAGGATGGGGGTTGGGCTCTGCGACGTGAATGGCACGGAGCCGTATTCAGGCCGTGCGCTCATGTTCCGAGGTATCCAAAGATAATTAGGTATCCGCATCTCAAAATTTGTCCGTGTGAAGTAGGAAAGTGGTATTACAAAATGGCGAGATGAGGCTCCCTGACAAGCTTTGACAGTCCCACTGGAGCAATCTTGGCAGCGTTGATTTTCGCCTTTGACCTGGCTAGCACGTTGCTGTACTCGAACTCAAGTCCGGTAGCTAACGTCTCAGACCCAACGACGAGCCAGCTTCAAGAATACTCATCTTAATCATATTCCCCGGCACGCCCATTTACAAGCACTACCACACGATAAAAGCATACAAAATCTCATCTCCATTGACGAAATTAATTACTGGCACCTCCCTTCTCTCATCGCCGCTTGCATTCCCCGCAACTACAGGAATCCAAAAACCCACATACATAAACAAGACACACACAACTTATCCTAGTCATGGTCCAGGTATATTCATCCCTCCGAAAAGAAAATACATCCGACGCTTCGATAATACTGTAGAGGAGTCTGTATATGCATCGCAGAACGCACGAATCGGGCCGAGAAAAGTGGAATTGGGTTTGAGAACAAGCAAACTAGACATAATTATAAGCAGAGAGGGAAATAGAGAAACAGTGATAAGAGTATTGGTAGGGGAGAGAGTGGTATAAGCCAAGAAAGAGAGGAAAGAAGAAAGAGAAAGACCTTCATGAACCTGAACCTGAACCTGAACATGAGCAGAGCAGAGAAACGTCCAGATCCATTCCATTCCATTCCATGAGATTGAGATGCGCACAACTCGTCGAAACTTTATTGTGCAGAAATGCCGGCAAATTCGATTAGTCCACTACGGTTTGAATGAAGTGTATGGCACCGACACTATTTAGAAGTGCAGCTTGTCCTTGAGCTTGCCAAAGATGGATCGCCTCTTCTTCTTCTTGTCCTCGGTGGTGTTAGGCGTGCCCTTTGAAGAGGATGCTGTATCCTTCTTGGGCGTCTCTGGGGCTACTTCCGTAGCGGGCGTGGTCTTGGCCTCGGCTTTGCTAGTCTCGGCGCCGGTGGTGACGGTTGGCTGAGTCTGCTCGGCAGTGGTGGGCTGCTTTGACATCGGGGAGACGTCACGAGAGTCGGTAGCTGGCTTGACGGGTTCAGGCTCTGCTGGTTTGGAGGCTGCAGCATTCAAAGCATCAGGTTCACTAGATGACTTGAGAGGTTCAGTGTCAGCCAGAGCGTCGTCAGAGAGACCGGCGGCAGTGGGAGCTGGCTCGCCGGCCTCGTCGGTTTTCTGAACCTCCTTGAGCAGTTCAGTTTCCACCTCTTTCTTTTCTTCGACCGCCTCAGCATTAGCGGAAGCCTCGGGACTCACGTGCGCTTCCTTCTGGCTCTCGGTTACAACTTCGGGAACTTCGCTGGCTGTGGCCTGTCCATTCACTCCAATCGTCTCAGCGGCCTTGTCTTTTGCGGCATATGTTGCTGCGGCAAAGGCGGCAGTAGCAGCAGTGGCTCCAACAGCGGCCGTCGCGCCAACCTTCTCGGTGGTGGTGGAGCTCTCGGCTGCTGGTGGCTCCTCGGGAACCTTCGACTTCAGCTCCTCCTCGACTTCCTTCTTCTCTTCAACCGCCTCAGGGTTGGCGGATGCTTCTGGGGCAAAGTCTGCCACCTTTTGGCTCTCCGTGACAGCCTCTGGGACAATCTTCGGCTCCTTGGGGACTTCGGCGGCAAGCGCGACCGTCGTGCTGGTTGGTGCGGCGGACTGGATGGTGACGCCTGGATCTTTCTCGATCTCAACATTGGTATCTTTGGGAAGACTTGACTCTGGGATCAAACCGCTGGTGACAGGAGGCAGACTAAACATACCGCCCTTAGCCTCTCCTTCAGCTTCTGGGGTCACGGCAGGGCCAAGCTGAGGTGGAGCAGCATCTGAGTTCTCATACGACGCAGCATCTGTCTTAATCGTGCTCTCGATGGTGTTCGAGGTTAGAGTGCTTGGGTCAGGCACCTTCTCTCCTGGTGCGAGGTGGATCGGGTTGCCGGCTCCTGCCGTAGCTGGTATTGGGGCAACTTTAACCGTCTCCTCGGGCTCCTTATCGTCCTTCACAGTGGATTGTATCGTGTTGCTCGTGAGGGTGCTCGGGTCGGGGACTTTCTCACCAGGCTCAAGCTTGACAGGGTTGCCGGGGCCGTCCGTAGCCGGGATAGGGTTCACGGAGAACGATTGCGGTTCGGTGGCAGGCGTTTCGAAGGGAGTCTGGGGGAAGGCTCCAGGGACCGGTTCTTCCGATTTTGCCCTTTCCTCCTTCGGCACGGCTCCTGCCAAGGCTGCGGTTGTAGACTCGGGTGCAACCGAGGAAAGAATGCCCACAGGCTCGTCCTTGATATCTTCTGGTGTCAGGACATTGTTCTCGATGCCAGTGCTATCATTTTCTTTCGGCGCAGAGTTGTTTAAACACCAGTTACCATCGACGACAAACTGCAGGGGTAATCATTAGCACAATTGAATGTGTAGGCTACGACGAGTCGTGAAAATGTTGGTACAGGCGGGGGAGAACACTCACCTTGTACAGATGCTTGGACTTTGGCAGCTCGACTGTTTTCTTGAAGACGTCACCTTCCTTCTCTAGCTTGATGGTCTTTTGCCATGAGTCGAAGTCGCCTGTGACGAGGACTTCATTGGCGGCGTGTTCCCTGTGGAGAATCGGTGAGTCGATAGCAGGAGCCAAGCGGCGGCGCAACGTACCACGTAAAGGTGTATTTCCCCATCTTGATGGGCAGGAGAGAGATCGGATGAGCTAGTGAAGGGAATAAGGATCACAGTCAAGGGCTGAGACAGTGTCTTGTGGTTGCGAAAACGGAGGGCGGGAGGTGGTTGGGCGAGAGGCACTGGATCAGGAGCGGCAGACGCTGGAGACTGCAAACGGCAATAGGACGGCGCGCTAAGGCAGGAAATGGACGGCGATAAGAGCTGCAGGTGGCCAAAGAGGTGGTGATGAGAGGCTCTGCGAGACACAATGCGCTGCAGAGTCAGAGTATTACGAGGGGAGAGTGCTTGCAGAGGTTGGGGCAGTTTGCGCCTCAAGGGCTGTCGAGCTCAGGACTGGGACGGAGCCAAGACTTTTTCGCCGAGCTTAACGAACAGAGGCTAGACGGTGACAGACAGCGGGTAGACAGCGGGCAGACAGCAGACAGACAGCTCGTCCGGTGCCTATGACGACGGTGCAATACCCAAGCTCTTCAATTTCGCCCTCGAAGATATTGCAGTCAGGAACTCCCCGTCTAGTGCCTTTGATAGTCGCAATGGCCGTCTCTCCCAGCAGCCCCGCCATACGCACGCTGGTCGCACGTGCTCGTATTCACCTTGCGTCATGGGCGTTCGTCCCCATCTGGCCAATCATCCCAAGCGCCGTCTTTGAAGAGGGTTTCAACAGGAGAGTTCGTCCAGTACGCAATGCTTGCAACCTCCTGCTCTCGACTCTGGCCCAACCGTGACGGGACGACATGCTGTGAAGTTTCGCCATCTTCAGGTTTTCACCGCCAGTTTCTCGTCGAGTTTGAGGAAGGTCATGGGACCAGTCTTGCAGATGCCGTCCTGCGTCCAATCAGAGAAAAGCCTGTTAGAGGCGTCACATCCAAACCTCGTCCGTCCAAGTAGTCGTCCAGGGCTGGGAAGGCAAAATAATCTTACGGGCGGCGAGGTTTGACTAGAGAGACGATGTTCGGCAGCCTAGATGCAGAGGAAATCAGGGCGAACGTTGCAAGCAAGGAACTGCACCGTCCTGTTCTAGGTATCTTCAGACATGTGTCACGAGCCTCACGTCTATGCTTGGCCGCAGCCAGGCGTTCATGTTCCATGTAAAAATGCTGGAATGGTACACCGAAGCCTTTCATTCCTTGTTCCCGTGACCGGGAAGCTATCAGAGACGCTCCTGTCTCGCTATTGCCCAGAGCCCGCGATGACTCTCCACAGCCAGAGTCATCAATATTTCAAGCAATCGAGCTGATTGATGTTGAGGGAGTCTGGCTGCTGCCTTCACCGGAATCGTCGGCAGATGTGCAAGCTCCTTCAGCCCTTCTTAGTCGAGAATGTGGTATGATTCACCTATCCTTTGAGGGTGACGAGAGGACAAACAGGCGCTGCGGGAGTGCTTTGTTCCGTCAACCACCAGCTGCAGCAGCTCGGACACCTGCCTGCGAGCACCCCACTAGCGGCAGCGAAGCTTTGTGCCTTGCGGAGTCCGTGTGGCGGGAGCTAAATCGAGCTCTGGCGTCGCGTTTGAGATGTCTAATGTCTATCTTGATCTTTGTCTGACTCTGGCTAGCCGTCCCCCGCATCAGAGCACAATATGCTGCTGGAGCGAGGAAGGGACAGTATTGAGCAAGCCAGCCTCGCGCTGTGGCTCGCTGTGTCTCGCTGTGTCACTCCAGCCGCCAAGAGAGCTGCCTGGTTCCGTGGGCGCGTCTCAGTCAGGCTGGTTGCCTGCGGCGCATCGTCAGTGGGTGGCATGCGCTTCGATATGGCTTCTTTGGGGGTTCGATTGCTTCCATAGATGTTCTTTTTGCCTTCCACAGCTCCAACCCCACACCAGACACTTGCCAGGCCTACCAGGCTGCTCGCCCAGAGCTCGCCTCAGGACGCAGCTTCTTCCCCAAGTGCAGCGCGATTCTGGTCCCCCCCCTCATCGCCTGCCAATCGCACCCAGCTGCAGCCCCTCAGTTTCCTGGCGGCTCCCCCAGCGCTCCCTCGCATCTCTCTGGCTTATCCACTCATGCCATTGCCATCCTTCGTGCCTTGAATCGCCCTCCTGCATTGTTCTCTCACCTGCTCGCGCCGTCTGCTCGCTTCGACCCCAGTTCCACACTGCATCATCCCTGCGCCCCTCGCGAACCACACGTCAAAGAGCTGCGAGCGACAACCCCTCACCACGACCTCAATGTCGCTCCCTCCCGACTACTCTAATGAGATATCTGCCCTCAACCGCGAAGTCCTGAAAGCAAAGCCCCAAGACGTCCTCCAGTTCTGCGCAAACTTCTTTCTGCGCCGTCTAGAGTCGCAGCGTGCCGAGTTCCTGCTCTCCCAGCACCATTCCAGCCAGAAAGGCGGTGGCATGGCCGAGAGCACCTTTCCCGGCAACAACCCCTTTGGCACACCACCCAGCGCTGGCCTTGCAACTAGTGGCATGCACCGCCTCGAAGAAGAGGAAGAAAACGACACCATCGCTTCACCTACCGCAGCATCCTTCGCGCCTTCCGACATGGACAAGGCCCAATCAAGCACCAAGGGCGACAGCACCTTCGGCAACTTCGCGTTCGGCGGTTCTGCGAAGTCGTCCAGAGCGACGGCACCAACGGCCATCAGCGCTATGGACAATCAGAGCTTCCCCAGCAATTATAACATGAACAGGCGCACCTCCGTCTCCGCCGAGTCCCTCAACCCCGCCTCCTCCCTTAACGACAATTGGACCCCACCGTATCATCACAAGTCCGCAGATCAACAGAATCGCCTGAAAGCCGCAGTTGCCGGCAACTTCCTCTTCTCCCACCTCGACGACGAACAGTCGGCACAAGTCTTAGGTGCACTGCAGGAGAAGCCAATACCAACAAAGGGGATTAAAGTCATTCAGCAAGGCGACGTGGGGGACTACTTCTACGTGGTCGAGAATGGCTCCTTTGACATTTACATTAATAAGTCAGGAAAGCTGGAAGCTGGTCCCGACGGGCTCGGGACAAAAGTAGGCAGCGTTGGCCTAGGCGGTTCATTTGGTGAACTTGCCCTAATGTATAATGCCCCTCGCGCTGCGACGATTGTGTCGACCGAACAATCCACTCTGTGGGCCTTGGATCGTGTAACATTCCGCCGCATTCTTATGGACAGCGCCTTCCAGCGACGCCGGATGTACGAGGGCTTCCTCGAAGAAGTTCCTCTTCTCTCATCCTTGACACCATATGAACGCTCCAAAATCGCCGACGCTCTCGAAACCCGAAAGTATCCCGCAGGCACCACGATCATCAAAGAAGGCGACGTGGGCGAGTCTTTCTACATCCTCGAATCTGGAGAGGCCGAGGTCTATAAGCGTGGGGTAGACAAGGCTGTCAATCGATACAAGAAGGGAGACTATTTCGGTGAACTAGCATTGCTCAACGATGCTCCCCGCGCAGCTTCTGTTGTTAGTACTTCAGAAGTGAAGGTCGCGACCCTTGGAAAAGACGGCTTCCAACGACTCCTCGGGCCTGTGGAGGGTATCATGAGGCGGAACGATCCAAGCAAATCCGGCGTGGTGGGCGACGGTGATAGCGTCGATCCTCTAGCCAAGGGAGCATGAGGATCGCGGTAAAATACTGTTTCTGCAGACCGGGTTTTTGGTATGGTTGCTTCGGTGTGGGTAGAGTGTATGGTAACAGGCGGGTTTCATCAATTGGATAGGGCCTGGGTGAGAGACCTAGTGTGGTTTCGAATTGCTTGAGCGGAGGAACCCAAGATTCTCGTTGAATTCTTGCTCTCACTGTTCCTAGCGTTTCCGCATGTATTCCTACTCTTCCCTACTATCACTAAATATCGCTTATCGCAGGGAAAAGGAGGTAGGAGTGGATAATCTCGGGCAAGGCTGGGGTTTTCGTGGGCTGGTCAATTACCTATACTCCAATTTTGCATGACGTTCAAGACGATCCTCCGAGCTTACTACTGTATTTGTGAAGCTGATATCTGGGGCTGTCATTCGCCAATCACATCGCCGTTCTGGCCTGTCACGTGGTCCGATTCCGCAAAGGCATCAGGCAGCAGCTCCCATTGTGTCTTCTAACTTCGAGCAATAGGCCGACGTCACTTCAACAACCGCCACCTCGACGCGACGATGCCTCCTCCATGTATCGATTGACGTCTCCTGAGAACAAAGGGTGCTACAACCTGGTTAACCAAAGTCCTCACAAAGGTAAACAGTCTGGCGACAAGTGTCTCACTGTCACAATCCCTGGGCTTCCACCTCATCACTCCTCCCAGTGAGTCGAGAAAAGAAACACTGAAATATCTCCAGAGAGAGCACGCAGCTCTAACATAAGTTCACCAAAAGTCTCCAAAGCAAATCAGTGACAAGGGGCACAAGGCTAGTACCAAACCACTTTCCCGAAGTGTCCGCACTCTTTCTCATATTCCTGCAGCTCCTAAAATATATCGGCCATCTTCTTAGTCCCGGAGCTGGACTGTAACCGGCGACAAAGTTCGAAATCTCTGGAAGACGGGCCTAGTCCTCCGGCGTAGCGTCCAGTCAGTAATAGCTGCAGCGTGGGCGCAGGAACCCTTATTCTCATTGAATTGCGAAAGTGCTGTGGGCGCACGAAGTCCTCCAAGCGCAAGTCCAGCTCCGAGTGACCGCTTTGACCCAAAGGATTGTGCGTAACTCTAACGCCAGAATTGCAATGGGTCGATATTTCCATCTTCTTCTCCCATCTCTCTTCAAATCGAGTTAGACAAAGGGCGGAGCGATGCGGTTGCCTCGAGAGACTGGACAGATGCGATTCTAACTTAGCCGACTGAGTGGGGTACCTTTGTGTCGTGAAGCGTGGCATGGAGTGTTCGCGATATTGATATCACGGCATCTCCGTTACGGAGGGCTACACTTGCGCCGAAATCTGCCTCGTCTATGGAGCAAAACTTGAAGGCTGTCGTGTTATGGGGAATGACGCACACTAGAACGCAGGAACCGATGCCAACGCTGGCGCATGTCAAAACCCCAACTCAGCTGACGACAGGCCATGTCATGTATGAAGCACTCGCGGAGAGACTCACGGAAATTTTGAGATCCAATGAAGACCGAGGCTATGCTTTCCAGTCTTGCACTTGCACTCGCTTGCACCTGCATCATAGGCTGGGCTTATCTGCACGGGCAGGGATACGGCGGGAACTAGTTTCAAAACGGGAAAATGGGCACTACAAGGCATGTATCCTTCACCTGCTGTTGCATGACTGGGTGTGAATATTAACGGCGATGGCAGCTGAACTTCCAATATCCCGTCAGGCTCATCTTAAGACATACTCCAACGTTAAGGCTGCAACCCATGTCAAACGGCTCTTCGCCGAGGGACCCCGAGGCTTGATCAGTCAGCACCTTGGAGCACCATGTGGTGCTTCCTGAGGCAGACCTGCAGTGCACAAATGCCGAAACCAGAGTTAACTGCGGCCCCCACTCCAGCAAACCTTCATTATCAGGTCCAAATTTATGTCTGATCGTCTTCTCCAGCCACAGAGGCTCCAAGCCGCCCTACCAAGCTCTTTCTACGGACCACACACCGGACCAGCCCGAACGCATTTGCGTCAAGACGGTCGCCATTCTTCAGCTACGGTGGTGTTGTCATGAGCAGGCTACGATTTTCTTCACTGGGATACTTGACTTTCCCCGTAGATTCCTCTTTCCGGTGTCCAACAGCCGGTGTGCCCGACCGTAGTTCGGCCAATAATATTGTTAGCTGCGCTTGTTTGATGCTATCCACTCGCCAGCGTCAGTCGCATCATACCGCCCTACAGCCCAATCCTCCCTAAGTGTACAGCTACACCAGGGTCGCCCCGATTACAATACAATTCCTCGGTCTCCTCCCGAGAGATGGCTGTCAACCGCTGCCTGTGGCTTGTGGCGGGAGAGTCGACTCACTCTTCGTCATATAATTCTTTACCATCCAAATCGAGCTTATGGGGGCTTACATCATCTATCTAAACCTAAGTTCCTTATATATCATTCACCTCAACTTCCTTCAAACAGCACTCGTCACACAACCAAGCTGCGAGCAGCACAACACTTCTCTTCTATTTTTGTCATTTGCCTTCGCAAATCTCGATTTTCTCGTCATTGCCTAGAGGCTCCTTTTAATAATTATGACGTCGCCTAACGAACCGAAACCCTCTAAGAAAAGGGTTGGGAGGAAACGATTACCCCCCCTAGCCCCAGGACCCGCACTTCAATTCGTAGTTGCCAGCCATCCTGACCAGTTCAAAGAGGACAAAACTTTGAGGAATATTCGCTCCCACGTAATGTACAAGCATCGCGGAGAACAACGAGGGGGATCTCCCCGGGACAGGTCCAAGAGCAGGGAGCTTGATGCCAAACCTTCAGTTGGGACCCGGACACCAAGCCCGATGACAACCATCTCAGACGGCATACTGGAAGACAACAATCTTATGCTTTCTTCGCGGCGTCGCAGCACTATTTGGGATGGCGACTTCTACAAATTCATGTCGCGATCCCCCCAGACGGCTCCAATGCGGAGCCTAGCTGCAAGAATTATATCTGCTGCGACCACGACACCAGCACGCAGCGTCCCTGCAACATTCGATGAAGGCGCCGAATATCCTTTCCCGAGTAGCAGTTCATTTAGCCAAGAATCACTGGAGGAATTGAAGAATCTTTACCTCGATAACGGAAACTTCTGTCGGGGTATTGGATCCCCAATCCCTGAAGGCAATTACGAAAGAAAACTAACAAGAGGCAGATCGATCTTGGATGGAGGCTGTGTGTAGCAATCGCATGTCATTTCTCAGCCACGTCAGTGTCGCTTGTGTCTACCAAGACGTCGGGGAGTCCCTCTTGGAAGACAGTCCTCTCACCGTATACGCGAAGACCAAGGTACTCCAGATGATTAAAGATAGTCTACAGGGATTCGATACTCAAACGGATGATTTTACTATTCTCAGCATACTGCATCTTCTTATCAGCGAATGTGGTGGATTTGACGAGGACGTCTTCGATGTTCATCAAGAAGGATTGGTGCGTATTATTTACCAAAGAGGTGGTATTGGTAATCTCGGTATGAACGGGAAGATTGCGGCCTTCATGACTCTGTGAGTGTGGCTTTATCCGAAGTCGAGGCGCGTGGCAACTAACGAGATGCAAGCACGATTCTTAGTTTTACCATTCTCCGAGGCCTATCCGAACCCGCTATGCTTCACGGATTTGTCCCAAGTCAAAGGCCGTCGATAGTCTCTGAATATCCTCCTCCCATATCACCTCTATATGCCCCGAATGGTGATCTTTCTGCTATCTATGGCCACTGCTCCGATAGCACCTACGAGTTACTTTGCGACATGCATGATATCACGCGCACGTTTATAGCACGGTGGAACTACATTAGCGGCGCCTTCACTCCTAGATCGAGCTCCGAGCTTGCGTCATATGATACCCACATGGGGGAAATTTACACTCGCCTCTTATACCGACCTCGAACCGACGAAGACCTCACGCCAGACTACGTTTACGAATCTTGCCGCTTAGCAGGGCTGATATATTGCCGTTCCTTAGTGCAAGGACTACCACTCTCAGAATCAGGAAATGTCATGTATGCTCGGAGCTCCGGTGTGAACATTGGTGAAGGATACAGTTCCCGAAGTTCAAACACTACGATCATCTCGGCTCTTCACGATGCGCTGGATAGCACAGACAAGAGCGATAGTTGGTGCGCTATGTGTGGAGTCTTCATCTGGATCTGTTTCGTGGGTGGCGCGGCTTCATGGCCATCGACGCACTCGGTCTACGGCGAACGAGGAGATGTACAGGTACCAGCTGCCTGGGTCAGAAAATGCTTTGCTCTTTATACAGTGAAAGCAGGTCTTTCATTGGGGTTTGAGCGCGCTGCAGCTATTGCTGAAGCGCAGAGGACAATGTTGCAAGTTCAGAACTTGATCAACTTGAAGAGAGGGATTGCGTCTCAATAGACTAGACTTGATATTGTATTTTTGTGTAAAAGGAGATTTGGCAGTGCCTGAACTATCCTTTTGAGTACGTCTCTATTTCTTTCTATTTTCCTTCCTATACTTTTTTTTTTCTTTCAGCTTTCGCTCCCTTTTCCCTTCTCATTACGACTTCTTACGACTTCTACACTTTGTATTCTCTACTCAAGCTTTCCTTTACATTCCTTTGCATGGCTTTATTCCGCATTCACAAAAGCAATCATGTACTAAAGCTAGACGTACGAGGAAACCAAGAGCCAGGAGCGCCTCATGCGTGAAAGGAGTTGCATATCGCGGTTACAGGAGTTAGCGTAGGAGCATCTTTCCTGCTCATCACCTTGCATATTATTTCGAAGATATTAATAGCTATATAACCCTCAAAACACTTTAGTATTGGTACGGATGGTTTTTAGACCCCATAAGGCGGTGATAGCGACAGCTGAAACGCTCTCTCAGCACTTTGATCCAACGTCAACAGGAGACAGTGCTGAAACGCGAGCAAGTGTTGGCAGTTATGCCCATTGTCTGAATGAATACTAGATGGTTGGCTTCTCGACGAATGCTTACATTTACATGGGGCGGAATTCCGGAGATGGTTGATTGGCCGGCTTATTCTTGAACCTGCTGAGCCACACTTCCCGTTTCCGCCGTTTCTTACATTTCTTACAACCCGCAGAATGCATATTTGAGCAGAGGCACAAATGGAATGGTGTGGCTCGTGCGGTGGAATTGCAATGCACTGCGCATATGCGCAACTCGTACCGACAGGAAGACGCCACCACACGCCACTAATGCAACCCCGGAGGTCCGCACAGCCACTTACTCCGTCAAGTTCTCTGCACGGCTATTTCCTGCTTAGGTGCAATGCTTGCTTCCCCGACTTGCCATCCCGCACTCGTGATTCGGCACTGCCGAATCACTCATTTACTCCACTCCAGCTTGCAACGACGCCCAAGTCTCCCGTGTCCGTACCACGGCTGCTCCCAAGGCTTTCTTTGATGGGATGAGGTGTGGTCGGCAGACGAGTACGGATACCGTCATACCATATCCCGAGTCAAGTCAAACTTAGGAAAACCCGCTTTGGGAAAAGTTTAGCGGTTGTGGGAATTTGACCTTATTTCTAAGATACGGTAAGGGGATATTAGGGGACGAATTAGAGGGCAGAAGAGGGGAAGTGTGGTGTACACGTGAGGAAGCGATAACTAAACCCGAAACCTAGGAAAGAGAAGGGAAGAAAAGGGAAGGGATACAGATTAGAGAGAAAGCCAACCAGCCAACCAGCAACATTAGCAGCAGCCAGACCAGCTGTAGCGAGCGAAACTATGGATACAAGCCAAACCAACCCAGATCAGACAATGCCCGAGTCAAGCCGTAGTCGTCGCCGAACGGCGTTCATATCCGGCCCGGTGGACGCGTCTCCAGATTACTTCTCCACACACTACATCCCGCTCCTGTTCCCCGCCATCGCAGCCGGGGATGCATTCATCATGGGTCCAGTCCCCGGCATCGACACCCTGGCTCTGCATTTCCTGCTCTCGCAATCCGTGGACCCGGCACGTATCACTGTCTTCATGGCGCATTTTGAGTACGCGGATGAGCGGTGGCGGAAGAGGTATGAGGAGCTGGGAGTAGGTATTAGAGATGTAGAAGATGCGCAGACGACAGGAGAGAGGGATGCGGCTATGACGGCGAATAGTGACTATGATATCCTGAGATATCGGAATGAGGAGGAGGCTAAAGAGTGGTATGGTGAGATGTGGTGGCCCAGGGTTAGTAATACTGAGATGAATGAGAGAAGGAGAATGGGGGTGGTGAGTAAGGCGTATAATCTTAGGGGGAGTGTGGCGCAGGCACCGGTTGTCCAGAGGGAGGGAGAGGGGGACGAGAGGAAGGAGCAGAAGCGGAAAGAGAGGAAATCGATAGGGAAGTGGATGCTGGGTATGCTTGCCAAAAAGTGATACCAGCTTATGGATGCAAGGACGGCTCTGCTGCAATGTAGGTACGGAGTACACACATATATGTTCCGTATGGTCACGACACATTCAGCACAGTCAGCTGCAAAAAGATAATTAATCTTCTGGAGAATGTGGCCCTGTCCCTGATGATGAGAGGAAACCTCATAGATTGCAGTTACAGAAGCAGAATCATAGAGAGAAGTAGGAAGTTGATATAGAAGAGGATGTTGCATATGTTTGCTAAGAAGAAATTCCCGGTGTCCGGAACGACATCTATTCACCTCGATTGTGCTGCAACGGAATACACTTGTGGGTATTTTCTTGTATGGTACGAACGAATCCATTGGGACACGGACGTTGAGGATCCTTGCTAAGAAGCAATACCAGTCTGCAAGGGCGACTAATCGGCTACTCCCCTCAATTCAGCCCTAATGCAGTATACTCTTAGGTATTGTACAGCACAAGGAAGTCCATCGGGAAGCCAATGTTGTGTATGTTTGCCAAGCGGTGATACCGGCCTACAGATAAGGCGACTACTCTCCTCGAATCGGCCGTGCCGCATTGTTCACATAGGCAATACCGACCTCTGAACAGGCGAATACTCACCTTAATTCAGCTGCAACGCAACATACACAGACATAAAAGGTATTGCACAATGCCAAGGACCCAGCAGATCACCAAGAACAGCACAGTCAGCAACCGGAAGAGGGATAACTAATCTTCCTGCATCTGCACACCGACCTGCCTGCTTTCATCCCACCCGGTGTAGCGGATCTCACGTGTACCTACCACGTTATCCTCGCTTCCGATCCGATTGTTTTTGGCGGTCTGACTATTTCGTCGGGATTCTGAGTGTGCCGCATACAACTCCGTAGTGGTGGCGGTAGCGCGAGCTTATTGATACAAATGCGGGTAGCGCTAGGAACGAATTTAGATCGTTTTCTTCTCGCCCTGGAAATCTATATGCTACATTGTATAGTAAGTTAGCATGGGCAAGCGACTGCAAAAGACTGGGCAAGGATCTGAGTAGTATACGACCGGAACTAGTGAACTAGTGAGCATCCTCACAGTCTCCACTTTACCATACTATCAGCTTGGACGCGAACCACCTTTTCCTTCACAGCAAGGACTTGATACTGTGAGTGTAATATCTCCAACGCACGTACAATGTGGTCTTGTGGCTATGTCATATTATTAGAACAGTTGCGAGACTGCACTACAGCGCGAGGTCCTAAGTGACTTTCAAGGTGTGTCACTAGACCCATTAACTAGACCTGCGCTAGGTTTCTTACAATTTGGACTCTCTCCAACATTCATCCACCCTGCAAACATCAAAGTAACATCTAATTCCGTCTCACGGTCCTAAAATTTTTAGATCAGACTATGGATGTTTGAGAACTGTTTTAGCGTCATGTGGCAAGCCTAATGTATCGTGAAAGACCCCCGTGTCTAGGAAAAGAACATCTTAAACCCTTGTTTATTTTTAGACGTTGTATTTGAGTCGTAAAATATTAGATCCAGATCCAATCTTCTCCTCTCCTCAATTCCACAGCAATTTATCACCGCGCTTATATCGTCCCACCAATAGCTCTCTCATTGGCTTACACAAACATCGCTAGTAATCTACAAAATCCTTTCTTACATAACTACTCTACCACGAAGAGAAACCAAGTACGCATCTAGCATTAGCAAGGGTTCTCCTTCATCTATTCACGCCAGCTATGACGCTAGATATACCTGATTATATGGAGCAATCCCTACCTTTTTCATTCACTCCACTTCATTCATTCACCTCCATTTACTTAGCGAAGAAAAGTATGTCAATACCTAGTAAAATAAGAACATTTAACAGATTGACTCTGCACTTATATCACATTACATTACATCATAAGCATACCCTCACTTACCTTCGAAACTTAATTTTCTTAAAGCATTATATGACCACCCCAAACTCCTCCAACACCCATTACTCCTGTTATCCTTAACCCTACAGATGAAAACTAATATAAACAAAGATCCCTGCCAATTTACCCTTGCCTCTTCATGGGAATTGATGATCACTAAACATGAATAAAACAAAGAAAGAATCCCCCCAACATGGACGCCTACGAAATATCTTGGGTGTGAGAAGCTAAAGCGATGGAACCGGACCCACGGTTGTTTGGAAGATTCGATTGGTTGCTAACACTCGAGGGTTTCGTATGTGGAGGTTTCTAAGTCTGGGGTTGGCTGGCTGGAACGAAAGGCATGAGTTGGCCTGTTGAAGCTCGAAGTTGTCGTATGTAAATGGGGAGAACGAACTCTGCGACTGCTGATATATGTCGCATGTATCTTGGCGGATTGCGTGGTCTTGTGATAGAAGATTGGCGAACAGTCAGCGTCGGTATGGAACGATGAGCTGCGCCCGGGCAAGATATATTGACTTTCCTACAGCATTTGACGCAGGTCTCATATGCCGGCTCGTCATCATTGTTGATTGTTGCTGGATAAGTCGGCTGTTGTTCATCCTCATTACCAAGTGAACAGCATCAAATTAGGGTTGAGTACAATCGGCAATAAAAAATGGCACACAACCACACTAGCGAGCGGCCAGACAGGCGTAAAAAATGTGATCGTCCAAGTATGGGGCGCCCATGTAGCTAGGTATCCCATGCCCGACGCAACGCCTATGCACCAGGCAAACGTCCACTTGAATCTGCGAATGACGCGCGGAATCTCTTCGAAAAAGGTTATTTGTTCGACTTCTTTAGCCGTGGCGCCCCACGTCATGTCAACGCTGAAGAAGTGCCAGATGAGGGCCTGGGAGATATGGATTGAGACGCCGCCGAGAAAGATGACGAGGAGAGGGACCCAGCGGATGTTTTCCCATAAAGCGCCGCTGATGCTTCTGTCTCCGACGCGGTAGCGGAGCACAGCAAGGGAGAGGTTACCCAGACCTGTGAAGACGACGATGATGGAAAAGTAGACTTTGAACGAATCGATGTAATAGTGATCCAGCAATCCATTGAACCAGCCGATCAACAGGTAATTCATCAGGGTAAGGAACCATGCGGAGCCAAGCGCATAATAGGTTCCAATATATGCCATAATAGTGAATTTGGAAGGAAGTGGCATACTGGAGAACATGAATCGTAGAAAAAGCCTGGTAAATATTCCTTTCCTCAGCCACAGTTTTAACGGATGGAAGATGAGTTCGTTACAGCCGTACGCGTATTTTTCCCATCGAGCAAGTTCGTCGTACACGGTGAGTGAGACACCCTCTTTAAATCCATCGCCCTGGTATGCTGCTAATCGGATAAGATAACCGTTCGTTTGAAGACGCAACGCCATATCGAAATCTTCTGACACAGTCTCTTCTGACCAGTACTTCTCGTAACCGTCAATTGGGCATTTGTAGGCAACCTCCTGTAGAGCAGACCAGCGGAGAATAGCATTGTGACCAACAAATGGTGCAACGTCTCCATTAGACACGGCGTAACGAATCTGGGTGTAGACAAGATGGGTGAAGAATGTGATCCCTTTCTCGAAGAAATTATCTGTGACATTCATGACGCCGGATGAATATTGAATGATGGCAACCTGTGGTGAGCGCTCCATCTCACTGACCGCATCAAGGAAACAATCCTTAGGAACACGAGTGTCCGAGTCAATGAGGAGGATGTAATCACCAATTCGAATATTGCCATCTGCCCATGTCCGGCCTTCCTCCTGCGCCACAACTTGTTCGAGAGCGAGCGCATAAAGAGCGTTCTCCTGCTTCTGGTTCCATGCTTCATCTCGTACGGAGTTGGCAAGCTTCTCTTCTACTTCGACGCTGGTCCAGAGCGCGTAGTTCATGTTCGATGCTTTCTTGAATTTTCCACGCCGCATGAAATACCTGAACTTTTGGCTAGAGTCATCATCTTTTTTCTGCCTCCAATTCTTGAAGCTCCACTTTGATTTCTTTTCGGACCCTGGATGTGGGTTATGCATTGGACGCGCTACCCAACCAATGTTGTGCTCATCATAGAAGTCTTGACGTTCCCTTTGTGAATCCTCATCAAGGAGCTGCATACCATCATCGTTGATGAATATATTGGCAGTGCCTCCTTGCAATTCGTACGTTGAGATAGCGGCTTTGACTGAACGAATTGTGGGTGCTATGACCGTATGAAGGCCTTCTTTGTAAACGGGCATTTGGATTGTTACGTGCGGGAGTCCATTCATGTAATCTCGGTGTAATCTCCGTGGGGGAAGACCAGAGTAGAATTTTGTGTTCTGACGAATTTGTCCGATGGGTCCAACTAGTTGGGCTAAGTTTCCTATGAGGGCTTGGAAGAAGAACTGAGCTCGTTAGCTGAAACGGGCTGTATCGGATGAAAGGTCTCGAATAGAACTCACCAGTGAGAGCCAGACCTGTGGGAGAATGCAAACAACGAACACCATTCGAATCCAGGAGCGATCCACGTGAATCTCAATTCCAACTTGTCTCCAACCGCCTCCTATGGCTCCCAATATTATTATCAATGTGACTGCGGTCAAACAGGCCTGAATAAACACCATTGGACGGGGCTCCTCGATGACTTGGGCCTCGGGGTCTTCATTGATAGCCAACGCCTCTAGGTATGGATGCATCTTCTCACCATCTCCCAGGGTAGATAGATCTCCCCAAATCATTGACATTAGGGTCTCCTGAATGTACGTTGCTCGATCGAGAAGCTTCTTCGGATCATCTTCCCATACCACTAGTACTTTTTGGGCGGCAACGAACGCAGCGGACTGGTGTTTTTGGCAGTAGGGAAGAGCCTCAAGATCAGGTATCACTTGTAAGCGGAGACCTTGATTGAGTTCAACCCAAGGCAGTTCATTTCTAGCCAAAATCAGCTTAATGACTCTCGTATTGATCGTCATCGCAACCTGTCAGAAGTTAGAAGGGATGATTCGATGGCGTAGCTGCGGCAATCGAGAGCCAGAGAGCACTGCAGAGGATAAAAACGAAGAGCATACCCGGACGTTGAGCTCAGCAACCTTCTGATAGAACTGGGTATCGTCGTATTGAAGCTCACTCGGGCAGCATACGTAGCGCCCTTTGGATTTCTTCAACACGACGCCCTCTCCAGGATCGCCAGTCGTCCATATTCTCTCCTCCTGTTTAGAGTGAAGCCAGTTGACCATGACTTCGCACTTGATATCCCTGAACGCATCGGGGGATGTGTTTCGGAAATCCCCATCTGGAAAAATGGAGGTCGGCCGGGACGATCCTGAAAAGGCATCGGTGTGGCTGGATGATGCGTCCGTGAGTGCTCGTGAGCTCCATTGAGCGTCAGGAGCATCCATGTGCGAGACATCCTGCAAGGAATGGGTGCCCACCGGGGCTGTCTTCTCAGACCCGCTGTCCTGGGAGTTTGTCAACGCATCGGGTGGTTTCGTTTTCGTTTTCGGTTTCGTGGGGGAGAAATACCCCCTCAGAAAGGACATATCAATGTCCTTCCTGGCGGGTAGCAAGGACGAGCTCTGGCTCACGGTGGTGGGGGGAGGGGCAATGAGAAGAGGGAAAGAAAATATTTCGCCTCTTCACTATATTGTTACGGAGCTCGAGGTAACGTGGCCTTGAGCTAGTAGTTGCTGTTGTGGGATAGGTTCACTAAACGTGAACCATGGTGCGAACGACCTGGGAAATGAGGAACTGAAAAGAAGAGCGAGTTTGTGAAATGGAAGATACCAGCAGAACTCGCATTGTACTATGATCTCAGGGGTCAGTAATGTAAGTAGTTTGACAAAAGCGATGAGCTCAACGTGCTGTTTAAGTCTCTATTCCTCTTGGTGGTTGGTTGGATTGGATGGTTGATCCTCGATTCATTCCCTGGATATAGTACGTACTAACAGTACTTACCCCTACGACCATAGTAGATATCACGCCAATCTAGCTTAATCTCTGCGAGATTTTTCTTCAAAGATTGCGCAAGTGACAAAGCGAAGCATTGGTGGCACATACTGGATGGAGCCGGTCCTTGCACCCACCAACTCAACATGTAGGTTAGGCCAAATTTTAAAAGGGAAACTGTGGTACCGGACTCTAGCCAGCAATTATTGTACTGGAGTTGCCACCGTTTCTCCGAGCAAGCCATCGAAATGTCGTGGAATGATTGCTGAGGGGGTTGGCTGGGCAGACTGGCGAATTTCACCGACCCCGGAATGACAGCCAGGAGGAGGCAGCCCGGTACAGCACAAGCCAATGTTGAAAGCGCTTAAGGATAGCGGAGAAAGGATGTTGGGGTTGCCTAGTATTGGCGGCGAGAGGCTGTGGTTGATGAGGGAGGAACAAAAAGTTATGTCGGAGTTTGTGGCCGGTTCTGTCTCTTTATCCGCTCTGATTGGCTGTACCCCTGGCTTCTGCTTTCCGCCCGCGCATCTCCGATGTAACCCATCTCCAATGAACGAGAACAATTCGATAGCCTTATAAACATCACTCGAGTTCTCCGCTACGTAGATCAAGGAAGGTCGTATCGCGGATATCCATCGAAGAAAGGGCTTGTAAGGTTGTTGTGGAGAAGTTCATCGGGTTCTGATACTTGGCCAGTCCTGCATCGAAACAGTAAATGATAATGAGACAATGGAGGTGGAATGTTACCTTCACGATGCTGTGACTCTGTGAGAAACGCCACAGGCCCCATTCCCTGATATCGGTGATACTCGGGCTGAAAATTGACAACCGCGGCTCACCCAAGGGAGGCTACCAAGTTTGGTAGACGAAGGTCCGTTAGGTTTACATCTGGGATCGAAACTTGCCATTCGCGATACGCCCATGTGTCACGTGGAACATATAAATTAGGAAGCTTGCAGATGTCAAGAAATATATTCACGGCGCCAGCTAAGTCCAGGTTTCCAGACTCCGTGCTCCGTCCCAACAATACCGGTAGATACAGTACCATACAACGACCTAATTGCTAGATTTTCTCCTGCAAGCCGAGAATACCTGGCTTCCACCCCATTTCTCAATCGGCGAGCCTAGATATTGAAGTTAGCTTTTGGTGAAATAAGAAATTGAAATTTCTCCTTGCCACGCACCTGTAGCTCACAAGAGTGTCAACGCGATGGCTGCTTGTACTGAAACTCCTCAGCTGCACCTTTTCTCCATTCTTAATCTCCTTTGCATCACTGTCGCCCCATTCGAGAGGCACCTCTGAGTCGGCATCTGCATATACTAGCACGTTGAAGGTGCAGTTTCCATCGAGCATAGGGAGGAAAGTAACTGAGGCCGTGATTTGTCGGAATATGGATTGGATCTCCGCTTGTATTTCTGCTTCAGTCTTCTCTTCGGGGGGGTCATTGGCGCTATTGGGAGGCCAGTCAGAAGTGATCACCGCAACATGTGCCTTAACCTTAAGTGAACTTACTCTGGCGCCGCATTTTCTTTATCAATCGTTTTCTTGGATGGCTTGCTCTTCGCCCCTTTGCCGAAGATTTGGACCTGCAGAACTCTCAGCCTACAATGCGTATCGAGGATTATTCATTCTTCACAAACATCAAATTGCCAACGCTCAACGTGCTCCCCTGTCTCCTTGCTCGTGATAACGACCACCAGCTTCGAGATCTTCCCACCGTACATCCACTCTTTCAGCTGCCCCATGATCTTCTTGATGTAGGCCTTGACCTGGTCATCTGCTGTGACCATCATGGTCAAGCCATATTTCTTGACTCTGAGCCGTGATTAGCCTCAAACCCCCCCCAAATGCACGTGTTTGCTTACGCTGTGAAATCCTCGGCAGGGTACACGCCTCGCTGGAATCTGCGTATCGTGAGTATTTCTCGATCATCTAATCCTAATAAAGCACGCCTACAGTATAGTATTTATTGAGTACTCAAACTACAGGTGCACATGTCAGCAAGAGAATCTCGGCGAACCTTTTGGGAATTCCAACATACAAATTCGTTCACTACTTTCGAAGAACCCTTCAAGGCCAGCCTATGAACCTTAGAGGAGTCTTTCTTAGATGAAGACTTCGATTGAGATGACGACTTTGACTGCGACATGTTTGCGGACAGAGGTGGTGGCAAGAGTCTCGTTGAAGGTGAAGCTCTTGTTTACCAGACAGTTGGCGGGGCAACGATGTGCAGGGGTCGCAACCTCTTCAGAGTGAACTCAATACGACAATGACGGAGAACGGTAGGGGGAGACACTGTTCTTCCGCTCGCTCAGTATCCTCTGGACAGTGAATGCAGAGTTGCGCGTGCAAAGTGGTGAAGAGGTTGAGGTTGTGGTGGGTTGGTCGGAGGAGTTACTGGTGAAGCGCCGATTAAAGATTAGATAAGATGCAGATCGAAACGAACTTTTTCATCCCACGAAGTGATTAGCACCACAATCCAGCCATTCATTCACAGTTCCCATGCTCACTCATGCGATCATGCGTCCGAACCGCTCGTAGCCTACTGCAGTGTTGGCAGGTGCACGCTGTTCGACCCATTGGATTGCGACAACCCTTCCTCAGCCATGAACTCCCGTCCGTCTTCAGAAGTTATGCGCAAGCTTCCAGAGCCCAATCCGATCTTGAGAAACGCATTGCCGAGATCCCTATCGAACGTTATCGGAACTTCTGCATTGTAGCACACGTCGACCATGGCAAGTCTACACTGTCGGACAGGCTGTTGGAGCTCACGGGCACCATTGAGCCGGGGGGGAATAAGCAGATTTTGGACAAATTAGATGTGGAGAGGGAGCGTGGTATCACCGTCAAGGCGCAGACATGTACCATGATATACAATTACAAGGGGGAGGATTATCTGCTTCACTTAGTGGATACGCCTGGGCACGTTGATTTCAGAGCAGAGGTATCCAGGAGTTATGCCAGCTGTGGCGGAGCTCTTCTTCTGGTCGATGCCTCACAGGGGGTGCAAGCCCAGACAGTAGCGAACTTCTACCTGGCCTTCTCCCAAGGTCTAGCACTCGTCCCCGTCATCAACAAGATCGATCTCCCCCATGCGGACCCTCCCAGCGTCCTCGAGCAAATGCAGGTTACTTTCGAGCTGGATCCAGACAAGGCCATTCTGGTCTCAGCCAAGACTGGTATCAACGTGGAGGCGCTCCTGCCGAGCGTGGTGGAACAAATTCCTTGCCCCGATGGTGATCCAACTAAGCCACTTCGACTACTCCTTGTCGATTCATGGTATGATGTCTACAAGGGCGTGGTACTTCTTGTACGCATATTCGACGGACAGGTGAAGCCCGGAGATACACTCAGATCATTTGCGACCGGGCTAAAATACATTGTTGGAGAAGTTGGAATCATGCACCCTGACCAGACACCGCAGTCTGTCCTGAAAGCTGGACAGGTCGGCTACATCCACTTTAATCCCGGTATGAAGCGCTCCCAGGAAGCGAAAGTGGGCGATACATACACCACGCTAGGATCTGAAAAGCTGGTAGAGCCATACCCAGGTTTCGAGGAGCCGAAGAGCATGGTATTCGTCGCTGCTTTTCCGGTCGACCAGGATAATTACGAGCATCTAGAAGAGAGCATCCAGCAAATCGTACTCAACGACCGTAGCGTCACTGTTCAGAAGGAATCGTCGGACGCACTTGGAGCAGGTTGGCGATTGGGTTTCTTAGGCACTCTACACTGCTCTGTCTTCGAAGACCGTCTAAGACAAGAGCATGGAGCCAGTATTATCATCACACCACCCTCTGTTCCGTTCAAGGTTGTCTGGAAAAACGGCACGGAAGAAGTAATCTCAAACCCCAACGAATTCCCCGACCAAGACAAGCACCACATGCAAGTCGCCGAAGTCCATGAACCCTACGTCACCGCAACAATCACGCTCCCAGATGAGTATCTCGGGAAAGTTATCGAATTGTGCGAAGCCAATCGTGGCGAACAAAAGGAGCTCACATTCTTCACAGCAACGCAAGTCATTCTAAAATACGAAATCCCACTGTCCCACCTAGTTGACGACTTCTTCGGAAAGCTGAAAGGCACCACCAAAGGCTATGCCTCTCTCGACTATGAAGACGCTGGGTTCCGAAAATCCAATATCGCCAAACTGAACCTGCTCGTAAACGGTTCTCCGGTCGATGCTGTCTCCCGTATCCTGCATTCCAGCCAAGTCGATCGTGTTGGCCGGGCATGGGTAGAGAAGTTCAAACAACACGTCGATAGGCAGATGTTCGAGGTAGTGATTCAGGCAGCGGTAGGTAGGCGGATTGTAGCAAGGGCGACCATCAAGCCTTTTAGAAAGGATGTCCTTGCGAAACTTCATGCTAGTGATGTGAGCAGGAGGAGGAAGTTGCTTGAGAAGCAGAAGGAAGGGAGGAAGAAGCTGCGAGCCGTGGGCTCGGTTGTGATTGAACAGGAAGCATTCCAGAACTTCCTTGCAAAGTAAATCCGCAGTTATCCCCACTCACAAATACACATGTAAATAACTGAACTAATTGCCTCCAACATCTCATTACTGATACCGCATTTCCTAATTCTCAGCCTAAACCTCTTCCCAAGAGGCCCACTTACGAGACCATACCCCATCCAATTCAAAACTTAGACTCCAGCCCTTAATAGTAGACCGAGACCTATCTAGAATGTGAATTCTGCGCCCTTAGAACTCTTCTCTGAATGCCGGGGTTGGTTTCTTTTCCCATCGCAAGACGAGGTTAGTCTATATGCGGGTGTGGATATGTGGGTGCCGATAGCAAGCGAATTCTCTCCCCCTTCTTGTTCATCGACCTTCGAGAAGAGTATCCAGAACTCGGAACCGCTTACCCAATCTCAATACCCGTGCCCGTTGCAGGGCTACTGTCGCTGCAAGAGGATGGCGAATTATCCCCATTCTTTCCAATCGTTGTTTCCGATTCCGAAAACCGTACATGACATTGACCCCACTCCGTCCTTCCATAATCAAACAGATTATTCCCCTTTTTGCTGAACAAACAGGCTCTTTTGCGTGATTTTAGTGCAGGTAAAGATTATGTAAGTGCGGTATTAGATGTTATGAAAGGTCAAGAAGAAGACGCTGGGAGGCGTAGAATAGATGTAGGATGCGGAAAACGGACCGGAGGTGTTACCAAGAGATTGTATTGGAGTTTAGCCACGAGATGTGGTTGGTGCCAGCGCTGAGTCTGTTAGGATGGCCATGAAAGGTATGGTTCTCAAACTCCGGGGTTAGGGAATCGGATAAGTAGGAAGAAAAGAATTCAAATATACCGCAAGGTAACTTTTTTAACACCTGGAAAATTAAACTGGGGAGATTATAGTGTGTTCTAAAGAAGGATGGAAGGCGGTGGTATAGAAAGAGCCCTCTCTCCTAGCTCAGGCGACTTATTCACACTTCACTATACTCACCGGGACTAGACTATCGCTCGGAAGATTCCAATCAGTCCCGATATGCACATCCAATTGCTCACACTAACAACAGGAAGATGGTTCATATATACTCACGATTTCTTCCATTATAAAGACTGGCACTATTATAAAACGCACGGCGAGCAGCTCAATCATTCATGCCTAGATAACAACAACCCTTTTTCCGAATACTATTGCCATATCACTGGCAGTATTTAATCCTCACGTCTTTCTTCCCTCTTCCCACTCAAGGCTCTGCGCCCATCTAATACCTCGATGGAATCTGGGGTACGGGCGGCAAATGTTCTCCCGCGATGATCGGGCTCGATGGCCTGCTCCACGAGTACGGTACGTGGGAGAAGTTCTGAAGTTGGCACTGGGTATGATGAGCCTAAACTATATTTACCGGAAGCCTTTCTAGATCTTGATCCGTATCCTAAATCCGAACTTCGCGGCTGTCGCTGTCGCTCTCGCTAGCCCAGGTTTCCATCTCTTTCTCGGGCCGATGCTTTTACCCTGGTCCTACTAGCTTAAAGGGGGTTCAAAGGGCTAACGCTATGGAACTTTTTCCACAACTTAACAAAAAAGTTCACAATTTTCTGCCGCTTCCTGCCAAGCTGTTGCTCCTTCACGCCATCTACAAGACGATTCTGACTTCCAGAGTCCGGGAATTGGGATGCGTTGATCTCGAGGGAATCCAGGTTGGAGGAATGGTTGGAAGCAAAGGAGGGAGGATGGGAAGGAGGAAGTGAGCGGTGAAGATGTGTGCTGTGGCCGTTGTAGTGGTTCTTGCAGCGCTTTGAGGGGTCGAAGCACCGGAAGATGGTGGGTTTGTACGTTTGGGCTTGACTACGGATATGGGTGTGGTTGTTTAGGCCTTGGGTTTGGCTTGCGTATTCACTATCATGGTGATGGCGATGTCGACGATGATTAGCATGATAGAGGAAGTTGTGAGTATCGTTAACCCGTTGCTGCGGTCGCCTTAGCCGCTGAGATTGCGTATATGCTCCATGTTTATACCCATACGCAACCGCCATATTCCTGCCGTCCCAACCTCTAGCCCAATAACCCTGTGCGTCCTCCTCCTCGTCTTCTTCTCTCCGATAAGTGACCTTCGGCATCCCAAAACCATTCCAATCTACGAACATCGTCCCTGCCATATTTCTCTGAGAGTCGTTTCGGTATCCTGAGCGGTGGATTTGGCTCGCGAGATGTTCGTCGATTAGATCGATAAGGTCTTGAACCGGTGATGGCATATTGCTGAATCTTTGGGATTGTGGGTGGTTGTGCTCTGTCATGTTGGTCAGCTTTTTGGCTTGGTATTTCGCTATGTTGTGAACACAGGCGGATTTGTGTGTGTTTGTGTGGTACGCTCACTTGTTTGTTCAAGCGCAATAGAAGGATTATGCGCGTCAAAGTTTTATTTTTAAGAGGGCGGAAGATTGTCGCGAACAGCGCTTCTTAGCAGCCTCAGTATCATTCATGAACATGACGATAGAGAGTATTGTGCGGTAACGACTCGACTGAAGTTGTAGAAGAATGAATTAAGAATAGTGTAAGGAGTGAGGAGTTCATATATGCCTACAGGAACAAGTGCGGGTTCGTTGTGGATGTACAATCCGTGACGAAGAGGACAGTGTGGTGTTGCGCTCTAAGGCCATGATTTCGCTGACGGAGATGCTAAGTAAATCTGGCTTGTGAGACACGTATTGGGTAAGACATTGTTCTGTTGGGGATCATAGGTAAGTACTGTGGGGAGTTCGCGAAATATGTAATTACAAACCTCCCTATCCTAAAAGACCATCTTCTGCGCATAAATAGTATTACTACTCTCATACATAGCTAAAAAGCTTGTATCATCCAGTTCCAACATCCCCGACCATTGTGCAGGAACTCCATGAATAGTTGTCTTGCTACTCCAGGTCTTTCCACTATCCGAACTCACAAGAACCTTCATAGAGCCGGTCGGCCAGGTCCCACCGTCTTCGTCAGTGCCAAAACTCGCGACAAGCTTGCTCCCCACACGGATGATGCCCGGTGCGCCTGCATTGTGTCCAGGTGAGGAGTAAACGTCGGCGCGAGAACCCCAGGTTGCGCCATCGTCGTTAGAACGAACTGTATGGACAGTGAACAGGTTGTTTCCAGTCGTGTTCCCGGATTCGAAGATAGCGAATTTAATGGGCGAATTTGCGGCGACTCTGGCGACACCCAACATGCCATCCCGCGCTGTAATACTCGAACCGGAGATGACTTGCGCGGTGGTCCAAGTCAGGCCACCGTCCGTGGACCGCCGGAGTAAGCTGTCTTGATCTGGTTGCCCGTTTTCGCGGGAATAGTAGAGCTGCAGAGAACCGTCTAGTGCGTCCATCATGAACGGTTCCCAGTTACCATTGTCCAAATTGGAATCAGATGCTGGGGTAGATAGATATTTCCAGCTTTTGCCCATGTCATCCGAATACGTCACCGTGATGCGGTAGAAAACGGCCTGCGTAGATGTAGCTTTATCGTGGTTCCGGAAGGCGCAGAGCACACGGCCGCCGGGAAGTTGGTGTACGAATGGGTTGTCAAGGTTAGTGGTTGCGACAGGGGCTGTGGTTATGCTTCCCAGGAAGGACCATGAGGCACCATTATTGGTTGATTTGAGAGTTGTGAGGGTGCTGTTGCCACCGGTGTATTTGGCATACACCCCTAGGAGGGAGCCATCTGAGAGTCGGGTTGCGCGAGGATAAGTGCCGGATGTTGCCATTATCACGGCTGTGCCAGCTGGAGTTGGTGCTTGCGCATCACTGAGTGCAAACAGCAAACATATCGTTGAAAGGAGAGCTAGTAGGAAATGCATTCTGAAGAGTAAGAAATTACCGTGTCGCGAGTGTTGAAAGAGAAAGTATATCAGGCTGAGGCTATATACCTGCCACCACTCTAAGGTGTGACAGTTACGCCATAATATATACCGGGGAAATTCAGGACAGAAGACATGGCTGTGTAGATGAGATGAAACACTTAGCCAGACGAAGGATTCAATCAGTAGTATAGCGCCAGAAGCGAAACCAAATGTAGGGATCCAGGCGAACCGATCGACAGGGAATTTTTAAGGCCTCCTGGTCAGATGTTACGTACAGCGAATCGTAGCCGTGAAACGAAACATCGCTGCGGAGATCAGATACTGCAGAGTGTATTTTTGGAAGGTGGATACAAAGGGGAATTTGGAGAAATTTTACACCACAGAATAAACCTCGGCCAGAGTTGTGTGAACTCGCACATGAGAGGAGGGGAAATGTGACAATGATGTCAGGGGCTCTCATATGGTGGACCACATTACGCCTATCGATGTCAGGAGTTTCCGAAGGCGTTAAGGATACTCTCTCAAGGTCAGTCTCTCCGTGAATGCTGATTTAATGAACGGGGGAAGGAAACAAGGAATCGTTAGTGTATCTCCGACCTTAGTCATCAGCTTGGCATCATAGATAACGAACGTCGAATGACTTCTTAGCATTCAATCCTCCCACGCCTCCTTGGTACCTTTCCTGGAAGACAACACTCACATTAGCCTACTACAGATACAGCTTTATTGCTCTCTATCTTCCTGTCTGTCCCAAGTAATGGACTGCATTCCTGTTCCGATCATCTGCTTCCAATGCGGGACGTAAGTAGCTCTTTCTTGCCCATGATTGCTTTTACTCATATGAAAAAGTGATCAAAATCCCTGCCATTGCAAGGTTGTTGGCCCTACAATAGGATTTGGTGTAACAGTTGTCATGGCGGTGAGTAGAAATTCTGAACCATTTACTAAGATCGAGCGCGACGCTGGGAGCACAATCATAGTCACTAAAATATAACACAAAAGGCGATCTTTTGGCATTGCATCTATTACACCAACAGACACGAAGCCCTCTCTGGCTTTTATCAGCGCTCTGCGGAATGTGTCAATATGCTGGACCGTTTCGCTAAGTGATCACTTGTTAACTTCTGAATAGGTGTTCTGCTGGCCAGCTGCTCTTCTATGCTGTTGCTGCGCGACAGACACAGGAAAAGCGTGAGTAGACGCAGAAGTCTTTCAAATCCAGTGGCTGCTTACATTTTGCCTAGGGTCCTCGCCGCTCCAGTCGATACCGGCAACGCCATCAGCAATGCAATTCCCTTTTAATCCCTAGGCTTTGCATGATCATTCAGGGCTCCACTTGCTCTAAGATATGAAGTAACGACGGCACGGCAGTGTATACATGGATTAGCGGGGGTCTCGGCTTGGTCCCAGGTCCTTGGCAATGAAGGTTTCGGTCTTGACTTAGAATTCCACCTCGAAATAGCCTAATCATTTCACAACTTAATCATATCATTTCCTTGACGTCTGTTCCTTATATTAGCACTGTCCATAGCCAACAGCTTTCTAGCCGGCCTTTTTCACCCAGTCGCTAAATATAAAGAGAGAGAGAGAGAGAAACCCAAACCACGGCCCGAATTAGTGTCAATGTGCACGATCTCACATTACCCTCCATGATAGAAATTATATGGGAATTCTAAGCGTCACTGGATTCATTGCTATAATCATGAACGGGCCGGGTTGTGTTACCCTTGACTTGGTGAAGATTTTGGAATTATTTGAGTATATATATACCCCTGGCTGAAGCTTTTCGCAGAGACGAAGTTATCAAGCTCCTACATTGCCGCGGTTATTCCGACCCTGGCGTATCCTTTCAACACATAAACACATTAGCGGATCACTTTCACCTTGACCATGCGCAGGCTCTTATGTTTTCAACCTTTCCCACAGGTACCTACCATTACTTGAGCCAATGTTTGTTTACTCACAACGAGACCTCGTGCAACCTCCCCGACACTCCACGCCAACGATCCCATCTATCACCCCTCCTCACATCTTATCTCCAAACTAACCGTTACGCTATCCTCCAAGCCTCCACGGAACGCCATGGAGTGTCTCGATCCTTACGACTTCCCGGAACTGGCTTGGGAGGAGGGTGTCCAGATCATTAACGATTTCAACTGGGACGAACTTGCTAAAAGCAACGATGTCTCATTTTCAGGTGAAACTCAAAAAAATCCCGAAGATAGCTTTGCGGGGCCGGTTCCTAAGATCGGTATCGAGCAAGTGGATGTACCTGACATCGTGACGGCGGGTTTTGCATATAAAGAAGACGTAGGCGTGGGTGGCGAGAGTAACTCTGCTCAATTGGCAAACGATCGGGTGAAATACGCAGTCGGAGCTGAGATAGAAGAGGTGCATACTGCTGAGCAGCTCAAAGTTGTTGCACAATCTGGCATTGATCCATCTCATCGTCCTAGTCGGAGAGAAGCGAGCAAGGAAATCCAGACGGACAACAAAGCCACAACACATGAAACGGTCACAACGCCCGAAGAGATCTCAACTGGTACCCTCTCGCAAGAAATTCGAAAGGTACCCTACTATACCCACAATTTTTTACTAACGAAGGAAGCAAACACCCACACCCTCAACGTCGGACTGCAAGATACTGATGCTTCAGCCAAGGAAACAGTACACTCATGCTCGGATTACCTACAAGATACAATGGGTGATGTCCTAGAAGTTGTATCCAAGGACCCATACGCAGTTCCTTCACCTTATGCTACTAGGCTTACCGGAAATTGGACGGTGACTGCGGACGATCTTGGTAATGGGAATGCTTCTAATATCACCTATCTACCCCGACCTACAAACATCACAGAAATCGCGGACCAGGACTTCTCCACTGTTGCTCGTATCACCAAACCTGCACACCGTGCTAAGGTCACACACATGAAAGAGGGTGAATCGGATGAGACTTTCACACCTATGGATATCGATACGGCACCGCTGGTCTTGCCTAAAAATATCAATGACCTTGGAAAGGCTATTCCAGAATCTCAAGATATCCAGAGTCTCAGTATTAAGGCTTCAGACGGCCTCCGGCGTATCAATAGTGAGGAGCTCCTAGCTCTGATGGGAGCACTGAAAACAAGATCTCCTGAAGAGTCACCTCAACCGGAGCTGGGCAAGGACATCACTAGCTCAGAAATTCACTATGGCGACGATCTCATATCGCATTCAAAGGCCGCGGCGGGGGCGTCGGAACACACGTTGGCTCTGGAGCAGGATAAACTAGAACCCGATCAAGAAATAACCACTGTTCCAGCAGCAGAAGATAGTCCAAGCTCCCAGCAAATGAACTTAAACGAGACTCCAAAGTGCACAAAAGTCTCCATCTCAGACGTCTTCCACACAACCTCCATCCCTATACGCACTCCAACAATTCATTACCCCACCAAAGCAAACATCCCTTTCCCCATCCACGCGCAGGGCATCTCAGTGATTACCCCAACAGAAAAGAGCCAGAATCCTAGAGCACATAACAAAACGGCCACGTGCACGCCTACAGAAGCCCCCAATCCAATTCCAACTCCAACTCCAACTCCCGAAGTCCTCGAAACCCATCCCACTATTCCACAGGCTTCTATCCCTCGTGCAACTTCCCTGCCGTCAGAGGCAAATTATTCGCAATACAGCAGGAATAAACTACGGGAGTTTATGAAAGAGCGTGGGATTTCACGAAGAGCCTGTGATAATAACAAGGATCATAGGCGGAAGTTGCTTGAATCGGATTGCGCGTCTACGGAACCAAAGGAAATGATAGCATTGGCTACTGATGCGCGTATATCTGTAGGCTCTGTTGAGCCAGCAGAGATGGAGATGACGCCGTCTGCAACCACGAGTGCGGCTGTGATGGAGACGCCTGCTAGCATCCGGGAAGGGTTGAAGCCTATCCATTACTCTCAACACTCAAGTGACAAATTAAAGGGGCTTATGAAGCAACGCAGTATCCTTCGAAAACCAACTGACAGAAGAACCGACTATATCCAGAGATTGCAGGCAGACGATCAAGTGCATGGTCGAGGGTACCCTGAACTAGCAAATGCAAACGCAACACCGTCTACGGCTAAGCATCAGCATTTGGTGCTTAAACTCAGCCCTGGGACGCAGTCGCACGACGAGACTCCGTCCGCACCTGCTGCTCAGAAGACCAGCGCTGGTTTTTCTCCCACCCTTAGTCCTAACCCTACCGCAGATACAGTAATCGGCTGGGTCCCCATCTCCTACTCCCACCTTTCCTCCCCCTCTCTCAGCTCATTCGTCAAGGATCGTGGCCTCCATTTTGCTCCCGTCGAAAGCAAATCCGCTCTTATCAAGAAGCTCCAAGAACACGACGAAGCCTGTTCTCGAGACTACACAGAAGTGGATAGACCAGTCATCATCACGCTGGTTTCGCAGCGCGGATTCAACGGAAATACAGCGATCGCTACAGCACAGATGATCAAGACTTTAGTGAATGGGGATGTGAAGAGGGCCAAGGAGCATTTGGAGAGTGTGGGGAGGTTGAAATTGGAGGGGGAAGTTGAGGTTGATAGGGAGGGGCTAGAAAGGGGGGATGAAGAAGGTGAAGTAGAAGAGAGTGGTCGAGAAGATAATGGAGTGGGAATGGATATGGTGACTTCAGTCGAAGGTGGCGAGGTGCCTGCGGATGTCGACATGGAAAAGCCTATGGAAAAGCCTACGAAAAACCCGACAGACAAGTTCACGGAAAATCCTCAGGGTGCATCGTCTAGTAGGATGAAGCCTCAGCCAGATGTACAAGCAGGTGACCATAACTGCTGCAAGCCCGCCGCCAAGTTACATGATGCAGATGCGTCAGACAATAAGACTGTCGAAGATCTTCCAATTCAAGCAGCCACTGTAGAAAACGGATCAGACCTTGCCTATGACTCAGGTGAACTCCAACAAAAATTGATAGTAAATGACGAGCAAAGCAAAAAAGCTACCGTCGAGACAGAAGCAAAAGCGAGCATTCCAGATGCCCAGAGCCGCCCTGAAGGACTTGCACCACTTCTCCCAGATCTCCAATGGCCAACAGACATCGTCACAACCTCTGGCTTTTTCACAAAAGCCATTTCTCGTATCCTTTCCCGAGATCTCGCCGACCAAAAAATCCATATTCCTCGAGCCAGCTTTCCTTCAGGTTCAAGTATCGCTCACTCCTCGTACAGCAATGACACCTCTGAAACGGTCGCTGGACAATCAACTTCATTTAATGGTAAGCTACACGATGCGTTGGTAAGTTCTCCCCAACCCCGGATGCCTGAAACCCCGACAAAGACGGTGAAATTCGCGGATGTACAGGGGGAGGGAAATGTGGAGGCTGCCTTGGATACGCCGTCGAAAGTCATGGTGAGCAGAGAGGGAAATGGGAAGCTGGAGGAGAGCATGGGAGGGTTTCATGCAGGTGGAGATAGAAATGCTAAGAGCGATGCGGAAGGAGATATGTCTGAACCTGCAACTCCCACCTCCGGTCCTAAAATCGCAACTACAACCGCTGCGATCCTGCCCCCTTCATCGCCACCCCCCAAACAACAACAATACCACATCCCTTCATCAACCCCAGCCCCAGCCCCAATATCATTCCCAACGTCAACCTCAGCGACCAAACCCAAGACCTACAGCAAGATCAAAGGCAAACGCCCGCTTACACCCAAGAACCCTTCTAGCAATCGTAAACATGATAAAGACTTCAAGCCAGGTGAGGATGGGAGTGACGAGGGATGGGAGAGCGATGTCAGGGCGTGTAAGAGGAGGAAGAAAAGTGGGAGTCGAACTATTCGCAGCGGTCATACTAGTAAGGCTGAAAATGATGCTACGGCTTCCAGGAGTGGCAAAAGCAGGAAGGTGGGGAAGCCCAAGGGGGAAAGTGCCAAAGACAAGGCTAAAGGCCAGGACCTGGATACCTCCCCCTCCGCCCAGGAAGTCAGTTCCCCTTCCGCTGATTCCAGGACTTAAGGTGATACTAGTACTGACATGAAGTAGGAGTCTAAGATGAATGTCGTCAACGACGGCGCTGCGGGTGGTACTGTACTTCAAGATCTGGATACCAGCGGTGCTCTATCCATCCCCTCCTCTTCTTCTCCTGTAGGAGGAAGCGTGAATTCGAAGGATCGGCATCCAGCGGAAACGAGTTACGGGAAACGCACTACAAGGTCGGAGGCTAAGGCCCGGCATCCTGTGTCTCAAGCCCTTAGGACCGGTGCTTTAGGTGGCGCTAGTGCTAGAATAGGAGTGAAAGTTGTTATTCCTGAGAAACGCAAGGGAACGGAGAGGAGGGGAGGGGATGGTAGCGGAGTTCCGGTGAGGAAATGGGCGTTAAGGTCGAGTTTGGAGAGGAAGCAGGATGTGAGGGGTGAGGATGGTTGAGGGTATGAGGGAATTGATGGATGGGGAGGGGGGAGGGGAGATTCGGATGGGCAGGAAATGGGGTGAAAGGAGGTATGTGGGTATGATTTCTGCGTGGTGTACAGACGGTCGTGTTCATCTTGAAAAGGGCGTATATGCTCCTAGGTTATGGGTGGATGGATGGGAGATGGATTTCTGCGTCATGAGACGGTATGGGATGGCATGAATTGCATACCTATCTGGCGCTGGCGTTTCATACTTTGGGTGTGGAATGGATGAGAGTGGATGGCAAAGTGACACGCGAGTCTTCGGCTTTGGCTTAGGCCATTTAACTTTAGCACGGCCCCAGCTATTTGGCCCAGGTTTGGTCCCAGTCTGGTTTTAGGACATCCCAAATACTCCACGATTATCGCAGATTGTGACAAGAAGAATTTGATCCGTATACAAGTCGTTTTCACTCCCATCAGGCTTCTATATCTTACTAGTAACCACCCCACCCCCTCCCACTCCCTCATCCGGCCTAGCCAATAAATCGCAGACCCACTGCACAGCCCTATCGGCCATCCCCCTCGGAAACGCATGCCCCACACCCTCAAACATCACATCCTCAAACCGTATTCCCAAACTCTTATCCTCCTCGACCGCATTCTTGAAAATGCGTAAAAACGGTTCCCCGGCTGCATACGGAACCAGCTTATCTTCCTTCCCTGATAAATTAAGTATAGACTTTCCGTGAAGCCGGTCATGGAGCAGGGTCTTGAAGCGATCGAGTTTCGCCTTTTCAGGAGTGGGGTAAAGAGTGTGGGATGGGGATAGGGAGGGCGAGAGGGAGGGCGAGAGGGAGTTTGGCAGGAGGAAACCCGCGGGATCGTATGCCGCGATTGCAGATATCAGGGCGGGGGGGAAGTCTGCGGAACCTAGGAAGGAGGAACCGGGGGGTGAGGAGGAGGTGTACGTATCTAGCTTGCTTAGTCGTGCGCGATCGGCCATTAGACGCGTGTAGTCTGGACACCCGATGCCGACGACGGCGGCGGTGATGCGGGGGTCGGAGAGTATGCAGTGCCAGGCTGCATGGCCCCCTAATGAAATACCGAGAACTAAGTGTTGGGTGATTTTAGGAGAGGAAGGCGTGTGGAAGATGTAAGATTCGAGGTGGTTTATGAGGTGTGAGGTGTCGGTTGCGGTGCCATGGTAGCACGAGAACATGTCCTGCGCGTGTCGCGGATTGCCTTGGCGCCAGGCTTCGTTGTGCAGAGGGTCGACCAAGCGGGAGCCGTGGTTGCGCTGGTCGAAACTGACTGCTATTAGACCTTTGGGGTGCGCGCCTGCTTTCCCGGTTTGTATGTGCGTGTTCCAGGCGAGGATCATATGTGCAGCGATGGGCGCCATGGCCTCTTTGGATTGGAGGCGCGGGTGGAGCAGCCAGAGACAGGCGACGGAAGCCGTTGAGGGAGGAAGTTCGGAGAGGCCATGGACGGTGGTCAGGATGCCGGCGATTGTGTGGGTTTGAGTACTGATGGCGGGGTCGGAGGGGCCATGGGTGTCGTGAAGGGGATTTGGCGTTGCTGCCATTGCAGGGTGGGGGTGCTATTTTCGATGTGAATTGGGAGTTGGAGGGGCCAATTGAAGGCAAGAGCGGGACGCTGAGGTTAGTCGGAGGCGCGAGGTCAGTAATGTATGTATCAAGTTGAGATGATTTTGTGGTGGTGAGGGGACCCCCAGTTTGACCGAGGTTCCGAAAACGGCAGAAACGACGAATTGTGGAACATGGCCTTGTTCTCCGATAACTTAATTATACTGTGCGTATTGCGAAGTGAGATGGGACGGAAGAAACGTTCAAACCTCGATGTAAGGGCCGGTGTTCAGACGAGATGAGAAGAAAAAAAACATTTGGGAGTGAATAGAAATAGGAGTCTTAGAAATCTGTGGCTTCCTGTTCGTCCAGTTGTGTAAACTGAGAGTGTGGCAGAGACGTAGCCACATAGCGCTGTTTTCAGCTCACTGACGACCTGTTTCCAGATCTGCTTTCCCCCCACCAACCACACGTTCGGCCGGCCAAGTCGTGGAGATAATTCGAAGGGGAAGATCAAACAGGGGCTTCGTGATGCAGCGGCCGGAAAAGAAGCGAACAGTGGGGGGTCACGTTGTTCGCTTTCCGCGAAACAGGGATGCGGGAGATTACTGCGAACCTTGGCTGCTGATGATGAAGACCGCCCCAGCAGCACCCCAGCACTCATAACACATCACCGCCATCTCCACCACAACCGCCACGGTCACGTCCAAACCCTTCTTGCAGTCTTGTGTGATGCCTGCATATCCTTCCGTGCCCTTCCTTCTTTGTTCATTTCTTGAAGTGCTTCTTGTTGCCCTCCAGTGGACTGCGCCTCCACTTACAGCCATCCCGACAATGTTTGAATGACCGCACATACGAGTACCAAGGCGCTGCACCACGCCGGGCTCACACCCGCCTCTAGCCTTATCAGTAGACGCCCACACATCCTACATCCTCTGCTCTAATAAAGCTCTGTCTCACCACAGCACGTTGCACAGACCCTCCACGCTGCCATGATGGCAGAAACTCGAGATTCTAGCATCCCCCCCATGACCAGCAGCCCTTCCCCCCCCTCCCCAATGGCAAAGGTCGATGGCTCGAACAACAGACCAAAGGATGCTGCACGCATCCTCTCCCCCCTGCGACTAGGCCAGAATGTGGATGAGGCGAGCGGCCAGTCTGCCGCATCCTCCTCCAACGGTCCCCCCATAATAACGAAGACGGTTCCCACAGGCGAGCCTAAAGCCGAGGAGGAGCCAAACGAGTTTCCCTTCAACATCCCGCCTGTGGCCACTCACCCTCGATCTGTCAACTCAGTGGCAGCCAGCGACCAGTCAGTGAAGATCCCACCGCGATCCCCTGGTGCAGTCAATGGCTCCATCGGGTCGAACTCCATAGCACCGGTTTCGCGGAGGGCTACGGCGGAAGGAGAGGAGTCGGACGCACCAAAAGGGCGTCGAAGCGTGCAGTTTGCTCGGTCTGCTACCTTCGACCCTGGCCCACACTCCCGACATCAGTCATGGGAGACGGAAGGGGAGGGGAAGGGGAAGGAAAGAGAAAAACAGGGTTCGTCGTTGATAACTAAACTGAGGGCGCTGGCAACCCCAATTGCATTGCAGGGGCATGGACGCAGTCTGAGTGCGTTTGCGGGAGGAGCGCCTACCATTCACGAAGGCTCGGCAAGCGGCCCACTGTCCCCCGAGTCGGAACGGGGTGAGCCCGACTACGGTGGAGGGAACGACAGCGAGGCCGATGCCGATGCCGAAGAGAGTGCTGGCGAAGGCCCCTCGCGCCCGCCCCGAAGGAGAAGGAAGAGCCGGCGCTGGTTCGATGACGGCACTCAGGGCACCCAGACTGCACCCACGACGCCGAAGAACCACAACCCTGCACACTTCTTCTCCCGCGATTCGCCCAATGGCACTCCGACTTCTGTTCACCGACCTGGCGTCCGCCGACGTGGTACGATGTCCGACATTCCAGAGAACCAGAGGCAGGGTGTCTCCGAGGACGAAGGACGTGACAGGCTGGCCAAGGAAAGCGCTTGGACACGAGGCCTTCACAGTGCCCGAGGTTTGTCCTATGGCGGGCTCCGGAGACATGACGCTGAAGGGTCCGAGGATCGACGGCCAAGTAATTTGCGAAGATTGACTGGATTTGGCAGCGCAGGTGCAGACGGACAACCCTCGCCATGGCGCATACGTAGTGACCGAACGTCTAGCCTGAGCGCGCAGAAGTGGCAAAAGATCAAGGCGGGCCTCAAGATGCTTGGTCAGCGGAGCAAAGCCGAACGGCAGGTCGACCATGCAAAATCCGCAGAGCTCATGGCCGAGCTTCTGGCAGGTGCGCCGGCTGCATTGTTCCTTGCCAGCATGTTCCAACGTGACGAGCACGGTCACAAGCGCATTCCCATTCTATTAGAGCAACTGAAGGTTACCGTCTCCGACAGCGACAAAGCCCCCGAGAAAGGGGGCGATCGCCATACAGTATTCCGAATAGAACTTGAATATGGCAATGGCCTCACGCGAATGAAATGGGTCATCCATCGCTCAATGAGGGACTTTGCAAATCTTCATTTGAAGTACAAGTTGCAGGAGTCTCAAGAAAAGTACATTTCATTAAATTCCCGGTCAGAGGACCCCAAGCGCCCAAAACTACCACGGTTCCCCAAGAGTGCTCTACCCTATTTGCGAGGCTTGCGCGGCTATGGTGCCCTTGAAGACGAGGACGATGAGGAAGAAGACGGCGCTGGAGGACCTCACGCTAGCGGACCTGATGCAGAGGCCAGTGGTACAGACCGACCCTCCAAAGGCAAGCGCCGCCGGTCGTCCTTCGTTCTTGGTCGCAGAAAGTCCAGTATTGGGGGCCCGGAACAAGGGGGCGTAGTTGGCCAGGTTGCTGCAAGACAGGGCAGTTTTGCTGGGGCCATTGGGGCGCCGCTGAGTAACAAGCAAACTCACGCCGAGCGACAGCGGAAGAAGTTGGAGAAGTACCTCACATCCCTAATCACGTATCTCATCTTCCGCCCCGACAGCAACCGACTATGCAAGTTCTTAGAACTATCTGCGCTTGGAGTTAGGCTCGCTGCTGAAGGTGGGTACCATGGCAAGGAAGGGTACATGATGATTCAATCTGCAAAGGGAGTCGACCACCGGAAGAAATGGACCCCATCGCCATTAATCAAGCGCCACTCACCCAAATGGTTTCTTGTGCGACATAGCTATGTCGTCTGTGTAGACTCCCCCGAAGAAATGAACGTTTATGACGTTTTCCTTGTCGATTCCGACTTCGCCATCGAGTCAAAGAAGCTCCGACTTAGGGACAAGAAGGCCAAGGACATTGCGAGCGAAGCAAAGACTTCCGCAACTCATCCGAACCACCACCAGCTGCGTCTGGTCAATTCCGAAAGAAGGATGAAGTTGCTGGCAAAGAACGAAAGGCAGTTGCAGCAATTCGAGGACTCGGTGAAGTTTATGAAGCAGAGCACTCAATGGGGGAGCCCACAACGGTTCGGCAGCTTTGCTCCTGTCCGGAAGAGGATCTACGCCCAGTGGCTTGTTGATGGACGCGATTACATGTGGAATGTCTCTCGAGCGATTAGCATGGCAAGGGATGTCATCTATATCCACGATTGGTGGCTGAGTCCGGAGCTGTATATGCGGAGACCAGCCGCCATCAGCCAGAAGTGGAGACTTGACAGGCTTCTCCAGCGTAAAGCGCAAGAGGGTGTCAAAGTCTTCGTCATCATGTATCGCAACATTAACACAGCCATTCCCATCGACTCAGAATATTCCAAGTTCTCCCTACTAGACCTTCACCCCAACGTCTTTGTGCAACGATCTCCAAACCAGATCAGACAGAACACCTTTTTCTGGGCACATCATGAGAAGATATGCATCATCGATCATACCATCGCTTTTTGCGGAGGTGTTGACCTTTGCTTTGGTCGTTGGGATACGCCTCAGCATGCCGTTGTGGACGACAAGCTGACTGGGTTCGAGCTAAATGATGCTCCAAAGGATGCAGACCATTGCCAACTTTGGCCTGGTAAAGATTACTCCAATCCGCGGGTTCAAGATTTCTACAATCTCGACAAACCATACGAGGAGATGTATGACCGGACCAAGGTTCCCCGCATGCCCTGGCATGATATTGGCATGCAGATTGTAGGCCAACCTGCTCGCGACTTGACCCGACATTTCGTTCAGCGATGGAACTACCTACTCCGCCAACGCAAACCGTCTCGACCTACGCCATTCCTTCTTCCCCCCCCAGACTTCAATCCAGCCGATATCGAAGCCCTTGGGCTCGACGGAACATGCGAGATCCAGATCCTCCGTTCTGCAGCAGCTTGGTCACTCGGTACGCCGGGCAAGACGGAACACAGCATCCACAACGCCTATGTCCAGATGATTTCCACGTCTGAGCACTTCGTGTATATCGAGAACCAGTTCTTCATCAGCAGCTGTGAAGTCGAGGGCACCAAGATTGAGAATAAGATCGGTGACGCGATTGTCGATCGTATCAAGCGAGCTCACAAAGAACACGAGGATTGGAGAGCATGCATCATCATCCCTCTCATGCCCGGGTTTCAAAATACTGTCGACCAACAAGATGGGAGTAGCGTACGTCTAATCATGACATGTCAGTACCGCAGCATCTGTCGTGGAGAAACCTCTATTTTCGGCCGTTTACGTGCGGCGGGCATTGAGCCCGAAGACTACATCCAGTTCTACGCTTTGAGGTCCTGGGGTGCGATCGGTCCGACCAAAGCGCTTGTTACAGAACAGCTGTACATACATGCTAAATGTATGATTGTCGACGATAGAGTGGCTATCATTGGGTCCGCTAATATCAACGAACGGTCCATGCTTGGGTCACGCGATTCCGAGGTCGCGGCCATTGTTCGGGATACAGAAATGCTTGATTCGTACATGGGTGGCGAACCGTACAAAGTTGGGCGGTTCCCTCACACACTCCGCATGCGCCTCATGCGGGAACACTTGGGCGTTGACGTTGATGGAATTATGGAAGATGAGTGGCAAAGCCAACAATCCGATGTTGACAGTCAAAATTTCCACACGGAGTCGTCTAGCCCGTCGTCTCCAACAACCGATCGAGTTACCGAGCAAAAGTTGACTGAAAACAAGCATCGCCTTCAGGATGATCTGATTGCGCGGGCAGAAAAACTTCACAGCTTCAACCACGATGTCGACTGGGAACAAGAGAACAATCCTCATCTCCAAGCGAATAAGAAGCATACAACAGACTCTCGCGTTATTGGTAACTCTGTTCACGAGAAGGACGTGAATGGTGATGGCCCCGACCACATGCGGGAGATTGAGGCTCGACGCCCCAGCTGGTCGCATGGTCGAGATTCTTATATCAATGAACATGGGCACGAGACGCTAGTTTCTGATGTCGCCTCCGAAGGTCTGACAGCCACTCCAAAGAGCCCGAGTAAGAAATCACGTGGACGCAGCAACACAACAACTACCAAAGCTAGCACACATAGTAGCAGTTTACCTGAAGGATATGCAGGCCTCCCGCCTCCAAGGATGCCTCGAATGGACACACGACAACTTGGCCTCACGCAACTCAGTCAATTACCATCTCTCCCAGTCTGTGACGATACCGACATTGGCGGTCCACCACTGCAGCGCACATTCAGTTACGCGTCCTCCCATGTCATTACGCCTCTGTTGGCAGACATGCGTCGACCTATCATTTCGGATGAATGCATGCGCGATCCTCTCAACGACAGCTTCTACCTCGACATATGGCACACAGTCGCTGAAAACAACACCAAACTCTTCCGTCAAGTATTCCGCTGCCAGCCAGACAATGAAGTGAAGACATGGAAAGAGTACAAAGAGTACGCCGCCTTCGGCGAACGATTCAACCAAGTTCAAGGCGCGGGCAAATCAACGCAACGCAAGCAGCAAGAAACACCCGGTAAGACCGGACCACCCGGAACCGGCACCACAGATAGAATCGCCTCGATCGCTGGAAACACAGCGAAGCAAGCTGAAGCTGTTGGCGAGAAGATCGCAGAGAAGATGAATTTCGATGGCATGGGTCATCATGACGAGAAGTCCAATATGGGAAAGGTAGAGCAGTGGGCCCAGGACCAGGAGAATAATGCCCTTGTTCCGGCACATATTCAGGTCAATAGTCCGGCTGCTGACTTGGATGAAAAGAGTGCGCTCAGGCTTCCTGCAGATGATGCGGTTGTAAGCCCCATTGGAACGAGTCCACCAACGAACATCATAAATTTTCCACCTCCGCCTCCTATCCCCGCAACTGATACCGCTGACTTCACCTTCCCAAACACGAATGGAAACGGAAGCGGAAACGGAAACGGAAACGGAAATGTCACAATTGGCCGCACACGCACAGTAACATACAGCGAGCCCCCACCTCCAGGTCGCGCACACGCCAACACAGCTTCCAGCAGTTCTCGCAAAGGGCGACGCCGCGCGACCACCAAATCTAGCACAAGGGCTTTCCATGCTAACGATGATAATATCCTGTTGGATAAAGAGGATGCGAAGAAATTACTGGAATTAGTGCAGGGGCATTTGGTGGTTTGGCCTTATGAGTGGCTGGAGAAGGAGGAGAAGGGGGGTGGGTGGTTGTATACGGTGGATCAGATTGCCCCGTTGGAGATTTAGTAAGTTGGACTCTTCATCTCGTTATCCATGAGATTTTGAATCCCTTGACTGGGACGTCGATTTGAATTTGGGCTAACCGTTTGTTTAGTACCTAATTATTACTATCCTACCTACCTTGCCTTACTACTACCTATAATTTGAAAATAGTGGCGTTCAGAGTATTTCTTCGAGCGGGGTGTTTTTCAGTCAAGTTTGAGTACAGCACAGCACAGCATATGGTAATCGATCTGGCATTTGTGAGCGTTTTTGCGTGGTATTCGGTCTCTGTTTTTCTGTCTTGACTATATGCGACTATCTGCAATATTACTTGTACTCTATATACTGTATTTTAGGGCGAAGCTTTCGTGGTTCATTATACTTCTGGTACATGTCTGTCTGCCGCATTTGTGGATGGATAAAGCGTTTGCATATCGTATCTTGGTTGAGGCCACCAGCTATTTTTTAAGAAATTTTAATTGGATTGTTACAACACCCTAATCTGCACGCTGGCCCACCCTCATCACTCACATGATCTTGCGTCGTTGTGGCTAAGTTTGGCTCAGGCCTGGCTTAGCATCGGCTCAGGTCTCCTCAGGTCTCCTCAGGTCTACTCAGGTCTACTCACCCGCTGTGGCGCAGTCTCAGATGTACATGTACATCACCAGAAATTATCAGTGTTTAAAGAGAGTATTTAAATCTATCCCGGGTCACGGATCAGGACCAGCGTGGCCAACAGTCCGTAGTACGTAACGTAACTACGTGAACGTAGTAATCACGTGAGGCGTACAAAAGTAGTCAAAATGTGAGACGTAACTTTTGTACACTGAATTGCCAGGTACGTCCCGTAGTACGGGTCAGAGAGGTCATATTTTAGGAGATTTCCCTCCTGTTTTTAGACACTATTAGCCATCGCGTTAGAAGCTTTGTTTAAGGTCGCGTTTTAGAGTAACAATTAGATAAAACTCTGCGTTTTATAGCACAGTAGCTGCTTATTAGAGTTGTCCTAACAAGCTAGAGACCAGTGTGTCCAACCGTTAGTTACAGAGCCTTTTGGAGGCTGTATAGTACAGTTACAGAAGAGGAGGCTGTTACTAACTAACTGTACGGAGGAGATGACGTCAGTGTACGGTTAGGATACAGTAACTGAAGTATATTAAAGTATTATGAAGTAATTGCGCTGAAGCTAAAGACTATACCCAATTAGGAAGTTGTGATACCCCTTGTAAGATCTACTGTTGTTAATCTCACTGTTTTAATGTACTCTGTAAGCTCAGTCAGCTCACTAGTAACAGCGTTGTTACGTAACTAATTCTTCTGCAGTTAAAGAGCCTCTATTGTCGACCGCGTCATTAATTAAGATAGGAATTGGGACATCATAATAGGCAAAAGAATAACGTAGATGGCATAGTTGCTAAATTTGTTAGAAGATTGCTAACAAAACAGGCAATAACAGCATTCTCCGCATTAATCTCCGAACACGAGCCCCCTGGCCCTCAGCAACCTGCCTTCAACCGCCCAAAACCACCAAAAATCCTATATAACTACCGTAAACGGTTAGTACAGCAGCCTCATGTATAGTACAGTATACTGAGTAGATGCCCTGTACGTACGTACGTGACCAAAATCAGTGTACTGCAGTACTGTACTATTAGGTGTACTAACGGTTGGACACACTGCTAGAGACAGAGGGCGATGAGGAGGAGGATCTACAACCTTACTGGCGCAAGCTCTCTAGTAGCGAGTATTATAATAAGGGCTATAAGCAAACTCTCTCTGTTAACATAAGCCTTCTTACAGGCTTAAGGTTATATAAAAAAGAGCACAAAATAACAGAGCTTTAACAATATACAACAGCTACATTAAAGACCTCTCTGTAGCTAAGGAGGAATCCCTGCTATTCTAATCACCTCTTACTTAGCAGCTTAAAGTTAGTTGTTACTCCTACCCCACGCTTTTTAAAATCGCCCTTAATTTCCTCTGTATACCCTTAACAAGCTGCGACTGTAAGAGAGCCTTCTCTAGAGGCAGGAGGACAGTTACAATTAATAGAAACTGCTTAGCAGGTTGTATGATTAAGGCTCTGCAGCTCTAAAAGAACTGGTTACGTCACAGGGCTGTGGGGAGTGAATTGACTACTCTAGGGGACTTCATCTAGGCCAAAAAGCTTCTCCTAGAACAATTTTAACCCGGACCGACGAAACTTCTCGCGAAAAGTACAAAAGTATAAGGATTTTGAGAAGTTACTGTTACGTTACGTACTTGCCAATTAATTCACTGCTTACGTACAAAAGTACTACCAAATTGAGAAGTTACTGGCAGAAAAAAGCTCAAACGTAACGTACTACGTACTGTTGGCCACGCTGATCAGGACTCCTTACAGTTTGTAAGCCTCAGAAATTCAAACTCCTTTCCACAGAGGATTCTCTGCCGTTATCCTTTTCCTAAAATTGGACTCCTCTTTGGTTCTAAATTCATGGATCCTGGCTTCTTTAGGGACCAGTTTTTAGGCACCTTAAGTTGATCATCAGATATAAATGAAGTGTATTACAGAATTCTCACCCACGCCACTAGCTGCGTGATCTATCTTAAGAGATCCCGTCCCATACGGCCACCTCAAGTCGACTGTCTAGATCTCGCTTCTTTGGACCTAGTCTTTACACTAGATACGGAAAAAGGAGAAATGAGACCAAAAGGTGAGAGGGGGTCAGCTAATTTTATAGAATGGTACACTCTATGCCAATAACCGGCTTATTCTAACTATCGGAGGCCTCCTATCTGTTGCTTTGTGCTATAGAACGGTCTCCTATTAGTGTCAGGACCATTGCTCGGGTTGACGTCACGTGGCTTATAGTATATAAGACCTTTACGAATCCTACCAAGTCAGCAGCGATTCGCCTATCCAACACCTGAATGATATACAGTTGTCCGCCTTCATTACTATCCTGTGACTTCACTGCCTAGAATCTATATGCAATCCTCACAATTAGTCCAGGCGTCCGTAAGGAGAATATGTACTCGGTGTGAATCTTAGCTTAGCGTGCACAGTAATCTATTATTCCCTCTGTAGAACTTTCATGTCAACTATTTTGCGTTATTTAGTAAATTCATGGTGCTAGACTTTGCATTCAATCCAGAATATAATAGCAGGTCTCAGAAATGATCTAACCGGTGACATCTCAAAGCGTGGCCATTCTACAGACAGCCACGTTCTTAAGACGACATGTTCTTAAGAAGGTGACATCCCACGTTCTCTATACAGTCATGCTCTTTGGATATACCTGTCTTAAGATAGTTATATTCTCAAGATAGACATGCTTCTAAGACGGTCACTTCCTCAGAACTATCATGTCTTTAAAAAAATAATTTTTAGGTGTATCATCTAGTCTAACCTAAACACCACGCTGTCGTCTCAGCCAGGATTCAGGAAGAGCTACCAGAACTGTAATTGTGCGGTGAAGATCGCTAGCTGCGAGTATATCAACAGTGTAGATGGCGAGCCAGCGAGGGGATCTCCGGGGAGGCTATTCCAGAATCAGGCACTGGCTAGTTCGTTGCCTGGGTTTCGGTATATTAGAGGTTAGGTTTTTGAATAAAGAGGACAGTCTGTGTGAGGGATGAGTTCTTTGCCGTAGCCCGTGTCCATATTTCGGTTGTTCCGCTAAGGTGAGACATAGCCCTTCACACAACACTGTACGTGGATTCAACTCTGACTTTTCTACCTACATACCCGTGCTTATGCTGTTGCCTATAGCGTTCCTATATCCAACTAGCCACCATCTTACATATCACTTGCTCGTCTCTATCTCACGGCGTTGCTAGGAGATGAGAGAAACCGATCTTAATCGTATCTTCCCCACCATGGAATCTTTTCCATGCGATGGCGACCAACAATTCGAATCCGCGACACCAACCGTGCTATATTTTGCATGACCACGGAATTCCTTGCGTAGTTTGGTTCGAGGATGCTGTCGCCTACTATGGCGTCCCAACAATTGTGTTCGACTTATACGTCCTTGTATCAGACATTGACAGCCGCACAGGTGCTTATCTAAAATGGATGGACTTTTGTTCTACAAGAGAAGGGCAAAATTGGAAATGCAAACGTAGATTACGCACAGCGTCGTCTGAGACCACCACCTCAAGATAGTCACGAAGCAGAACTATCTAACCCTCACCCGCACACCTCTATGCCTCCACCACCAGGTACGAAGCCTCCGGGGACGACGACTACCGTCCTCCTTCTAGCTGCAGACTAGAATTTCAACCTTGAAGGATATGGCCTAGACAATTCAATAACCCCGTCAGTACTGTCTTTCCTCTAATAGCAGGCTTATTAGACGCTTTAATCAACAACCTATTAGACTGCCCCTCTAATAATGATATACTTTAAACCTATATCGCCCTTCAAATCGCCTATCTTTATAGCTGGGCGCCTGTACTGCAAGAACGGGCGTTCGCAGAACGCTTAATGTATAAGCACCGTCAGTATCATTTCGATGTCCTGTCTAGAATGAGCCATGGCACTGTATCGTTTATCTCTCATCAACGTAGTGTTCGAGAAGCATTACGAGAAAGGACACACGAGTTTCAAGAATGCTCTGCTTGCGACAACAAGGCATTGTTCAGTGGATAAATGGAGGTACAACTGTTAGCCTCGATGCATAATCTTTTCCCTGAAAAGGAGGAAGATTGGAAAGAAGAAGATGGCTGGGAAATTTATGACCATTTGGAGACGAATGAAGGCGTGGCGAACGGCTACACTAAACCAGGCGACTTGGGGGATATTGATAAGTAAGGAGCTTAAGAGCTTTGGTAGCTTGAAGACCTTTCCATACGGGACCCAACATGGGATAGAAGAGAGGGTGCAGTGTTATGAGCCAAGTGCCTGTTCCATCACTGACCAGTCACTTGACGAACAATTTTAACCTTACCGCTACCTTATGTATCGCTCATGCTGTTTTACAAGACTAGGAGACTTCTTCTACTCTACAATGGATCCTCCCCATCTAAGAACTCTCAGCCATAATGCAGACCAGGAAGCCGCCACCACCAGTCATACACTACCTCAATTCCAACACTTACTCTATACGGGCCCACGACTAATCATTTGACAGTCCTAACCTCTAGCGTGTGCCCGAGGCCTCAGAATGAACCTGTTGATAGGGAATGTCAACTTAGGGAATTGGAATTTGGGGAAATGAGACCCACCTGTCTGGAGACTGTATCTCGCACTCTTCCAGTAATCTCTACTAGTGTATGTCGCGATAAACTACTCTACAAATTCTTTGCTGGCATTTGGGTCGTCCTGGGCTGTTGAGAAGGCATTAATAGTTGCCAATCACAAGAGAAGGAACTTGATGTCCGCGGCATCCGATAATTTCTTGACCTTGGTTGGTCGTTCTAAGATAGAGCGGCATTTCGAATTCAGTATGAGCACTGGGCTGAGAATCTTGATGGAGTCACTACCAATGGTGATCGTATGGGTGGGTGTATCTACATTGAAGGTTTCCCGAAAAAAGGCAGGAGGGGAGACGATTTTGATTTATACAGGCCACATCGCTATTCTCAGTCCGCAGATCCAGAAGCGCCATTTTGCAATCTCCGAGCCAGCATTTCTCGACTTCACTCTGATTCGCCATATTAGTCAACGGGTAGTAGGAGTGGTAATGTTCTGTTTTATTTAACTGTCTGAAGATGGTGTAGTTAACGGTGTCGTGGCAGGCTGGCCAGTCCACGTGGTTTTACGTCCACCATGAAATACATTCCTTTTTCATGGACGGCTGCGGCGAGGGATCTGAGACCAGAGGAGCTGCTAAAGTTGGAGTTGGGGGTGTAGAGGTCCGTTTGGTAGTAGTCGTGGTAAGCTTGCGAGACTTGGGCTGTGATGGGGGAGATCCAAATCTTGGGTGAATTATTAGGGAATGATGGGGAATCAGGAGAACAAAAGAGGTTCTACGGCAGTGAAGCCCATGTTTTTGATATATTCGAGCTTGTTTTGGAGGACTTTCCATGTTCCACTGCAGTAGATGTTGTTTGCAGTATCGCAGAGGTTAGGTTGTGCTACCATCGGTGCGGGCAAATCTATGCAGCATTATGTCTATTGTCGTGGAGATTACAAATATTTATTGGTGTGTAAGTGCCTAAAACAATTCCGCTGAAGAAAATATTTAAATAGATAAGAAATAGAAGTAGAGACTTGTACTTGGAGTAGAACGAGAAACCATGAGTATGCGGTATACAAGTTCCGGAGAATGAAGACTGAATTCCACGAAGAAAATAACCTAACTTACCTGTCTGTGAAGACTTGATATATAGATCTAGTCCCCCAGTCCGCGGCTCTACCAACAGCGCAATAGTGGATAATACCTGAAGCTTCATACCAGAAAGGAGCGATTCAACCAGGAATCAAGAAGCAAACCTGGGCTAGAACAAGGCTGCAATAGAGTTTGGGAGGCTACTCTTACCTCCAAAAGACGTTCTTCCAAGTTCTTTGGTGTTAAAATGTTAAAGACTCCAATCCCATGCGTCAACGTCCATAAACCTTGCTTCCTTCCCTCCCTCAGCTGAGCTCTCTGAATTACCCCCAGCCCACTTACTTCCAAACACTCGACCTACGGAAATGCCGCAATAACCCATCGCCACTTATTACGTCTAGATGTCTTCGCTAGGGGTGATTCGAATCCAGGACACGCCATTTACGAACGTGACCCGGAGATCTACCTTCCCAGCATATTGGTAGGACTATTGTAATCCACCGACCGACATAGGAATGCTGTATTCAGCCGGAGAATCAACTTGCGGCGCCGTTCGCATCATTGGAGCCTCGTCACATGTCTGCCGAGTCAGTCTTTCATGAGCTAGATATATATGTACGGTAGACTTGGTGGATGTTGATCTGAGCATACCAGTTGGCTGCATGCTGGTCTCGTGAACTTTCTTATCAGCGTCAAGATTTCTTGAATGAGGGCTGATGCAGGTTTACTATGCTGTTAGTCTCTTTCTCATAGATGTTGTTCCATGGCGTTGGAAGTAAGGAATTAACCCTTCCTTGTAGTTGCAGCGAACTCCGTCTACCATTGGTTAAGATTATCGCATCGACAATTCGATGCTAATTAACGATATCTGCTCAACATTAGCTTAACTACGAAGTTGCAGTGATGCGGTGCAACTCACATCCTCGCTTTATTATTTTCTGCCCGATGCCGACCATTGCTCAAGTCGCAGTTGCAACCTGTGTGTCCAATGCATCTCTACCCAACCATAGGGTGGGTGGAGGTACCCACATGTAATATATAACCCTCAAGGGCATTAAAAGTTCTGCAAATTATCCTGTGCACCGAAGCCAGCGATGGACGTCATCATGCATATCAGAAACCCCCATGTCAATTCCTTTTCTAGGAGTGTGCCACTAGTTGGGGTTGATGGCAGATGAAGACCTAGGACAATTCGGGAAGCAAAGATGCAGGGACGGTGCAGGTCGATACTCGCGGGATGGATCTCGACGAGAGGTTGTTCAGTCTGTACTGAGGAAGAGGTGTCAAAGTATGCAAGGAATGAAGTGGTACCAACGAAGTATCCATTATGTTCTCGGTGTTTAGTAGTTGATATAGGCAGAGCCTAGAATGGCCGTGGACTGCGACTTCTTCCTCCGCTGGTACCTGATGTTTGTGCCTTCCATCTTGCTCTCGAAGGAGGACCTAGATAGGTAATCGTGCCGAAGAGAAGAAGGGCCAACTTTGATAGACTCAAGAAATCGCTTCGAATTAAACGGTGTACGCAAATCGAAACGTCGAGTGAACGATACACAGCCCAAGATCTGAAGCAAGTTGGAAATGTATATGTACAAGAAAGGGAAATTTTTGAAAGCCTGACAAAGTGGAAAGAGAGCCCTCAGCTCGACAAATAAATCCAACCCAGAACCCAGAATGCCATGGTGGTATCTTATGCAACCGAAGCCCTCCTTCCAAACGCCTTCGCTTGCCACCTCTCGCTCGTATTACCTCGTCACATATCTCACGAGAACGACAGGCGGCTATGCATGCAACATATATTGCCCTACCCAGAGACCCAAACCTGGAACAGGCACAGAAAATATTCCTTCACGGACACGTCAAACTCCTCACCCTCTTCTCACCTTTTCCAAGAATCTCATTCCTCAGCTTCGAGGGCACAGCGGCGGCAGCCCAGCATTGTAGCGCACAACGTCGCATGATATCCATCTCCTCACCCTTCATTCTCAACTGATGTTTCGCCATTTTACTCTTCCACAGCTTGGTGCCTTTCTCCTCTTGCTTGCACTGTCCGTCTGAGGCGCTCCTTAGGAAGCTCGGCATAGTGACATTGCGCTTTGGGGCAGGTGTGGAATCTGTGCTCGAGGGCACGGTGGACTCTAGGCTTATGCATTCGGCGATTAGACACTGGATGCCGGCTGAGAGCTGCGTTGAGCGCGAGAAGAGGTATGGCCAATAGTCTGGGCCCCAGAAGGGATCAGAGGCGAGGGCCTCACGGAGCGCGGGGAGGACTTGAGGTAGTGGAGGAAGACTGAGTCTCGGACTGGGTGCTTCTGTTTCGGTGTCGGTGGGTGAGATGGGGGAGGTAGGAGATTCTGCTGGAGAGGAATTTCCTGAGGTGGCTGGAGACGAATGCGGAGAGGAGATTGAGGCGGTTGAGAGGAGAGATGCTGCGATGGTAAGGCGGATATGCGACTCGGTGCTCATCGTCGCCATTGTGACACAAGCTGGGCATGACTCGTAGTTAGCTCCCCATGTCCCAAGCTTCAATAGCTCTGCTCTGTTCATTGTGTGAGAACCTACCTGGACAGCCCCGCGTACGACACCAATCCTCTTCCTCCGAGATGAAGCATTGCATCCAGAGAAACGCACCGCGCGCTTCTCCCCTAAATGCTAACTCAAGGTCTTCCGGCCTGGGGATACAAAGCGCAACCTCAGCGAGAGCCTCGGCATGATGGAAAAGCTCGACCACGGGCATGACCAGAGCATGCAGCAAGTCGCGGTGAAGCAGCCATTTGTCTTGAGCCTGCTTATCGCAAGTCTGGTGCTCGGTGCAGAAGCTGTTGACGTGGCGGCGGTTATCAGCGGGGGTTCACAGACATGCAGGAGATGGGTCGGGCATACTCGAGGTCTTTGGCAAGACATCTCCTCAACACTTGGAATCCCTCTGATGTGCAGAGCGCTTCGACGTCCTCATGGGGGATCTCGAATGGCGACAGGGTCAAGCTTTCGGAGGCGTTGGGGGTCGACTCCATGGCTTACGGCGAGGATGGTGGAAAAGGAGGCATGCAGCGCAGGTGAATTTGGGAGAAAAGCTTGCATTGAAGAATAGACAGCTATAACTGAGAGAAGCGTTCAAAGTCAAAACCAAAGGAGACTAGTGGGTTCGAAGAAGAGAGGAGAAATGGGGAACCGCTGGGCAGGCACTTCAATAAAATGACGAGCCGGCACCCAGGAAATAGTCTTAGGCCAGGGCTTGCCCCTTTCGTTCGTTGCGCTGCGGGAAAAACCCGCACTTGCGCTGAACTGCGCACGCCATTCACAAAAGCTGCATTATCAACTGCGATACGCATGGCAATAATGCATTCCGATATGACGACGCTGGCCCTTTTGCATTGGGCTGGGTGTACCTGGCCATGCATGCATGCATCTCAAGAGCCGACAAGAAACGAAGCGCCGTGTCGTGGCCGCCACGAGCGCCACATGGAATCGAAACTGAACGTGGGGGCAGCTCACGGTCCAAGCATATTTACCCTTGCATGAAAACGAACTCTATTGTGTCTACCTCTACCCGCTCTCCCGCCTGTATATATAACGGAGCGGTGATGTCGTTGTGGATCTCTGACACAAAGTCTCTCAGCCCCAATCATTCCCGGCAGAATCAATACAATGGTAGTCTCTCGACAGCGGAAGATCTCTTCCAGCAGACCCTGCACAAACCCGGGACCATGCTGTTCAGCTTCCGGTCCGTCTCACAGCCCGCAGTAGCTGTCGATAGCCTCTTTCAACCGTGTCTCTCTCTTTCGGAGCTGAGATGCAAGCCAAATGCGAGCCAGACGCAACCAGACTTTTGGGAACCGCAAATGACTGCAATGCAGGCTGCAGCACTTCCATTTCCGGTCATGCAGTTCCCTTTCGAGCTCATTTCGGTGGGTGGCTTGATATTGGTTTATCTTTTCTGTCAAAACCCTCCAATGTCGAGGCTTTGGATATCTTAAAACTGGGCACCACATGTGGGTTTCGTGCTCAAGGTACACAACACCGGCGCTTCAGAAGCATCGATTCGAAAGTAGGGACGGCTGCTCGTCGTTGACTAGGAATTCCAAATCTGAGAGTTCACGTTCCTCTCTTGCAGGATGAGGAAGCAGTGTTGGTAATGGACGTTTGAACATCTAGCAAGTTTCCTGGAGAATGACTGCTTCTCCATGAGTGCGGCATCAGGGTTACGGAGGAACTATGATATGTCGGTAATTCACATCCTGGTCTTTACGGAGGCGCTATTGTCAGGAATGCAGACCGGGAGGGGTCTGAGATTATGCTCTCCCCAGAAGTGTTATTCTTTAAGGCAACAGAGCGGCCGTATAGCGTGACAAGCGCCTGTTCTCTGAAATTGTAGCCTGAGATTCTTGAGGGCTGTGTAACATGTCAGTGGCCTCAGTCTCGTCTTTGTAAATGCCTTATGCGAGAGAATATCTCCTTTATGGTATTGCGTTGGTATTCATGGGTTGCAGCGTAACAGAAGAAACCTGTGGTCTAGCAGAAGCCTCATTCCGTACGCACCATGAGTGCCCAGACAGAGACAGATGCGAGAGCGAAAACAAATTGAGTTCGAGAGGGAATTTGTTGGAGTGTAGAGGACGCAGCATGAATGTATTTAGATGGTAGGCCGCGAGTAGGCCTCCATGATATCAGATACAGGAGTGAATTGAGCGGAGTGAGGATGTTGATTTGGTGGGTGTACTGCGAATAGCACACAATTGTCAGCGGAAGCATTCTAAACTCTGTGTTTCAGCATGTCCATCTCGATAAGCATAGAAGGAAAGATTTTGCGGGTTACAAGAAAGGCATGAGAGTAGTCTTCTATCGCCGTAAGCTACAAATTAGAAGAACTACTAGGGGGTGGTAAGTCAGGGTGGTAAGTCAGAGGGTGTTGTGGGGAACGGCTAAGGAGAGTATGGAGTTAATGATGCTCAAATGGTGCTGCATGGATGGGCTGGTAATAGGAAGTTATAGTAAGTAAGAGAGTAGGATTGTGGAATATCGCTATGGATTGTAGTCTTGGAGAGGTTCAGGGTAGGACGTGTTGCTGAGGAGAGCACCGAGTCAACGATACTTGGCGGCGCTGCATGGGCAGCCAATAGGAAGCCACAAGAAGGAAGAAATAAAGACTGTGGAGCTTCTCTATGAATTGTAGTCTAGGGGATGTTTGATGGAGGCTGGAAAACGAAAAGATGTCAAAGATATGTAGGGAAACATTTAATTAATAGATATACAAACCGGACCCTCTACGCCAATATGGAGACGAATTGTGGCCGAACCAACACGCTTAGAAGTACACATCTCCTTTCTTTAAAAAACGCTAATATAGTTCCCAATTCGCTCTTTCTGGTTCTGCGCTATGCACTCGGCTATCCAGGTAATGTTGCGGATTTCCTGTACGAAGTCAGCCATCTGGAGGACATGGAAAGAGCAAGAGAGGTGGTACAGACCTGCTCCCGCAACTTCACCCAAGCATACACCACAGCATGCGTAAACTGTCGAGTGAAGGCCAGTTTTGAAATCTCCATCTCCTTCTGGTAGAAAAGATCTTCGAGGCTCCGAGACTCTCCACCTACACCACCGGCCATGTTTCCAAGACCACCGCCTCCGCTCTGACCGCTGAGGCCTGTCTGGTCGAAGAATGTCTTGTAGTCGGCGACGCTCTCTACGGCGATGCGCACACCCTCCACGTCGTCTGCCCTCGAGAGCATCAGCGTTCCTTCGGGATGCAGACGGCCGAAGTTGGGATACAGCTTCTTCCGGTCGGCCTTTGAAAGTTCGGTGCCAAAAGAGTTTAGCGTGATGTTGATGCTCCTTCGATCAGCCTCAAACTCTAGCACCTCCGTCATGACCTCAGCCGTGGGAGTTCCTGCCACTTCCGGTGTTGTATTGACCCAGTTGTAGAAGTCTTCCAAGTAGTTCTTGTACAGTGTGTTCCGGATGATCTCGATGTTCAGTTCGTCCAGATCCTGGTGGCTGAGGGAGCCCTTGAAGTAAGGTGCCAAAGGCGTCTCGATCAAGACGGAGTTGTACAGCTCCTCGATGTTCGTCGCTACACACAGTACAGGCATGGTCTCAAACCAGCCGAGAGGATGGCACCGTTCCAACAGCTCCCGCGTATCTCGCTCGTGAAGTGTGCCTGTGATCAGCAGCGCAACGTTGTCAATCATGTATCCATACGTCAAGTATTCCATAAACTTTGCGAGCGAGCCTGTGGAGTTGGCCTGGAGGTAGCGGAACTCGGATACCAGCTTCTCGGTGGTCTTGTTGGCGAGGGCGGAGGTAGATGGGTTGGGGGGCAGGGATGCGAGGAAGTCGCCATAGGCAGGGGAGAGCTGAAGCTTCACATCTTCAGGAGTTCGTTAGCTTCTATTGTACTTTTAGTGTGCTTGAGTTCGAGGGCATACCGTCGATAGTCTCGCATTGCGTTAGGTTGCTGTAGCTCTGGCTGGTGAGCAGTGCGTTGCGATAACCACGCACGATGCCTTCGATATAGCTGTGAAATCATCAGAAAGAGGTTTAAAGGGATTTAAATAGGATGGAATACCCATATTTCACATTGTAGAAGAGACCCTCCATGATGCGCGATGATTTGCAGGGGAGTCGGGTGGAGGTGGGAGGTTGATGATGCACAGTGCCTAACTGGCGAGCAAGGGTCACATCTAGCCGCGCCAAGACATTAGATACGAGAGGACCATTGAACACCGAATGCAGAAGAGAGGGATAATCATGAACAGGAGTTTGTATCTAATAAGCATTCTGTTTAATTCCAGCAAGAAGACTAGCAGATAGATTCTATTCTAATCATATTCCACGTTATGTGAGATAATGTGCCATACGCGCCACACAACTGCTCTGTGGCGGGGGGTCAATCAAGAACAGAAATGTGCACCCTGTGAATCTTGACTTTTATTCAAGCAAGAGCCGAGTCGTGGATTTCTATTCTAGCTATATTCCTCATTGTCTGACAACGAGTTGTGTCTGAGGCCCTAAACAATGCGCGGTGTGGCGAAACGCCTTGAGCCAAAGGCCTGCGCCACATATGGTTGCTTAGTTAGCAACGCTAAATTCTTAGCGTGGTCGCATGGTTTACCGCGAACTCGACAACACAATTGCTCTTGCTCTCCAACAACACACTCAAGGTACGTCCCACGCTTTGTTCCTGCCCACACATCCCAAATCATCTTCTCCTGCCATCCAATTCGCCGTGCGCCCCAGTTCAGGATCACTCCTGCATTTAGAGTAACCTTCACCTCGCCTTTAGGGACTTTGCTGACTTGCGCCAGATGGTCTCAACCCGCTCGCGCGCGGTTCAGGAAGAACCCCCCCGCGCTCCGTCCCCCCGCACCAGGCGGCGGAGGCGCCTGGAGGGGTGGTCTCCTCCTCCTGTTCCCGTCCTCCCCCCTCGCCGCCGATTGCGGTCCACCAAGGCCGCCGCTTCCCCGCTCCAAGCTCTCCCAGAGCCGGAGAGGAAGAAGAAGACGACCAAAAAGGAGGATCCTCCTTCAGAAATGGAGGCAAAAGAGGAAGAGGCCGAAGATGGCGACAAGGGCGTCTTCTTCGAAGAGGATGCAAGTGAGTATCGCTTTTTCTTTCCCCCTTGGAGGACAGACTAATACAATGGAAAGAGGACAGGGAGATCGCGCACCTCAAGAAAGAGCTTTCGAAATACAAGCAGAAAGCTCAAGACAAGGAGAGAGATGCTGACTTCTGGCGCAAAGCCTATTACCGCGACACTGACCCGCAACAACGCCCTGCCAATGTGCTACTGAAGAAGATCGAGGACGCAAAGGCCGAGGCTATGGCCGAGGCCCGCCAGGGTCTGCTTCCTGCCCTCTCTCCCCCCTCCATGCCCGCCGTGCCCGCCGTGGCCGTCGCGCCCGTCGCGCCTTCCCAGACGCCGCCACCTGCCTCTATTCAAAACACAGCGACTTGGAGCATCAATCGTCTCTTCTCTTGGATTCCAGGCTTCCGAACCCCTGAAGCGACACCGCCAAAACAACTCACTGCCCAAGTGGCCGCAGAGATCAAACAGAGCCTTACACCCACCGAGACCGAAAATAGCACACAGATGACACCCATCCGCGCAAAGAAGCCTGCGAAGAAACCCGCGAAGAACAGCGCAAAGAAGACCGCCAGGAAGCGCGATGGACAAGCATCCGACCGTGGCCTCATCGTGAAGCGGGTCCTCAAGGGTGTCGCCCAGGAAGAGAAGCCAAAGGCGAAGGCGTGGGTCAAGGATACGATGAAGAAGATCGAAGCAGGTTCAGCAACCATCGGCAACAAGCGCAAGCTACTCGAGCAAGGAATGAAGATGAAAGACCTGGGGGAAATTCCAGCACGACTACCCTGGCAGTCCTCCGGCACATACGGCTTGCAAGATGCATTCTTCGATTACAGCTCCGACGAAGATGTCGACGTCCCAGACTACTATGTACTCGACATGCTCGCGAAAGGAAAGCCCCAGAGGAAACGTCGCAAAATCCGAACCAACTTATACCCGGATGATGACGTTCGATCTCTGAACGATATGCAATCAGAAGATAAAGTCGACACTCAGGGTAACCCGAGCTCCCAAATTAAGCTCCCAGCAGATGAGGTCGACACCCATGGCAACTCCAGCTCACAGATCGACCTACATCCACGTCCATCACATCAACCGTCCCCAATGTTCAGTAACGAAGACCACGTGTATCAGGGCGGCAACGTATTTCAACAGAACACAACACCGACTACCCCGACCCGCGATCGTGAGGCTATCCAGAAGGAGCTTAAGCGCACCGGACATGTTGAGGGTACTGGCACTTTCTGCGTTCCCGAAGGTGACTCCGATTCTTCCGATGACTCTCTTAGCCCCGAGGAGCCCATGACACCAGTTTGGACGCAATCCCCACCACCAGCTCCAACCCCCGCTCACGCCACCCTTCCATCTCCTCTCACTACCACTGAGGATGAAGACCCAGTGAGGCTTCAACGCGCGAAATATACAAAGCACACGCCCGCCAAGCCGTCCAAGCTTAGGCAGGCGATCATGCCTTCACCGAGTGCGTTTTCGGAGGGTCTCGACGATGAGATGCCCGATGCGGCTCCGATTGACCTCAGTGACACCCAGTTAGAGGCTGCTGTCGAAGAGTACGTCAATGACCCATCCTTCCTGGCCAAGAATGCTTTTGCTTTCGGGGGTTCGTCAGTGAAGTTGGTTTATGACGAGGACGATGAGGATGAGGAGTACTAGAAAAGTGTGTTTTCCTTTTTTTCCTTTTTTCCTTGTTTATTTATTTCAGATTCCCTGTGGGAAGCATGGCTGGGTACGGGCGTTTTTGCATTGTCTGGTGTTGGTTTGTGTTTTTTTGCGGTCGCCAATCCTAGTACCCGCCTGATCTCCCTTATGGGTGAGATTGGCGTGTGTGAATGGGTGTGGCGTACCTGTTCTGGCCTTTTGGCAATTATGTTTGTAATTGCGACTGAATTAGGGGCTTTGTCCTGCTTCTGTCTTTCTTTGTGTGATCTCCTCCCGGGTTGAGATTCACTTAGAGAAGCAGAAGTGACACTTCTAATGTATCCCTTTGTTCGACAGTCGTTTTGTGTGTTTGTCTTGTAATGTGACGATGTGACGATGTGACGATGGGGTAATGCTGTATTGTCATGCTGTTGATGCTTTGGGAATAGAGATTGCAGCCTTCGAGACTTTGCCGGGGAATGTGAATTGAATTTGGGATTGGTTCTAGCGCATCCATGTGAACCTTAATAATGAGCAACATGTCAGGCATAACATGTTCCAGCTATGAATAGTTAGCAGGCTTTGAGAATAAACATCTTATTTCTGGGGCCTGCTGGAGCTTCGAGTTGAGTGAGATGTTAGGGCATAATGCTGTCTACTGCTTTCTAATAGGTTCAGAGAACAGACATCTTGTTCCAAGAGCCTTCTGCACGTTTATAAATAAAATTTGGGTGTGTTTTTAATGTCCTTACTCGTGCCAGGGTTTCTAAGACTGGTTATTAAGGATGTTAGGTTCACTGTCCATAAACTCCTGGTGGTCTTGTTCAGACACAGCTGGGCCGTTTTTGGACCTTACGAGACAGCTACGAAGAGAAATTTGACTTTATTTTGTTGTACTAGTTCATTCCTGCATCTCCAAGATAGGTTATTACAGATGATAAGCTTATTGCCTATTAAATTCTTATACTATGGCTTGAGAATGGCTTGAGAATGGCTTGCTGATTGCTGTATTGTTTCGAGAACATCGGAATTTGATTCTAAGGTTGTTTGGCGAGCATGCGGTACCACTGAGACGTGAGCTGTGACGAACCGCAGAAGAACCCCGCGCTAATGCAGATCGGGATAGGGTGGGGGGCAATTGTCAAGGCAGGGAAACGTCAAACATTTTCGTTGATGCCTCATCCCGTCTTCCCACTCTCCTCTCTCTCTGCACAAAGCTGTCAAACCATCCAAACATCTGCCATCCTCGTCCGTCACCCTCGGCTCCCAGAATCACCCCCTCTCCCGTCCCCATGGGCTCCGTCGTCCTCCCCCACCTCCGCACAGGCTGGCATGTCGACCAAGCCATCCTCTCCGAAGAAGACCGCCTCGTCGTAATCCGATTCGGCCGGGACTCCGACCCTGACTGCATGCGACAAGACGAAGTGCTCTTCAAAATCGCCGAGCGAGTCAAAAACTTCGCCTGCATCTACGTGTGCGACCTCGACGAAGTGCCTGACTTCAAAGCCATGTACGAGCTCTACGACGCGTGCACGGTGATGTTTTTCTTCCGGAATAAGCACATGATGTGTGATTTTGGGACGGGCAATAATAATAAGCTGAATTGGGTGTTGGAGGATAAGCAGGAGTTGATTGATATTATTGAGACGATTTATCGGGGAGCAAAGAAAGGGAGGGGGTTGGTGGTTAGTCCAAAAGATTACTCGACTAGGTATCGGTATTGAGGGGAGGGGCTGGGGTCTGAACGTTTACTCTTACTAGATGGGCTGAGAGAGGAAGAAAGACGGAGGGTGGAGTAGTGGGGATGCGCGAGGGGGGGGGAAGGGGATGAATACGCTCTAGCCCCGTGGAATGGGGACACGCTAAGCTAGAGGGTGCTCGCGGCGGGAGAAGAAAGGAAAAGCTTTTCTAGAGCTGGCATGTCTGCATCGATCGCATTCGGGAATACCGCATCAGCGTGGCTTCAATAAAGGATAAGGGCAGAGACATACAACTCGTTAGGCCGATTACTCGGGCATTCCTGGCGAAGAAATAGACTGCGAACAGCAACCATACCACGTTCATCTACATTAGAAGGCTGCAATACCAGACACACGACTTCACAAGCACTGCAAGGGCAATATAAGCAAGCATAATAAATCATATTATTCGTCACGAGATCCAGAACCTCCAACCCACTGTACTCCATGCCACTGCCCCATACTCTCATGTCTTCCCCCTTGCTCCACCACTCCCACCAACCTCCCACAACCCTGCCCTAGCACCCCTCCAAACCTCCTCCAGGATCTCCCTCCGCGGCAACAAACTCGGAAACACCACAACGACATCTCCCTCCCCCTTTACCACAATCGAGAGATAGAATCGGACTTCAAACCCCTTGAATGCTTCATGGATGAAGATATCCTGGATGCTGGTTGTCGGAATGAAGCGCGTGGACGAGGTGGTCAGGTATGTGGACGAAGAGGTGGAGGTTTGCAGGCCGAGGGAGCGGATTATGAGGAGGGATTCTTCTACAGATGCGTGTGTTAGTAGTTTCTGCTGGCTGGCTAGTTGGTAAGGGGAGGGGTGGCACCAGTATATCCTCTCCTTCCAACCCTCCAAATCACCGTCAACGCTACCGGAGCTAAATATCTCCATGGCAGTGTTTCTACAAGCTTAACGATCCATGCTTCAGCCACTCTGCCTAGGAACATTGATAACAGGACTGTGTGTTTTCCAGAACTCGCACGCCATTTCGCCCACAGCGTTATGAGCGCAAGCGTCCCGGCTAATATTCGAACTAGGATCGAGAGATAGTATGTGAACAGCGCGAGAAGTGTCTTTGGCACTGGACGCGTGGAGACCGTGAAGGAGATTGTGGACGGGGTTGGTTGGAGGGTTGTTAGGGTTTGGGAAGGGGGAGAGGTCAGGCGTTGGAGGAGGCTGAGCATTTTGGAGTTGGGATAGAGGGTTACCGAGGCAGCATTTTTGAAGACAAAATCAAAATTAACCAGAAGCTAGAATTGGTGATACTGATAGACTGTTGACGGGAATGTGATGATGCTCAGCCCTATCGGGAACAGCCGAGATCCAAGTACAGTCAACTCTCGATGGCGCGATGCGCGATTAAACGATATTTCGATATAGCAATACATTTCTCAAACCTGAATTAATTTCCCACTAAAATATTCTATTTTGCGATACCTACTATATTGTAAGCTTTTAGCTAGATTATTGTTATATTAAAAGATAAAATGCTATGTGTGGCAATTACTAACAAGCAGCAACAGGCTCTGCGTTAATAGTATTAACGTTAGGGTCCTAGCTAGAGGCAGCTTAATGTAATTAAGTAGTTTAAGCAAGAGTACAACTATTACATCTATTAGTTAACAGTATTAGAGTCCCTTTTAAAGCAATATAGCTACCTTAACAGTAGCTCTGCCACTACCTGCACATGTTAATAACAGGCATAGTAGCCTATTCTTAAAGCTGTCCTCTTTAACTAGCAGCAGCACCTTAAAAGCTCTAGCAGCAACGTCCCTAGTAATATTTTTATTAAGAAAGCAAAGGCTATCTAGCTGTAAATACCTAATTACGCTAACCTCTTTGTACTAGAGTTTAGCTTAGGCTAGCTTACTAACTTTAAGCAATAGCATAATATTAAGCTTTATTAACACTAGGGTAAGGCTGCGTTAGTGCTAGCTAGGGCTAAAAAGAAGATAAGGGCTATTAGAACGCTGTGTAGAGAATACGCAGAGCAGGATATATTTAATATAGACAAGACAGGCCTATATTAGCAGTAGGCACTATTGTTAGGGCTTTCTACTAGAGCTTAACTTAGCAGGAAGAAGGATAAGAACTAAATATTAATTATATGCTACTATAACTTTACTAGCAGTAAGCACTTTACTCTTTAGGCTATTAAAAAGGTAGCTAGACTACATGCTCTATAATCTATTAACCTTAAGGCTTTTAGCATCTAATAGTTATTAAATCTTAAGGCGTAAATAACGCATACTATTATAATAGATTAGCTACAGGCCTTTTATTAGTAGATAAAAGAGACTAGGTCTATCCTACTGCTAATAAATAACTACAGCGCTTATATCTTTAGTGTTAATCTTAAACTACCTTTACTAAATATCTACATTTAATAGCTGCCTGCTAACTTAACTAGCGTCTACTAGCTACTTAATTAAGGCGTAATTAGTTAGTTTAAGCGCTTATATAAAAAGCAATAGATACGCTATATAGTTGCTAGCTATAAGCGCAGCGCAGATCTAGCAACTTAAGTTAACCTCTACTATGCCTTACGCTAGGCCTCTTAAGCCTAGTATAACAACTTTTAGAGTAATATAATCTATTACTGCTTCTGCTAAGCTAAGATCTAGCCTTTACAAGAACTAATCTACCTGCCTAATTTAGAGGAGCAGTCTTAGCAGGAGCTAGAGGAGCTCTACTAGCAGGTGCAGCACGCAGGCAGAATTTAGGACGCTATAAGCCTTAAAAACTTCCTAAATCCTATTAATAAAGATTACAAGCCTACTTAATCTAACTTTAATGTAGTAAACATAATTATAATATATAGCTAGCAGCTAGTTAAAGATAAATTAGATAATAAAAAGCCTTCTATATAAATACTTACCCCTACGCAGGCAGAGCAGGCTCTTAAATTACTACTCTTATATTAAGAGCATACAGATTTAACAACTCCCTAGCAGATTAGAGCGCTCTAGCAGCTATATACTAAAGCAAAGGCTTAAAAGTCTAAGCAGTTTGTCTAGGGCACTCTAGATAGTTAGATTACGTAACCCTCTTGCTGCAATAATATTGCGATATAATGATATAATCCTTGTTCTAGAATTGTATCGCGCCATTAAGAGTTGACTGTAGTGTGGTGTTGTATGGCCCAAGCTCCTAATAATTTCTGGCTGATTGCTAGTTGGGTATGCTTGGCATACGGCGAAACTTGACTGCCTTTCCGCCGCCTGGGGCTTTCTTCATTCTCTCACTTCCACCTCTCAGGTTCAAAACTTCTCTCAGGGTTCGAAGGGCATTCCCGCCTTGTAACAATCCCTCTACGCCTCCTTTACCTACAACTACCCACAACTTCCCTGTCACAATGCCGTCCCCAGCACCAGAAACCCAGCCCCCGCGCTCCCCGCAACCGCCAAAAGCCCGCTTCCGCTCACGCTCGCGCTCCCCACGTCGAGAAGACAGGGACAGGGATAGCAACCGGGGCTCCGAGCGCCGCCGTTCTCGCTCTCGCTCCCCACCGCGCCGCCCAAAGAACTTCTCTGGGCTTAAGTGGAAGAAGCATGACCGACGTGATGACTCTGAGCGAGATGGTGAGCGGAATATAGGTCGGGGATATCGGGCGCAAGAGGAAGATAGGAGGAGGAGGGATAGGAGTAGAGATCGGGAGAGGGATAGGGAGGGTGGGTATGGTGGTGGGCGGGAACAAGAGACGGATAGGGATAGGGATAGGGAAAATGGAAGGTATAGGAGGGATGAGCGGGACGACAGGGGGTTTGGCCGACGAGACAGAGAGCGAGACCATGGCCGCTACGGTGATCGTGACCGCGAACGACGCCGTGAACGCCACAACCCTGACGACAACCCCGATACAATTGACAGTCGTCCCAAAGACATCGACCGTGACCAAACCCTTCCTCCTCCCCGCTCCAACTCCCACCCCAAGCCCCGCGCCAAAAAGCCCGACAAGGCCTCCGGTCCCACTCCCGCCGCCCCACCAAGTGAACCCATGATCATCGTAACCGTGAACGACCGGCTCGGCACGAAAGCGCAAATCCCGTGTTTTGCCTCCGACCCAGTCAAAGTCTTCAAAGCGATGGTTTCGGCGAAGATTGGGAGACCAGCACATGAAATTATGTTGAAGAGGCAGGGAGAGCGGCCGTTTAAGGATCATATTACTTTGGGTGATTATGGGGTTAGTAATGGGGTGCAGTTGGACCTTGAGTTGGATACTGGGGATTAAGTGTTGGTGGGTGAGGGAGGAGGGCCTGGGATGCGGTGGATGATCTGATTGAGGTGAGTGGGGTATGAAACTCGATACAAGGTATATGTTTGTTCGGTGCTAATTGCATTTAAGTGTATGCGGGGTATCTCAAACTCAAGTTTCCATATCAGGCATCCACATCCTCATTCGGTCTCAACCTCCTCAGATCTAGCCCTTTCTTCCTCGCAAACCTCTCATTGACCACTTCCACAGGTTCCTGCCTCTCCCTCTCCAACACCGGAATGTAATTCCCCTTAGCCCTCGCTACATCCCCACCATCAAACACCCTTGGCACACCTATCCCCCCTTTCTTCTTTCCCCCTACCTCCATCTCGCTCTCATCTCCAATCTCCAGTTTCTCCCCTTGAGAAGCAACAACATCCATCAACAACCCTGCCAACGTCTCCTCCATCTTCCTCCCCCGCCACACTTCCCAAAGATCATCCATGACGCCTCCTCTTCCCCACTTCCCTGTCCCAACCCTGCCTCCTCCACCACCACTCCTCCCTTTCTGTTCCCTCCCCCCGGGATCCCCAACATAAATCCACTCTAACGCGTCCTTATACCCCTGCTCCCTCTCTCCCACCCTCTCCCCTCCCATCTCCTCATCCGCAGCGGGGAACACACAATCCCACAGTACGAGTGGGGCATCGGACGCCATTTCATATTTCGGTCTCGTGGGATTGGAGGCAATGTCTAGGAGGGAAGGGATAAGGGAGGGTGACTCGAGACCCTGGCCGATGAGAAAGAGGAGCGCGATGATGGACCGGACTTGATGCCAGAGGAAGGCGCTGCCGTGGAGGGTGAAGGCGTACATTTTCGGTTGCTGCTCCCCCGCTTCAGATGAGGGAGGGAATTGGGACGGGAGTTGGAGGTTTTGGTGCGAGAGATATGTGGGAATAGATAATGGCGAGATCTCCTCAATATCAGCGTAGAAGATCCGCCGCTGGAAGTTTGTGAGTTGTTTGCTAGCATCGATTTTACAGAAATTGCGGAAGTCGTGGAGGCCAACTAACTCGCTACACCCTTGTTTCATGGCATCAATATCGAGCCAACCTTCCCGCATCGCAGTTCTAGAACCAGATTCAGGGGTGGGATAGCTGGTTGGAAGGTACAGGCCTGAGGGATCGGGGTTGGGGCTGAAACACGGGTTTGTGAAGAAGTATTTATAGCGCCGTTCTCTGCAGGAGAAGCGGGCGGAGAAATCTGGGGGAGGGTTAGGACACCAGGCGTAGATGCGGATGTCGGGGGGGAGGACACGGTTTAGGAGTTGGATGTAAGGGAGTTCGTCTAAGATGTCGTTGAAGGGCTTCGCTGCCTGTTCGGACTCGGTGTCGGTGTCGGTGGGAGGAAGAGAAGTTTCGGTACTTTCCAGCTCTTCTGAGATCGCTTCTGGGGAAGTTGAGAGGGTTTCTAGTGTTGGGTTCGGGCTTGGTATTGGCCGGTTGCTTCGAACCCGCACTCCAATAACCTGCCCAAATGCACTCACGCCCCGATCCGTCCGACCACATTTTGAGTACTCGCAACCTTCCCAATTCATATCCACGCCCCCGCGATCCCAGGCTGCAAACGTCTTGTGATCCAACCTATCATAATCTCCCTTCTTCTCTCCAGAACTCGGCGTAGGATTTATAAGTCTCGTCTTCATTAACGCCTTCCACAGCTCTTCTTCAATGGTCGGGAGCGGAGTATTATTGTTATTATGATGCTCAAAACCATTGTACTTCTGCCCCAGATATGCGAATTTCAATGCGATCAGCCTGGTACTATACTTCGAAGCGTCGAATGCTTTAGGTGGCTGCTTCGGCGGTTTGCGGTATGATATTGACTGCTGTGGAGGCTGGGGAGCCGTAGCATATTCAGAAGGCGTCTTATGCTTCAATTCTGCTTCCAACTCTTGAATCCGGGCGATCAACTGCTTCTGGTTCCACTTCTCATAACCTTGTGCGGAGCTCATGGTGCCTTGCAGGTTGATCAACGAGCGGCGGGGAATTCGTGAAAGTTTGTGGAAGCGACGATTGGAGCAAAATAGACGGTGGAGAAAATTTTCGAGCTCTGGGAAGGAATTTGGAAGCTGGGAGGCTGCCAGCTTCATCATTTGGTAGAAATGTGAAGTCGGATTGAACGTTTTTTCGGATTGAGTCAAGGCGGGACGGAAGTCCACTGGCTTGGCGGGTTCCGCCCCGCCCTCCCCCCAAATTTCCTTCCCTCGAATTTCTTTCTCCACACTCCAACGTGTAGCTGGGCATCCTCCTTCAATCACCCCACCTAATTACCGATTTAACAGGAGGCATCCCAATTCCTGAAACGCTAAGCCTCCTTCGATCACCAATCACGTGCATGCCAAGTGCTTTATTATTAATGTTCGTACTAGCCTCATGCTGCGCCTCCACCGCTGAACATGATTTAAGAAGTCGCTTGACGCAGCTGAACGCTTCCGAACCTCATTTCCCCTCAGTTCCTCTCTTTGAAAAGAAAAAGTCAATCGTAACACAGCCTCATCATAGCCTATTACTGCCGTTTTGGAAGAAGTGTCCAACTAAGGCGTTCTGTTCTACTCCAGCTAATCAGGTATTCATCAGGCAGCTAGATACGAACCGCTTAGGCACATCAGGCAGAAGACAAGCATAAAGAACGTGTTGCGTTGAGCTTTTCGAGTTGGTCAACCACATATTGTTTGCTTTCACTTTTCCCTAGGTGTCGTGTCTTATCTGATATACATATCTCTGGGTGACTACTTGCTTGTGTTCTACTCAAACCCTTAGCCACTTGCAAGGTTCCCCTCCATTTATATTGTGGTGACGACGCCTTCCTTCCACCTCCATTCCATTATCACAGACATCAGTGTCCACGATGTTCAACCGCCCCAAATACTCATTGGGGCATGAGGAGATTTACGTTTGCGGGCTCTACTATACTCTTCCCAATTCCTACCGTACTGAATTAGAGAGATTCTACCTTCCCCAAGTATCCCTCCAAGCACACTCTACTATCCTCTCTACTACCTCCCGCACAATTCTCACCCAGGCTTTCGTCAACCCTTCCGACACGAAAGGCATCAAAGAAGTCAGATACACATTCCCTCTCTACGATGGTGTAAGCGTTGTGGGTTTCACCTGTCATATCGGAGACAGGACGATTGTAGGTGAGGTCAAGGAGAAGGAGAAAGCGAAACAGGTGTTCCAGGAAGCTGTAGCCAAGGGCGAGACAGCTGGACTGCTAGAGCAGTTACCAGAAGCATCTGATGTCTTCACGACAACAGTTGGAAATATTCCCCCTGGAGCCAATGTCATTGTCAAGATCACATATCTCGGAGAACTCAAGCACGATATGGAAGTCGATGGCATCCGCTTCACAATCCCCAATATTATCTGCCCGAGATATGGAAAATACCCACTCGGGCTGACAAGCAACACCACAGCGGATGCAGTAGGAACCGGCATTGAGATCACTGTGGATGCGGAGATGGCAGATGGTAGTTTCATCCAGCAGATTCAAAGCCCCAGCCATCCAATTTCAGTATCCATGGGCACAACATCCTTCGCCCCGAACGCCGAACCCAAGATGAACAAGGCCTCGGCCACCCTCTCCCTCGGCACTGCCCAACTCGACACTGATTTCATCCTTCAAATCATCTCCAAGGACTCTGGAATCCCCAAGGCGATTCTGGAAACCCATCCAACGATCCCGAACCAACGCGCCCTGATGGCTACCCTCGTCCCCAAATTCTCCCTTCCTGCAGAGAAACCCGAAGTCGTATTCGTTTGCGATCGCAGCGGCAGCATGTCGGGCTCTCGCATCAATCTCGTCATCCAAGCGCTCAAAGTCTTCTTGAAATCACTACCCGTGGGGGTGAAATTCAACATTTGTTCGTTTGGCTCCTCGCACTCATTTTTATGGCCGAAAAGCGTGACATACAGCCAGCAAACCCTCGATCAAGCTGTCAGGCATGTCGAGCTATTCCAGGCGAATTTTGGTGGGACGGAAATGTATCAGCCGATCAAGGCGACGCTAGATCAGCGGTATAAGGATATCCCACTGGAAGTTATGTTGTTGACGGATGGTGAGATTTGGGATCAGCAAAGGCTGTTCTCGTATTTGAATCAGGAGGTTGCTGAGACGAAGGTACCGATCCGGGTCTTTACCCTTGGAATCGGGAATGGCGTGTCTCATTCCCTGATTGAGGGTATAGCAAGAGCAGGGAACGGATTCTCGCAGACAGTGGGCGAGGGCGAAAAGATGGATAGTAAGGTCGTACGCATGCTTAAGGGGGCGCTATCTCCGCACGTCGACGACTATACATTGGAAGTGAAGTACTCGGATAACAACAGCAAAAACACGAGCCGTACACAAGACGACGACTTCGAGATTGTGGAGAGGGTGGCAGATAGCTTGACCGTCAAGATTGCGCTTGATGAAAAGAAAGAGGAAGAGAAACCCGTCAGTGGTCTCCAATCCAAAACCATGCGGTCTTTCTTTACTGACTACCACCAGAAAAAGCCCATATCTCTATTCGACGCCACCGCCGACCCTGACAAAGACTTCCCTCCCCCATACGATGAGTCCGGCGAAGCACGCTACTCACATCTTCCCAACATCATGGCGCCAAAGATCATCCAGGCTCCGCAGAATATCCCCGCACTCTTCGCATTCAATCGGACTTCTGTATACCTCCTCCTGGGTCCCGAAGCTCCACAACAGACTCCACAATCTGTGATTCTGAAGGGAACGAGCCAGTATGGTCCGCTAGAGCTGGAGATTCCAATCCAGATCCTAGATATGCCTGGTGAAACAATCCACCAACTCGCCGCCAAGAAAGCCATCTTCGAGCTCGAACAAGGCCGTGGATGGCTGCCCGAAGCCAAAGACGAATCCAGCAAACCGCTCAAAGAGAAATTCGAATCCCGCTTCTCTGACATGGTGGAGCGCGAGGCTGTGCGTCTAGGGGTGCGCTTCCAGGTCGGCGGAAAATACTGCTCATTTGTTGCCATCGAAAGAAATAGAGCTAACAGGACGGATAAGGAGCTGGAGGAAGCTGGATATGAAGTGCTAGATGATCCAGCATCAGTGCCCCAAGCATCAGCACCAGTCAAAGCAACGCAAAATATGTTTTCTTCTCTGGGCGCTAGCAGCGAAAGCAAGTCTCATGGCATAAATATCTCCACCACTGACAGGAGAAAGTCCCGCAGTCTTTTTGGCGGAATAAAAGGCTTCTTTGGTAGCAGTAACCCAACACCGCCGCCACCCGGAGGAAGTCTATTCAGTCTTGCACCCCAATCAACAGGCTCCGCTGCTCTCTCTGCAAGCTTCTTCGGCAACGCACCCCAGCCAACAGGACTTTCTACGCTCCCCAGCTACTCACCAGCAAACTACGCAAGCATACCACCACCACCACCACCGCAACCACACCCACAGTCCCCCCACGACACCGCCGCCGCCGAACTCGCTGTCACCCAAAACTTGCTCCATAACTCAATCCAAAGCGTTACGGAGCGCGGTGAAAAACTCGACACCCTAACTGCACGAACCGCTGCACTGTCGACTCAGAGTCAGGAGTTCTATACTAAGGCTAAGAAATCGTCGACCTCATTTGGGCGTTTTTTTGGGGAGAGTGCGCCTGCGCCTACAACTTCTACGCCTCCACCTCCATCTGCACCCGTAGATACTTCCACAACCGAAGAATGGAAATCCCGCCAAGCTCCGGCGCATACGAGAGTGCTGTCCAGGAAAATCAAGCTGATGGCACTCCAAGCCCCAGACCTTGACAACCAAAGCCAAGCCCTAGACCGTATCTGTGCGAAAACGGATACGGTTGATGATAGCGTTGCGATAAACCGGGAGCGTTTGAATAGGATTGAAGGAAGTCGAGAAAGGAGTAGTCCTTTGTCTCCGCCTACAGCAAATTCATCTGCGCCCTCCACATCGAAAGCCAGTGGTGTCTCAGCTGAGACCTCGGCTTTCGGATCTTCGAATAATACACAGGGTGGCTTTGGAAGCGCACCTGTTGCTGCGTCTGCGTCTGCGTCTCCGTTCAGCTTCGGATCTGCATTCGGTGCTGCACCGGCACCAGCACCAACAGCCTCATCCTCCCCCTTCGGCAACCCCAGGGCCAAACCCTTCTCCGCTGGTGCCCCAGCCCCTGCCCCCACCCCCACAAAACCTAAAACCCCCGACGAAATTCTCGAAATTCTAATCGCTTTGCAAACCTTCGAGGGATTCTGGGAATGGAGTGTGACCTTATTCTCCGCCCTTAGTATTAATCCTTCTTCCACCGAACAAAAGATGAAGGACTGGAGCTTGGGCTTGGAGAAGAGGGCTTTTGCAACTGCGCTCGCAATCGCGTATTTCGAAACCAAACTTGTAGCATTGCAGGGGAGTTGGGAGCTGGTTGTTGACAAGGCGAGGGGCTGGTTGGAGGATAATGGACATGGTGGCGATTTGATTGAGAAAGCGCGGGGGTTGTTGTAGGTGCAGGCTGGCTATGTTGAGGAAAGAGACTAAACTGGGTTTGGAATATTGAGAAGGGGGTATGGGTAGGAAGGAAGTGAAGGAAGGAAAGAGTGAATTATATTACGGATAGCTTTTTGGATGCTCAGCGCGTGGATAAGATATAGAGACAAAGAACACTGAAAGCTAGGTGACAGATGTTGAGTTTGGTTAGGATAAGTTTCCAATTATTGTTTTGCAACTATCTATATTCTGATTTGCCTTCATTATTAGGTAGTTAGATCAAAACTAACAGTAATCAAATCTTGCTAGATGTGGACAACTACTTCCAAAACATGCGTGACAGCTGAGCTAGTATTGCAAACATCAATTTCGCCCATTCCTTCGCATATAGTTTAGGAGGGACACGACATGACAAACAAATCTGAACAGCATGGATGGTCATAACAAACCGTAACTGTTTGGGCTGCAATGGAACGACAATAAATGCCCTTTCATGCACAACAGATCCTCACTTTGACATGATGGAAAGGAACTGGCCATCTAAAGATTTCATGCTTTCACACGCACACATGACAGATGTTTTCTGAGATTCACAACGCCAAACCTACCCGTAAAGAGAGGGCACATTCTGGCCCAGACACACACACACACATATCGTCGCCTTGATTTTCTACGTTTTGAAAAGAAGATGCACTAGTCTACCCCAAACGTTTCGGTGCCTCAACTCGACTCGAACTCGACTTGAACTCGGCTCGACCCGGGTGAGAACACATGCATAAAAGATTAGTTGTAGTCGAATAGGACGCTGATACTCTCTCCGTGGTGGACTCTTCTGATGGCCTAGAACGAGGGTTAGAACTCAAGGTTTAGAGTGAGGAGAAGAGAAAGGAGGAAAGGGGAGTGAGTATACCTCGGCGAACACATTCCCAACCTCCAGCACCTCCAACTTCGGGCACCTTTTCAAATGATCAGCTTGATCGACACTATTCGTCACAACCACCTTATCCAGGGCGCTCGCATTTATCCGATCAATAGCATCTCCACTCAGAATACCATGCGTCACCAGCGCATACACTTTGGTCGCGCGCTCTTTCTTCAGCAGCTTCGCAGCACGAGTGATGGTATTCGAGGTATCTGCCAGATCATCGATCAAGATGGCGGTTCGATCCGCGACATTGCCAACAAGCATCATAGTAGCATTCTGCCGATCAGAGATCTGCGTTGGGCGACGCTCCTATTACATGGATATTAGCTGGGGCATGCACCCCATGTTGACTGGTCATCTACAAACCTTGTGGATCAGCGCGAAAGGCATTCCGAGGGCGTCGGCAATTGCTGTGGCCCTCTTCGCTCCTCCGGCATCCGGACTCACGATGACCGCTTGCTGGTAGTTGGGGATGCTGTATTGGATGTACTTCCGGAGCAGGTGGCGGCCATAGAGGTTGTCGACGGGGATATCGAAGAAACCCTGGTATTGCGGGTCATGCAGATCCATAGTGATCACGTGGTCGGTTCCAGCACAAGTCAGGAGGTCTGCGACGAGAGTGCCAGCTTGGGCGACCCATTGCTTGTAGCCAGGCTGAGGCTGGAACTGGGGGGGCTTGGTGGTAGCTTTGGTTGTTCCGTTGACACCATTGACACCGTTAACTCCAGCTGGGTTCGAGGTCGGCGTAGTGTATCCGTTCCTGTCCGACTTGGTTGAGTCGAGGGTATCGCTACGACGAGGCCGGGTCCCATCAGGGTTGCTCTGCTTGGCCGGGCTGTTGGGAGTCGAGGCCCCGTTGCGTCGGTCGTCGGTCCGCAGACGATTGAGCTGGTTGTGAAGGCTGTCAGCGCCAACAGAGCTCAGGCCCATACTCTCCTGCTGGCCGGGATAGGGCGTCTGCGGGCGGCTGTCGAAGGTGTAGGTGCCGGCACGACTGAGCTGGCCACCTGGGCCCTTCGCCAGCGGGGCGCCAGCCTTGTTGTACGGGATATCGCTCTGGCGCGAGTACGGGAAGAGCGGAAGCACGGCGGTGATGCGCTTGGCTGAGGCTGTGCGGCACGCAGAGACGGTGATCAGAAGCTCCATCAGGTGGTCGTTGACTTTTCCGCCACCGGACTGGATGATAAAGACATCTTTGCCACGCACCGACTCCTGGACCTCGACTCGCGTCTCGCCAACGGCAAACTTGCTCAGCAGGCGCTTCGCCGGCGGAATGCCGAGGTGGTTGCAGATGGTCTCGGTGAGCTGCGGGTGGGAACTCCCTCCAAGCACGACGATATTGCGCACCATTTTGGCGGTTGCAGGTGCTGTGGCGGACGCACTCGAAGCTGCGGGTGCGGAATGCAGAGGACTGCAGGCGGGTTGTGGTGGCCGTTAAGCACACGGGGCCGTGGGCAGAGGCGTGGTGTCGCAGTTTTCACGTAGGTGGTGGCATGGTGGATGAATGATTGTGAGTCTGCGTCGGCGTGAAGTTTTCAACCAAGGCTCGTCTCGGCCTTCTTTCTTTTTTTTGCCGAGCCACGCGCAAATTAAGTTAAGCCACAAGCACGAAATACATGCATAATAACCGCCCTTGGTCATACGTAAGGCTCGCAGGCTTACTGCCTTGAGCATCTCGACTCCCTTCGTATCTGCCATCGAAGTCATGCAGCGCGATATGCACTGCGGTTGGCTGCTAATATTGGTGATCCATCGAGAGGGCGCTGTGAAAGCGCTGCTTGCTATCCTGCCGACGGCCAAGTCACGTGTCCTCAGCATCCGATCGCGGAAGCAGAGTGGAATGACATAGGCCCACATCAATGGATGGTTGCGCTAACACCTCAGGTCATCAAGCATCTGCTGGGGCTTGGGTATTGCTTCAAATGATTGCCATAATTATGTACAGAGACTTATACAGATACATGTCATTCCAGTTGCAAGCCTCCGACACATAACCGCCCAAGGTATCTCTGCCGAACGCCGTGAAGTTAGCCTGCAGGTTCCTCCGACCCGCGAGTCTCTATACTCATTCAATCGTAATCAAACATAGGAGATATTAGTTACTCAGTCGAGCTCTCATCTTTCGGTCTCTCGCACTTCTGCCTCCTCCCGTTCCAACCGGGGCTCCGATGCCGGTTCCATCGTGGCTACTGCGGCTTGGACTCAGTGGCCTGAGCACTCTTCGATCCACTGAAGCAACGCTCGAGGCTCTCGAAGGAGCCAGATGTGCCTTTCGTGGCGAAGCAAGACTGGGATAATGGTGGACGCTGCCGTCTAGCGATGGTCGCGCCGAAGTCGCCCTTGACGCTACCGGGGATAGTGGTCGAGGGCCGAGCGCAGAGGGTCTGTCTCCAAGCTCCAAGTCGACATTCCCGAAATCTTGGGCGGTTATCTGTGCATGAAGGAGTCCATTCTCGCTGTGCTGGCTATCATCCGAAATGGGTGCCGTAGCTTTGGGGTCTTTCGCAGCGCAAATAGATCCAATTAGGCTCATCGAATGGCTATCTTTACTACTTTGGTTGCTTCCATGGCTGTGAGGTTGTTTCTCTGCGCTGCCGCCGCCGCTTCCATGGCCACTGCGGCCGCGTTGCGTCCGCCTGCCGCCAGCAGTTCTGGATGAATGGTAGGTTGGAGGTGGTGGATGGTGTTCATCAAACGCACCCAAATTGAAGATTTTGCGTAGGAGGGTCCATGTGAAGGGTAAATTTGCCACAATGATCGCTGTCGAGGATTCACGGGCGTACCAGAAGATCCATGTTGGCTCATACGGTTTCGCGAAGGAGTAGTACTTGTTCAACACGGATGCTAGGATCTAGAACAAAGGTCAATGTGACAATGGACACGTTTATTAGATTTTACTTACAACGAAGACGCCTAAGCTGAAGATGCAGCAAAGGATTAGCTTTCGCTTAAGGGGGAGCAGACTGCGGATAAACATGGGAAGTGCGATGCAGAGCATGATAAGGTCGGACGAGATGTTGAAAACTGCGTTTGTGATGCGGTGGTCGATTAGGGCGTTGCATTGGGAACTCCCAGTCGGGACTGCCCAATACTGCCAGAAAGGTCTACACCAAGCAGCAAAGTACAAGATCTCCATGACCACGAATCCAAGAGCGACATAGGCGGAGAGCAGCTTGATGGCGACATTCTCTTTAGACGCAACCATTCTTGTAAGCCTATGATACAATATCAACAGGCAAGCTTTACAAGCCCAGATGACCGCAATCTGCATCTGCTCGACCACAATTACAATCTTGCTTCCATATTCACGGGCGGATATTTCCTCGGATGTGAGTGTGCTGACGTCGAATCCTGGAGGGAGCAGATTTGACTGCGATTTAGCTTCGATGTTGGCCATCACGATCAAGACTGTGTAACAACCCGTGACGAAAATGCCCATGATCCAGTCATCATATTGCAGGCGCATTAGTGATCCAAAGAGGAGACTTCTTGAGATGCTGCGGATACTTGTTAGTTCCGGTCCCGTTGTGTACGAACGTTGTCTGTACGACTGGGCTGTCTAACGTACAGTCTGATAAAGACAACAGACACGGCGAAGGTATACCAGATCCATGATTCGACGGCAAACTGCATGTTCGACTACGGCGAAGACACAGGAGTGCGGGCTACCACTTATAGCCTTATCGGTAAGGTATATTAGAGATTGTTGGCTGCTTGTTCAGGAGGTACATGTTGCGGGATATATTGCATCGTTATCGCACCATGGATGCACCCAGAGGTGCCGGATGGGTTGGTGATAGGAAACAGAGAAGGCACGAAGGAGGAGGATAAGAATGAGGGAAGAAGGAGAAGAGATGGAAGGCACAAGGGAGAAGGCAAGAGCGAAAAAGGCATCGCAGGGCTCCAGTTCCATTGGATTCGCGACTTAGTCCCCACTAGTCCGCTGCAGGGCTTATCTGAAGCATCAGAATCATCATAGCGGCATCGCAAACCCGCGTGGGGAGCTGAAGGGTCTCGCTATTCACTGACCTTTTATCGGACCAATGGAGACAAGTGAGCGCAGTTAGAGGCTTGCAGAATCCACGGACGTGGGACTTGGATCGCCAACCAGGTGCTTTTGACATCCGCCGCCGCTTCCCTTGGTCGCTTTGGGCCGAAATGTGGAGGTGCACAGTCCAAACTCTGATGAGACGAGTGCTTTGTGGGATCGAGGTCGCGTGGTGAGCCTCGGGCATTTAAAGCCCTCTTGGTACCCCCTAGCTTTCGAGTAATGGCGAGTGTAACAGGGCGTCCGCCGGTGAGGCTTCTGCTGTTCACATGGCTGTTTCTTCAAGGCAAAGTGGAGCGGTCAAGAAATGTGCTGGCGGTGAACAATGCTTCATGCATGGCGTTGGTGAGGAATGAGGGCCGCCCTGTCGTAGCCCAACTTTCCCGTGTCCAAAACGCCTGCCTAGGTGGAGGTGGAGGTACCGCAGTCGGAGTCTCCACTCCCGATCACGTGGAACTCCTACTCCCAATCGGCCTGTCGCTCCCTATCAGAGGATTCATCAGGCATCAGCTGAGGGCCACCACCAGCCTCCACAAGCCCATTCACACAACCATTCGTTCAATGCCTTTCAAGTGAACACCTGCTCATAGCGCTCAGATGGCCCTTGCTCCGGCAAAGCTCAGCCCCACCAGGGCCGAAAATATCAATCAACTGTGCTATCTCTGCAAGTCCATCAAGTTCCAGCTTCACTTCAAGGACGACTGTGCGAAGAAATTGTGTCCAATAAATCTGTGGTATTCACTCATTGTCCCTGAACCCATCACCGTTCATTCCGATGTCTTCCCCCATCATATCGATTTCTCCACCCTCCGTACATCTGCCGAAAGTGGGTGCCATCTATGTACCTTGTTCCTCTCAAGTTTGGCTCGCGAATCCTCACAGCCAAAACCTCATTTCAATGCCAGCCGTTTCCCGGGCTCCCAAATATCCCTTGTCTATGGAGCTACAATGACTGGTAAATCGGAGCTACTCCATGTGATATATCAAGATAAGAGCGCAGAGCTCGATATTGTTAGCATCCCTTTAACTCTCGCAGCCACCAAAGACCTGTTTACTCTTTTCGTAGCCGTCTCACACACTTCTCGGAAGTTTCCTTCTGCGCCCAGCCCACCAATCTTGGCTGGTTATCCTCTTTTGGAATACCAGCCGAACGATGTAAGATATGCCCTCCCTAAGAGCTCTCTTGTCTAACTAAGACTTTGCAGGAGTTCGAGATACTTCACGTTTGGAATCGCTCCAAACCTCTCTGGTTAGCCCGTCATTGCACTGATGCGGACAAACCTATCGGGTGGATCAAACCAAAGCATCATAGGACCCTCAAGGATCACCCCTCTCTCAAGAGTGAGGACCCCTTTGCTTTTGTTGAAACTCGCTCATGTATAGAAGTCACCAGACAACCCCCAGTGTGGGAGTTTTGTAGGATTGCAAGGCGAGAGCGGGCCTATCTTGATGTGATCCCAGATTCCGAAGGGATAGTCTCTCAAATCCAAGCCTGGGTTGGCGTATGTGAAAGTTCTCATCGGCCATGTTATCGCGAAGCGGAACCCAAATTGCCCCCAAGGGTCATTGACGTTGGAGCTTTCGGCCAATTCAAGGAACCTGTTCTGATCGAGACCAACGGCGAGCGTGGGAAGTACCTCGCTCTGAGTTATCGCTGGGGCAAGGCTAACACTTTATGCACAACAACCAACAAACTCGCAAAACACCTATCTGCTATTCCTCTCTCGAGCATGCCCCAAACAATGCAGGATGCGGTTATAGTAACCCGGAAGCTCGGCCATCGCTATCTTTGGATTGACGCCTTATGCATCCTGCAAGACTCGAACGAGGACTGGGAATATCATGCATCCCAGATGCACATAATTTTCGCAAATGCGTGGCTCGTCGTTTCCGCCGATGCTGCCGGGAGTTGCTCCAGTGGATTTCTGACACCAAGGAACACTTTAGAGGTGGCAAGCTGCGAGCATCCATCTCTATTTCTTGACTCGTCGGCGCGACCAAAGAAGGTGATATGTCCTCGAATACCGCATGCCCAAGACGCGATCAACCAGAGTGTTCTCAGCACTCGCGGGTGGATATTACAAGAGCGACTTCTTGCGAGGCGGATTATCCATTGGACTCAATATGAGGTTTCCTGGGCATGCAACGAGCTTGAAGCGTCGGAAAGACAACCTGCTGGTATCATTTCCTCTGCAGACGACCGTGAGCCTAGAGTTGTTGCAGACTGGCGCGATCTTCGACACACTGTACAACTCGCTTCCCCAACTCGACGCCACGCCGGAGCGAGTTTTCGATGCCCAAAAAACTCATTTTACAAGCTCGCCCATCTCATCCCAGAAGTTAATGTTGATGCTTGCTGGTATCAGCTGGTGGAAGAGTACAGCAGACGAATTCTCACCAGGCCCGAAGATAAACTACCAGCCATTTCTGGACTTGTAAGGTCTTTCCGCAAACAACTCCCATACCGCACTCGATACGTGGCAGGGATGTGGTCTCATGACCTTCCCCAAGCGCTTCTTTGGCGACGAGACTTAACCAGCTCCACCCAGAATTTCATCCATTCTTCCGAAGAGTACATTGCTCCTTCTTTCTCATGGGCGTCATGCCCAGCACCTGTCAAATATATGCCCCGGTATTCGAGCCGAAACAGTCGATTTCCCACCCAAGTCCTTGGTTTTCACACCACTCTCCGTGGTACTGATGAGCTGGGTATGATATCGAGTGGCTGGTTGAAACTCCGCGGACCCACCGTTTCTTTCTCCACTTTGCATGCGGGATGCCCTCAGCCTCCACTTGTGTCCGATCATCAAACTGGCTTGTTCCTCGACAGTCCATCCTCAATAGCGCTGCCAAGTTCTGACATCCTCGTTCTCTCGGTACGTAACGGGCGCGGGAGGTCAGGTTCCAGTAGCCCTTCACCGTTCGGTCGTTATGCTTGTATTCTGCTCGCCCCTGTCGGAGAAAAACGGCAGTATAAGCGAGTGGGCTACTACGAGCCGGAGCCATATCTATATCAGAGTAGCATGAAGCGGTGGCACGTCACAGTTCTCACGATTGTGTAAGAGCGATCGTCTAGACGGGCCTTTATAATGTGTAGACGACCCCAGGATCTCCATTTCTTGTAGAAACAGGTCGCCGCTTTGCATTCAGTCTCCATTCGAACGCAATTTAAAGACTGTCCAGACGAGATCGACTAGAGGACTTTTAAACAGATACAAAAGCATCCGCGACTCGCCATTTCCTATAAGTGAAACTTCCGGACGACCATCTTTCATCTGCTTACTTTAATCTTGCGTAAGTTAGGGTTAAAGAGAGACTGCCGGATGAAGATATGCAATCCCTGGACCCCTCGTTCTCTGAAACCTTGCCTGCTTCTACCACTGGATATACAACCTACTGCTCGACGAGAAATCAGCAGAGGGTCAATAGGGTGTCAAGGCAGATCAAGAAAGATGAACATAAAAAGGGCAGTTCGCAACTTCTCAATAAGCCCGGTCATCTATGATTTGGACCCTTCTCTAGCAGCTCAAATGGAGATACTGCGTATGTTCCTTCCACTCATCCCAATCAACTGCCTCAACAAATTAATTTTATAAAGCCGGCTCCGATAAGGAAGGCACCGCGATCTCTAGCAATCGCAGCGCTAAATGATCTCTCTCATTGACCGCGAGTTTTGGCTTATTTATTGTCAATTTACAGTGCTGCAGCGTGTACGTGGAACGCCTGCACGATTTAAGGGCAAAGGCTCTCGTCAGATACGATGCGAAAATAAGGTCGACAAAGAGGGCGAATTATCTGTGTTGCATTGGAAAATATGTAGAAAAGCAGTCTATGTATGCAACCCTGCTAGGGGGTGGTTTGTTTTTGGAGGGGGAAGGGTGGAGGGAATAGAAAAGCAAGAATTATTGTGGCGGATTTATGGTTTTCTTGTCCTTTTCTTTTTCTATTTCCTTTTTTTAGAGGGGGAGTAGTGACCTGTTGGGGTAGGTTAGGAGAATATACAAACTTGAGCATTTAAAGATCATTTGAGGTCGTTCTACCGCTATTTAGAGGGTAGCAGCCACGTGGTCAGTTATTTGAAGCCCAGGATGATGGACAGTTCCGCTATGCTCAAGAGGAGCGTCAAAGGTTTGTTAAGAAAGCAAAGCCCCCAAGCTAGGGAAGGCTATCGCACATTAGCAACACCGCACGCAACAGTTTGATCTACCGAGTTCTTTCTATTGCTATTAAGTCCTCATTTTCTAGCTTTAAAAGCCGATGTTGCACTAATATACAACTACATGATGGCGGTTAAATGGTCCTTCGTGTGCACACTTGCCCACTTTGGAATACGCACGTGAGGGTATAAGTGTTCCTTCCTCGCCTGTGATTCCCTCTCGCCCTTCATGCATTCAATCCCCACCACTAGCTCTCCTTCAGTTTCTTCATATCGCTCCCCTAGTGCCAGTCGACTAGACCTCCCTATAAACCACCACCCTCTTTTCCCTTCTCTAGATTCACCCAGTGAGAGGAATTTCCGAAGCTGCATGCTGAGAAATTTACCTCGCGTTGAGGTATCACCCAGCTCCTTCTATCAGATTAGATTAAATAAATAGAGAATCAACTCTATCCAAATAGAAATCCCATCCCCTCTCACGTCACAACCCCATCCCTCCCCACACCCTTCTTTCCTCCTTCTTGCCCAGGTGTAAACAACTCCGCACTCAGCACTAACACTGCTGGCACAACCGCCAGCGCATCAACCGTCCCGCTCCGCTTCCTCCCCACCGTCAAGCTCTTCATCATCGCCGCAGCCGGAGACTCACACGAACCCGGCCCCGCCTTTTCCGGGCTGGATGGCCGCCGCCGATGGAATGGCGATAGCGAGGAAAGCGTGTGCGCGCGGTGTCGAGATTTCGAGGCTGGGGTTGAGGAAGGGCGTTGAGGAATTGGTGGTAGCGGAATTCGGATTTCAGTGTAGAGAGGCTCTTCGTAGTGGATTGGTTCTGGAGCTGTGAGGAGTGAGGGGGAGGCGGATTCGGGGATTGTTTGGGATGGTGGGTGTTGGGATAGGGATGGTGTTTCTTGCGCCATGTGGGATGGATATGATATGGAGTTTGGTGGGTCGGGGGGTTTGAGAAGATGGACTTTGTTTGCTTGTTCGAAGGGTTGTGGTTTTGAGGGAAGAGGGAAGAAGTAAGCAGCGACCCCAAGTAAGGTCTCCGGCTTCCTTCAATGCTGCCAGCCGCAAAAGGACCTGGCTTTCTAACTGTTTCAGAAATGATGCTGCTAATGAATCTTATCGCAACAATACACCCTTCTCTTCAGGTGTCGTGATACTCTAGATCTTGAAACTACAAAGCCGACCAGGAATACAAAATTTATGGTCATTGATGGTCGCGCGCGCATCCCCCGGCAGATAAATACCCTTCCTCAAACGCGTGCCTAATTCCCTAATGTGTCCAGCTGATCATCATCAAAGCCTCATTTCTCACTCCGCCCAGGCTGGCTTATTGACTGCGCGTCCCAATGCGCCGCACATCATGTTTGCGGCTGACGTGTGAGCCGTGCTGACAGGCCGCCGGGTTTGAGGCGGTGAGGCGCAGCACTGCGAATGCGTCACCAGGTTGTACAGCACGAATATCTGTAAGGGGGAGTGCGAGAGTATGGAGGAAAGCAAAGGGAGGATGAGTCAGGGCTCGTTAGTTGGTGATGCGTGGGTCTCCGGATGATGGGCCGAGTGGGGATCGGTCACGTGCAGTTTCCAACATTTCTTGGCGTGTGGTAGGTGAGGTGGTTAGCGAGGCGGTGGTGTCTGGCAAGGGGTCTAGCGTGAATTTATGGTTCTGAAGAGATAGCTATAGGATCTTCAATGGGCTGGGAATATCCGTGCTAAGCTAATTAAAAGTGTTGCGGGATGATGAAGGGATATCGATGCTATGTTCTGTATAAGGGCACGGAGGGAGCTACATATGAATTGCCACTGACACTGCGATAATTCTTACTACGTCCTTTCTTTGCAACAGTATGATTAACTCCCAGTCATCTCTCTCATATCCCACTATAACCTACCCCACAACTCCCAAAGCTCTCACTCCGCAAAACAACGCCTATCTTCATACCCCCCATGCCCAAGCCTGCCCCAGGCCCGTCGCCATTATACCAGAAATACATCCTCCCTCCAAGAACCCCATCCAATCCTTCTCAAATCCGGCCCCAAGCTTCGTCTTCAAACCAACCAGCTCAGCTTCACACTTCTTGATTAGCTCTGGAATAGATATTCCCCGACCCTAAACAGTGAATCAAGCTCCCACACATTATTAGCAGCATAACCATGGCCCCCATAGGCGCTCCCACCAGCGTCATCATCGAAGTTAATTCTACCGACTTTCTTGAACTAGATCGAGAAGTCTGGACGCTAAGCCTTGTGGCGCAGAAGAGAGAGGGGTATTAAGAACTTTAAACTAGCCTAAGTGACTTCAGTGTCTGCATTTGATTGTGAGCTTCCCGATATTGATTTTAGATGTTGGAGTAAATGAAAGTGGCCATGTACGATTCGAGGCCGCTGAATTAAATTGTGTGGTTGAATTTGCTGATACAGACGGGCTGGAGTTCGGGGGGTGTCCTAGGAAGGCCGTATCCTGAAGGGGCGTAGAAGTGTGTCTACGGAATGATGCTGCGCTCGTCTAATACCGCAATAGTATAGATGCAAGTTGCGAAGCTCAGTTTTATGCTAGTGAAAGGTACGATTCAAGTTATTCAGCTATGGCCAATAAACCGCAGTAACCTCATGCTGCTTTCCAGTAGCTCAGCCTGTGTCAAGTTGAGGGGTTGCGGAATCCGAGTGCAGTGTCGAGTCGAGGACAATGCTTCTTGCTGACCTGCTCATGGGAAGCAAATATATGTAGCTCCAGGGAGAGCAAGTAAGGGAAGCCACCTATTTTCTAACCTCCTACAACTTTAGAGATTATGCCTTTTTCATTCTAAGATCGCGTGCGCCTCAGGCCTTGCGGCTTCTTAGTAGTGCGAAGGTAATCCAGTCTAGCTTTGATTGAGGGGGGGACAAAACAAGGGTCGCGAGAGTAGTAGAGCCTCGGAGCCATGCCAAAATCTACGTTAAAACCGAGACGAATAATGGAATTCAGGAAGTAGAAGTTGAGGACGAAATCAGGATATGTAGAAAGGGATTGGTTTAAGTTCAAGCGGATATATGTTAGCAATGCGCTAAGTGACTTATTGCCCTAATACCATAGTGTAAGGGGCTTCTGAAGTGATATACTGTTGGGCTAACAATACTATGCAAGCAGTTTTATGGCTTAAATCTTTTTGTGACGGTTTGTCAGATCGCTCAAGTTGCCTTAAACATACAAGCTGTACTATCTGATACATCAAATACCTCACAATCCTTCAAACCATAGATCAAGGAAGAGCCGCAAGCACTACAGTTCGGATGAAAACAATTGAACCCCCACTATCCAAAGTTTTTGTGTGAAGTAAACGTGTAATCGTCCAATCCTAGTGTGGCCATGTCGCCAGCCCATGGGCCATATCCTATTCACTGCTTCAACCCAGGTTCGATATTGGTGGCACGTTCCAATTGCCTGCTAATAAACAGTCAATGACATAATATTGTATCACTTACATGATAAGTGGTCAATGCACCACCTATTCGCCAATCTCTTTGAGTTTACGATAACTCTAGCTTCTTGTTTCTCCTTTAAATAAAGCGTCACGAACCAAAAGTGATCCTATTTGCCACAGGTTTCCTTCATACATCTTTCCGATATTTCGATGCCCCGGAAGTTCAGAAGAGTGAAGCCATCCTGTCCGAGCGTCTCTTTCACCTGCTGTCCCGGCTGGGCCCCAAGAATGATCTCTTTCCAATATGGTATTTCCTCTTCGCGCATGAAGCCGTGGTCGATGCAAGTCTCAGCCATCAACGGTCATGGCAGGTATCTTTGTGTGAAGATGATCTACGAGATTTCCAAGAAATAGACAGATGAAGGCAAATTGGCATTCAATACAACAAGGTGTCGCATATAATTATCCGCCTATATATATCCTTCTGCTGTGCTAGTTGGGAGGTTGACCTTTTGGCGACGCAACACAAGGGACAAGATCGCGCAAAATGAAGCCTAGTCAAAGAAACGCATATGAACGTTAGAGGTGATGAGATATGGAAGGAGAGGAACCATTAGATGAAAGGTTTGGGGTAAAATTTTGGCGTCTCACTGAGCCGTACAGTACACCTGCAGGCATGGTGTTTAATAAAACGTAGTACTGTTCCTACTGTTACTGATAGTAACAATCTCTTGGCAGTTAGAACGAAAGTGAATTGCCTTCCGTTACTGTACGGTTAATGAGGCTACAGTTACTGCAGTAACTGCCTATACTAATTAATTTCTTAGTGCTTTGTTAACGCGTTCGCGGAGGACGTTTTTACGTGTAGTAGTACAAGGGCTAAACGCGCACTAATACACCAGATTTCGTACTTTTTTAACTATCCTATCCATCGTCAGTACAGAGAAGTAACTCCTTGATTTACCTACTTCTCGCTTCCAATATCGCTTCTATTGTCACCATGAGTATGCTAAACTCCACGTAGCACTTGAAGCTTGTAGCAACAGTTTAACACTTTGCAAGCTCTTGTCACCTTAAGAAGTTAAGAGCTGCCTCTAGGAGCTCTTAGAGCTCTATATTTAAGGCTTTATCTACTAGTGTTTTTATTCTTACAAGTTTCCTAAGAACTCTCGCCTTAACAACACCCTAAATTTTAACATTGAGTGGGACAATATCTAGACTAGAGGTTGCCAGCAGAAACATGGGGGCCTTAGATATTGTGTGAAGAGCTTAATTGCAGCTATTGCCTTCCATAATCTTAGAGTTAAACAATCTCCGCGACTATATTAGCAAGATTGTAAATACTAGTTACTGCAGTAACTGCACTAAACAGTAACTTTACTATTAATTAACTTAGCAGTAACTATTACTGCCTGTAAGGCTGTTTTAATTTACTCTTTCTGTAAGAACAAAACCCTACTGCCTCCAGTAACGCCTCAGAAATACTACTGACAGTAACGGCTATGTTCTATTGAACACCATACCTGCAGGTGAGCTCATCCGCACCGCGAAAACAGCAACGCTAGACAATGACTACGACGGTTACATTCCAAGGAAAGAGAAGAAACGTGCGGAAAGAGAAGGAGACGCAGTATACTCGGTATCTTAATTCTACTTCGTGCAGGTATCTTGAAAATATGCCTTTAACTGGTAACAACGGTGCCAAAGTTTGAAAACGCAACGAAGGCAGATTCCTTTCAAGAGACCATTACACTTGATATATTATCCTACAAAGAAACCCATCCGCCAACCCTATCCCAAACCGCCATCACATTTATTTATTTAAACTGATCCTCCGTAACACCCTTACCCATCGCTGCGGTCGAGCTCACGCCACCTTGCACCATCTTCAACATATTGTCAACATAGTTAGCTCCACTCCACTTCTGGTGCGTCAACACATCAACCTTATTCTCGGCCTCCGGCTCTTGGATAATCTCGCCATAAGCCCGCATGCCCTGCTGTGCATATGCCTTGGAGAAAGTGTCAGCCATCAACGCAGTTTGGTGTAGACCAGCTAGCGTGATGAATTGCCAGCAGTAGCCGAGAGCGCCGAGACGCTTAATGTAGGTTTCTTGCTCGTTGCGCGGCATTGCTGTCTTCCAGTTGAAGGAAGGGGAGAGATTGTATGCAAGCCTGGAAGTCTGTTAGCCTTGCCATGGAACAATGTGAGCGATCGGTTGGTGGAGTCCGTACTTCTGCTCTGGCCAAACGGCATGCACACCCTCTGCAAACTCCTTCGCCTGTGAATAATCTGGAAGCTTCGACTCCATCCAGATCATATCCGCATATGGAGCGTACGCGACAGCACGGTTGATAGCGCATTGGCAGCCTCCTTGGTATCTGTAGTAACCCTCTCGTGTCCGGGCAGCCTCCCAATTAAAGAACACGTCAACACCTGTCAAGCCTTTCGCAATGGCTCGCGCCTCAGCATTGCTCTTACCCTTGCTTTGGCTTAAGAATTCTTCAATCAAACCTTGTTTGTTGACGTGAACGCTGGCTTTGATGGTGTCAATGACGGCTTCGTGGAAAAGTTTAAGGTTGGCCTCCCTTGTCCAAGCATCTTCTATTGCTTGAAGCTCGGAACCGTTCTTGCCAGCTTGCTCGGCAGCGTACATAAGTTCGGAGAGGGGTTGGAGCGCAGGGTTTGTAGATCCTATAATGTAGTAATGGTCACGAGGGTCTATAGTGGAAGTGATGAGGGTGGCGGCCTCGGAGTCGGTACGAGCAACAGCCAGGAGATCAGTTCCTGTTATTATAATTAGTTCTCATCGCCTGATTTGCATAATATTGTGGAGAAAGGACTTACCCATGATGTCTGCTTGGGCCCGAATAGCGACCAGCCGATTGATATGCTCGCTGATCGGCACCAGCACCTTTCCAGCCATGTGTCCACACTTCTTGGTTCCCGGTGCTTGGTCCTCGATGTGAATGCCTGCCGCACCCTTCTCGATAAACAGCTTCGTAAGCTTCATAATAGCAGTCAGACCTCCGTGTCCGGTATCTGCGTCAGCGACTATGGGTCGTAGGAAATCAGTATTTGCAAGCCCGCCCCGATTCGCTTTCGGTGTTGAAAGACGCTCTTCGCGTTGCTTGCGATCATGGAACAGCTGCGCCATGAAGAGGTGTTGGACTTTGTTCGGAACAGTAGTCTGGGAACGGTCAAAAGCGGCTACAGCTGAGGCATGAGGAGCTTACCATTGGGTAGTCTGCAAGATCTGGTCCAGGTTCATCGGTCGACGAAGCAGTGGATGAGCATTGCCAGCCAGAAATATATACTGTGTCTAAATACTTAGCCATCTGGGTGACCATGACGGGATCAAGACAGCCATAAGTAAAGCTTGCTTCTCGGTTCTATATTCATCAGTCTCTCACTCAAGATCAAGACATTAGATTGCCATACTTTGAATTTCCCCTCCACAATTCCCCAAAGCTTCTTCGACATCTGATTGCCGGGGTATGTAATTTTCAAATTTCCCCTCTTGGCTACAATTTGCTCTGCCGTGAAAGGTCTGCGTGTGTGTCGCCATCGGGAATCATTCCACCACTGCTTCACAGCTTCTACCTCTTGCAAGTACTGCTGGTCCTCGGCCTCTAGGTTTGCCATGGTGGGTATCTATGTGCACTGGAATGTGGCCTCTAAGAGGAATGGGAGTAAATAAACTTTCTCAACTGCTTACGGAGAAAGGTTTAGGAAAAAAGTTTAAGAAAGAGGGGAATATTTCAGAAAATGACAGCGTGATGACAAGCAACCCAGAGCCTCGGAGTCAATCAAGTCACATTTCAGAAAAAAACAGGCAGGGCAGCCAAGCTCTTAAGTATAATCTAGCCCTAGTCCCAATGCTAGAAACAAGCCAGTCTACATTCCAGTCCTAGTCGGGAACGTCCGGGTGAACGCAAGCTTCTCGACCATTTAGGCCGACTATCGCACCGAGAGCCAACCGCCATCGTGAATCAGCAGGCGCAGCTGAGGGTTTTGTGCAATTGCCCCTCGGCCCAAAGGGAAGTGGACGAGAAGCTCTGGAGGCGCCGATCCGGGAGAGGAGGGGAGCGGAACCGGCGACGGAATGACGTTTGCCAATAACGGCTTGTAGATTTCAGCTTCAAATTTTTTTTTTTCCAGCTCTTTCTACTTTCTTTCTGGGTTTCCCAAGACAAGGTGGAATGGGGGGTTGATGGCGATTCATGTGGCACGCGACCTACGCTTCACATGCCTAGACATTGCTTTCATCGCTTCTTCGCTCCCCTCAGATCCAAACATGTGCAACATGTGAAGATGCACATCCTTGAGCCCCACTGGGGAGTGAACGCTAGGTTGCTTCGGGATGGCGGTTAACCTCGGCTATCTTGTTGCCAAACGTCTAGAACAGGATTGGACCCGTAACAATATTACGATCATATTCTGCACTTGTTATGCATCAGGGCGGGACACATGAAAACGGGGCGGCTTGTCTTTTCGGGCATCAGACATGGACAGCCGAGAGGAGTCATCGCTCAGACCATCAGTTAATGTCTCAGAAGATTGGAGTGGGGAAGAGGTCCTCGAAGGTAAATAATAGGAAGTATTCGTGTCTAGGACCTCAAGTGAACATAACAACATTTTGTTTCCCCGTTGCTATCCTTTCGCCAATCCATAGAGATTGCATGAACAAACCCATAACCCCAGGCCAAAGAGCCACCATCTCCCCGTGTTTGCCCCTATGAGCTCCGCTATACATGTCCCTTCAACCAACTTCAGTCTTCTATTGAAGCCGTTTGCCTGGGCTTCCAAAGCCCAGGTAGTCAGCATCCTAGCTCCAATATAACACAGCAGGGTCCTTAGAAGGAAATCTACCCCATTCACAACCTCTACAAATCCGAAAGCCAATCGCTGTGCCAAGAATACCTGCATTACCGTTCTCCGATATATGCCCGAGTCTAGCCGTCCGTGAGGCCCTCGCTGGAATAGGTCCAAGTCCGAAAATGGAAGCGACGGTTTGTTGCTGATTTCGAAGGAGGGTGGTTTTGGTTTTGTGGGGTATGCTGATTCTGCAGGCGGACATCTTAATTTCCTCAACAGCATCCATCGTAGTTCATTCAGATAAGACATCTGCCTACCCAATGATTCAGGTTCGCTGGTAGGAGTGTTTCGGTTCGGTAGCAAGAGGTGGAGTAACTCTGGGTTTGAGATCCAAATTGTGCGGTTCTTCTCATCTGTGAAGAGATACTCGCGATCGAACGCTTCAGAGGTGTGAGCATAGTGGACGAATCGTGAATAAAAGATCGGGGTCAGGACACGAAGTTCGATACGTTTCAAAGGTATATCGCGGCCTGGTGTGCACATCGTGGCGATCTCCTCTTTTGGGTGGCTGGGGATGGACGTGTGATAAGTAACGTGAAGAGGCTCGACAGCGTTCCACACAAGTTGCTTGAGATAATTTTCAAATATTTCCTGAAGAACCCTGAGACTTGTCAGTTGTAGTACATAACGGGGGCGGGTATCAACAACACACATTTCGGTTGACGTTGGAATGCGGCTAATGCTGGAAGTTAGCACCTCTGGTCGGTACCACACGTTCAACTGACGGCGAAAGTAAAGCGTCTTAGCCTCCTTCAAAATGCGCGGAAAGGTCGAGAGCCCAACCCACCACCACCCAAGCGCAAACTTCGTGATTCCAAAGATACCAAGGGTAGCAGGGTCCAAAGGTTGGTGGGTGGAATAAACTCGCGCGACAATCTTGGCATGGGCCTTTGAAGATTTCTGGGTAATAGTATTATCTATTATAGGACTCGTGAAGACATCAGCTGGGAAGGGGTTGAGGGCCTTGAGAGAATATGAGCCCTTGCGAGAGTTGAAGGGCGACACATGGAAATCCTTCAACCAGACATCCGTAAATTGCAACTTCCCGACATCTGACTCCAATGCTCCAGAACCGGAAACCAGCGAAGTGGCTGGACTGGTGCCATCTAGTACGTATACTCGCCGCTCGCCGAAGGTATTGTTGACCTCGAGAATCATTTTGTTGAGTTGATCCGACTGGTCGTAGATATACCAGAAGGAGACTGGGTTGAATGAGTATCCGAGGAAGCGCGGAGCTGTGACGAGGTAGGCATATGACCATTCGCAATCCGTGACACCCTAAGCCAGTTAGCAAATTGGTGTTTGGGTTGGGGCTTCGTTTAGAATAATATGCGGAAAAATTGGTTTGATTTAGGAAAGCGTGGTGACAAACCTTTTCTTTCAATAGCATCTTCAACTTCCCATAGAAACCCATTTCTCCATAACCTCGGACAAGGTAGTCGTCCGCCTTCACCTGCAACCACCAACTTCCTCGAATCCTATCGCTCTGAGAGCCAGCATCAAAACCATCTCTCTTAGTCTTAGGCGGAATAACCGGCATTCCATAGAGAAGATACGAGTACGTGAATGCGTGCCGCTTAGGAAATGTACGAGCGTGAGTCGTTTGACAAGGAAATAGGAGCGGCTTCAGGTGTGGGGGAGGTATAGACTGAATGCTGTCTTCGCGTGATTCTTCATCGAGCTTCCCAGAGTCCGCTTTTCCACGATAACAAAACCTCGAAACTGCCTCGACCGCAAAAAGAAGTGCAGAGCAGAGAAGAGAGGATCGCAACACTCTCTTCGCAAGCGGACCCCATGAATCTAGCTCTTCCCATTTGACCCAGAGCAATTCCACCAACTCTCTCCTTAGCAGAACTACCCCAACCACCCCGAAAACGAAGGAATCTTGACCAATTTTGCGATCACAGTAGTACCACCGCAAGCCACTTAAGATCGTCCAACAACCGAGAAATGGCCACGACGCATCCACAAGACATAGGAATCCTGGTAATATAGCAAAAAGGCAGCAAGCAGGTGTCACGAACAAGCTATAATTATCTTGGGTCATAATGCTCCTGAGATGAAGCTGGATATTGAATGGAGATAGATAGATATCTGTCAAAGAAATTGAGGTTGCACGTTGAGCTAATTTCGCGCTAAACCCTTTGAGTGAAATCTGTCATGCGGGAACCTTTGAAAGCCGGATAGAACAAAACAGAGGCTGTACTACCACGATTCGCACATTTACAGGCAAGTCGAGGCGGCATTTGATTATCTAGGAAGAAAGAAACGATCCTGTAGTTACGTTCGCCCAGAACCTTGAATATTTGTAACTGCAGACTGCAGTTGTACTCATGGACGCATCTGCTCTCAAGCGCGCGATAAGATATAAAAGTAGCGAATTAGACTTTTCGAATATGATTTGCCACGATAGATCAGCCATCAATCAAAGCCCTTGGGGGGATCTACCTAGCTTGATGGCCGACAGAACGAGAAGGGCATGCCCACCTTTTGGAAAATGCCGCTGAAACTTCAAAAAGCCCCCACTGGTCACCCTCTTTCCACACTCCACTCTGAGACACTCACCCGGCTTCCGCTGTTCAAGTCCACCTCGTCTTATTCCTTATGTGTTGGATGACGTCGTTAGTAATGTGTTCGAGGCAGAAAGCTGAAGGGGGTTCCAATTCAACCCCATTCACATTCTCGCACGAGACGGGACAAGACGGAGGCCGAATATTAAACTTACCGGCTCGGCCGGCTTACATGTATTTAAACAGCGGGGGGCTAATACCTTACTAATCTTCTCATCCGGGCGGGGCAAGCTAGTTTAAAATTGATTTGCCAAACCTGCACCATGGGATCAGCGTGTCAGATCCCAGACGTTGTGCCGCAAGCATGGGATTCGGATTATGGATTTGAATGATCGTCGGAGGATTGGGCGAAAAGGGCGCAAAGGCATGGGTGAGACGTATGGGATGGGGCAGGGATTCCTGTACCTTATTTGGTGTGGTGTTAGACAGGCGCTCACCCGGTAAATATGGAAGTTGAGTTGTGGGGTGAGAAGTGTAGATACAGGTCGAGGCATATGCTTTGTTATTTTTGTGGCCCTGGGGCCAAGGAGAACTACTCTGGTCTGAGAATTGGAACAACTTCTTGTTTGGAAGCTTCAATTCACACTATGGAACAGTGGTCTCACTTGTTAGCTACCAACGTACGCTCCTACCAGTTTACATGCGTTCCCCATTTCCTCTCCAGACAACAAAGTTACCATAGGGGTTCTAGTGCAGTCAAAGTTTCCCAAATGGTAGCTTCCCAAGCTCCTTCCCTCCATCCAGCTCGATCGAGTCAAGGGTGAAGAAGTAGTTCTGTACAATCTGGAAAGGGTGTTACAAGGGACATATGGCGGTACGCCTAGGTGGATATTCGTTGTACACAAAGTCGCAGGTTTGAAAACTGGAGTAGGCGCTTTCTCTATTACAGAGGTCGCATTGCGGGGGAAATATTGTATGGCACGAAGGCGGAGGCTGGAGAATTTGGACGTAGAAACTTGGTGATGGTTGCGCGATGGTGGAGATCAATGTGCCGTCAGTAAGGGAGATGTGTTTTTTCTGCGGGTGACTTCGTAAGCGCATACCAAGATTTATCATTGCGATATATCGGGCTGTTTCTTGAGCTTGGGCACAGCTGCAGTTCAACGTGTTGCTATCTGCGGGATTGCAGTCTTTGCAGGATGCAAGGCAATTTCTGCTGAAAAGTGCGATTAGCTTTGTTGGTCTGTCGTCGGTGGAAGACACGATTCACTTGACCCTCCACCGTGGTTTCATAAACCTATCACCCCTGTCATTTCAATACAAGCTTGAATCACACAATCTGAGATGTACTGTACGCTTCGCATCGTGATTCTCAATCTTGATATTGAAGAAGATCCTATGTTTTCGGTGTTTGAGCAATCCGGTCTAATCCAACCCAGTGGATAGTGCTGGATGTTACAACGTATACTGATAGTCATGAAATATGCATAGCATGTCTATGCTTCTTATAAAGAGAGCTCTGCACCAAGGAAAAGACTGCAGGATGAAGGTTTAATTTTATCTCAGGTAATTAGCCCATCATGCATGCTAGTGGCTTGCTATGCTGTCTCGATAGTATGTGGGCGGCTCCCACTGGATGTTGTCAGGGAGGAGTTGGACCGTTCAGCCACTTGCCAGAATTAGAAACGATGTCAAGAGGATAAGGATTTCTATCATGAATCAGATCCCTACTATGTTTCGATCAATTCTACGTATACGCCAAACTTAGTTTCTGATAAATAAAAAACAATCACGGATGCGATATCAAGAGTCTATTCCAAAAGCTCCACCGGAATATGAAACTCCTTCGTTATCCTCGTCATGTTGTTGACTAGGTCGTTCACGTCTACAGAGGTCGAAGCGGCACTTCCACTCGGGGTGCCCATGCCGGTGCTAAAACCGCTCGGGTTCTCCATCTTTGGGGGAGTGGTATCGATCTGGATCGTGACCTGTGACAAGGCAGTCAGTCAAACAAGTTCGGTGGTGGGGGTAAAATGACAGCGAGAGATGATCGAGGCTGTACCTCTCCGTCTAGACATGTGTAGTCGATACCTACCGGCCCATCGTTCACCAACGCTACGTCCATCATAGCTGCAAATATGCCGTCTTTGACCTTGTCCGGCTCGTAGAGGTCTTGCACCTTCTTGAAGAAGGCCTGGTAGAGGGTCTTGGCTTTGAGGCCACTTGCAGACTGGTGGAAGTCGGGCTTGTTGCCCTTTTTCATCGAGGCCAGGAGGGTAAACTGGGAGACACAAAGCAGCTCGCCGCCGGTGTCAGCGACGCCCTTTTTCCACTGGTGGGAGTCAGTCATGGTGCATCGTGGCTGGGAGCTCTGCAGACGTACGCGGCCAGGGGGGTCCGTCTCTTCGTCGTCCCATAGCTTGGCCTTCAGGATCTTCCCCGCCATGGACTCAACGTCCTTCTCCGTGTCGTCCTTGGAGATTGCGGCAAGCACCAGCAGGCCCTTGCCGATTTTAGAGACGAGCTCGCCATCGACCGTGACCGAGGCCGACTTGACGCGTTGTAGGACAGCTGCGACGAGGTGAGACGTGGTTCTGCAGTGAATTGGGCGCGCGGCTTACTTCTCATGATTTATGGCGGGCCAGCATTGTCACCGTCGCGTCCAGGTGAGGGTTCGCTGGTTGTGTGGTGAGGCGGGGTGCCCGTGAAAGGCAGACATCGCGATCGACAGCGCTAGGCCCAATGCGCAAGGCGCGATACGGCATGCCCTTCCACCTCCGTGTTCTTCCAACAAATCACTAACACCACCCAACCCGCCTGCCACCTTCCCGAACGCGTCCTCTCCTCTTACCTGAGCCTCTTGATTCACCCTCGCGTGATTTGACCCCCGGACTAGCTCACCACACCGCCCTCGCGCACGAGGCTACATCGTCACAATGGCAGCACGGAAGCTCCAGCAGGAGATCGACAAATGCTTCAAGAAGGTTGCCGAGGGCGTCGGCGCCTTCGAGGGAATATACGAGAAAATCAATCAGACTACAAACCCGTCGCAGAAGGAGAGACTGGAGGATGCTCTGAAAAAGGAGATCAAGAAGCTCCAGCGGTCGCGAGACCAGATCAAGACATGGGCGACAATGAACGACATCAAGGACAAGAAACCTCTATTAGATCAGCGGAAGCTGATTGAGACAGTACAGCATCCCGCGCCCTATGCTTTGATGCCACAGCTGACGAGTCGCAGCAAATGGAGAAGTTCAAGGTGGTGGAGAAGGAGATGAAGACTAAGGCATATTCGAAAGAAGGCCTATCATTAGCCGCGAAGCTGGACCCGAAAGAGAAGGAGAAACAGGATACAATGCAATTCCTCTCCGATATGGTCGATGAGCTGGAGCGCCAGGTCGAGACCATCGAGGCTGAAGTGGAAACACTACAGGTTGGCATGAAGAAGGGGAAGAAGGACACCTCTAGGGCAGAGCGGATAGGAGAGATGGAAGAGGTGGTAGAGCGCCATAAGTGGCATCAGAACAAGCTGGAACTGCTGCAACGAGCGCTGGACAATGGCTCTGTTGAGGTGGAGCAGGTCAAGGACCTTGAGGAGAGCATCCGATACTATGTCGAGAGCAATCAAGAGGCTGATTTCATGGAGGATGACACAATATACGACGACCTCAACCTTCAAGAGGAAGAGAACCTCTACGGAATGGGACAGGACGTTGACCGCGTGTCTTCCCAGGACACACAATCGATACAGGACGATTCGGCGGAAGCTGAAGGTCGTTCGGGCAGTCTGGGCAGTTTGAATGTGAAGGCAAAAGCCATTGATGCAGCAGTATCGGGCGCACGAAGACCATCGACTCAGCTCAAATCACCACTACCTGCGCTAGCAACCCTACATTCGCCATTACCTGGTGTGTCAAGCTCGTCCACAACCACCATGAAACCGGCCCCCTTACCAACGAGAACCCCGGGAGAACCTTTAAAGTACGCCTCGGCAGCCGCGGCCGCAGCTGCTAGCGACAAGAATGGCGTAGGCATAGCACCTCTGCCACCACCACCCGGTGCGACAGCGGCACAGACTGGCCTGGCACCAGTAGGCGCACGGACAAGTGCGACAACCTCACCAGCCTCTTCGCATCCCCAGCCGGCACAGCGGCCGACCGCTTCGAGTGCCGACAGCGTCTCAGCTGTCCAAACGTCAAAGTCCCCGGCGATAAGTGCAAGTATACCTGTAACACCAGCAGCCGATAAAGCGACACTGTCACGTGCACCTTCCTCTGAAGACCCAAATAGATTAAGTAGGAAGCCTTCCGCCCCCGAAAAGGTAGAGGAAGAGGAGTCGCAATCAGCCACCCCGCCTCTGACTAATGGGGAGTCTCATGTGGATGAAGAAGAGGAGGAATCGGTGTATCACCTTCCCTCAAGTTTGCAGGATCTGCTAGACTCATTCGAAGCAACGAAGAACGACATCACTGCCTCTTCAACCAAGCCGCCAGATGAGCGCATGCTCGCCGCATCCATGGCCGCCGCTCCAGACGCCGCAGATACGGAAGCTCCACGCCATTATCGTCCACAAAATCCTTACCCTTACACCCCATCACACTACCCCCAAGAACCCCTGGCCATATTCGATGATCCAAGATTGTACTCTCGCATCGAGACAGATGCACTGTTCTATGCATTCTACTACCGACAGGGGACATACCAGCAGTTCTTGGCTGCCAAAGCGCTTAAGTCGCAGAGCTGGAGGTTCCACAAGCAGTATCAGACTTGGTTCCAGCGTCACGAGGAGCCAAAGGCGATCACCGAAGATTATGAGCAGGGAACGTACAGGTTCTTTGACTATGAGAGCACGTGGTAAGCACCCAATTCCCTCTGGATCGGCGGTGAATGGTCGGGCCCGGACCATGTCAGCCCATGCCACTCCAGATTTTTCATCCGTATTACTTCGCCTTTTAAAGGGGCCTATTCTAACATTCAGCAGGATGAATCGAAGGAAAGCGGACTTCCGATTCGCGTACAAGTTCTTGGAAGACGAGTTATGAAACAGACAGCTACGTCCCACCCGATAACAATGTCTGGTTGTCCTTAATAGCAGGCTGTCTGTATGAAGTATTAGGTAGACATTCTATGAATGCCTCCTTCGGGTAGTTGTATGGTGCCATTGTCGGTCCCTTCGCCGTGAACCAATCCTGCTCCTTGATTGAACGCTTCGTCCATGTGCGGACGCTTCACTTTCCGTGCTGTCAGATCTCAAGTAAGAGAACGCCCGTCCATCAGCTGGGAATCTAGCAGGGTTCATACATCTGAAATGCAGTCCTAAGTTCTCCGCGTACTGCACACTGGGAGCCTCATCTCAGCTCATAAAGCTAATATCCTGCACAGCGAGCTGCTATTGGTCATAGCGAGTTGGATCTTTATTAGCCCCCAAAACCGAGGCTGAGGATGCATTTGTGGCACTGGCCCTCTTGCCGAAGCTGGTACGCCACAGCACCACTTCACAGTTGAGACCTAACGTTCAAATCGTCCACTCGCGGCTGTAAATTCACGCTTCGAACCCACAACTGAGGGCGCCTTGCCTTAGTCGATCATTCTCGAATAGTTAACTCAACCCACAGAGTTGCAGCATGCCCACCCGCTAGCTGAGGCAAACGGGGCGTATGATGACTCCACATTGAATCCGTCAATGACCGTCCGACACGAGCCCATTTCACCGCAAGGAAATGCTCAATTTGTTCCATGAAGCTTCCAAGAACCCCTCAGGAACCCATACAACCCCTGCCATAGCTCAGGCCTTGTTATATCTTTCCATCACCCTTGACGGTAACTCTGCAAATTTCAACTCTGACTACGCCCGCCGGTCTGCGCGAGCGGCGGCAACCCCATAATTATCTTCGCCGTGCTGTCCTTGATCGCGGGCCGTCGCGCTCCGCCGTAGGGCACGAACGGCTCGAATATGCGGAGCCTAGTAGCCGTTCGTCACTATTACACCTTGCTAGTAAATGCAACACGAGGACAAAATCAATCACGACCCTGCTATCTCTAATCGAAATTAAGAGAAATTAGTTACCGAGCGTACGAATCCCATTTCGAGCACACTTCTCAAAGCTTTGAATCCTTTGGCGGCGTTCTAACCTACCTTCAAGGTATCTATGCACAACCCACAACGGGATGGAACGTGACAACGGGAGGATCAGGTCCATTCTGCACCCTCGCCGCAGCGGCATGCCCCTGCTGCAGCTCCACACTCAGATGTGCTATGGGAATGGTATTTGATGCCAGCCCAGCTATTTTTCAATACCGGCGAGCGCCGTACTGCTTCACTCCTCTTATGGCCGTATTTTTATGATGTTGCGCACGTCAGCCCTATACCAATACCATTGCACGATTCGCACGCTACATAGCCTCAGTGAGAAGTGTCGAATCCTTCCGACCAACAGCGTTTCAAACGGCACAGTCGTTGAATGGTCTTTCGTCATCGATCATTTTCTACCACGAGGGAACTCAGCCTGGTAGCTAAACCACGCCAGAATCCTTCCACCAGCCGGGCTTTGCTCATTTCAACTTTAGGCCGCAGGCATCACTGCGAGAGTCCTCCGGAGGCTCTGTAATTTTTGACTTAGGCTCATACCAGTGGCAGTGAAAAGCCTCAAGCTGATTCCTGATATATAAACGTGTACAGTTCACTTAGACGTAGAGCCTCATCCCGCTTTCTCCGCTAATCGACCCACCTCACCACCAACCACCAGTTTACCATCGCTTTTCTCTCGTTATTTCCACTCTTTTTAAGGTGTCCTAGCCTTCATTTTTCCGCTCCTTACCAGAAAGCGCCACTCCAAAGAAGGCTCGTTGAGGGAGTATCCTAAACCATGTCTGGATACCCGGTAAGATTGGCCCGTAGTCATGGGTCGCTGCCGCTAACGTTCATGCAGTATTCCTCCAGTGAGCAGCCCAACTATGCGTACAATGCATCCGCTTCCAGCTACTCCAGCACGGCGGTACCGCAATACACTCAAGCCCAGATCGATCAATACTACCAACAGTACCAGCAATATCCACCTCAACCATATCAGGTTATTCAGTATGACTACGGGTATAGCAGGCCAGCAGCCACAGGCTACCAACAGCCTCACGTAGCTGTTCAAGGCACTTACGGACAAGGTGCGAACACTACCTCTGGCTACTATGCCTCTCCGGTCAACCAAGGAGGAACTGGAAGTGGTTCTACAGATACATCTAGGTGAGTCCCTCCTAACGAAGATGGACTGCGAAGAATATCTAAATCTGACCGGGGGGGTAGGAGCAATAGCCGTGGAAGGTAAAATTATTCCCATGGCTCATGACCCGCGAAGTGGATCTAGAATAAGTCGTACTGACAATGGATCAACAGGACATGGACATGCGATCTTCCCAATTGCACATCGACAGCCAACTTCACACGCCTCGCAGACCTCCAACGCCACCAATCCACCGTGCATGGCATGGGCCTCCCCGAATTCCCCTGCACGGTGGCTCGATGCACTCGTGTTGGCGATAAAGGATTCACTCGGCGAGACCACTTGGTAGAGCATCTACGCAACTTCCATCACCTTGATATCCCGAAACGAAAAGCTGGCGAGCGAAGTGCAAACCCATCAGGCGCACCTTATTATCCGTCTTAGATGTTGGGCAGACCCTCGCAACACTGCAAAGACGGACAGAATATCAACCTACACTGCCAAATATGGATATATCGTGACGCGCCCTGCTGGTCCGCAGTAAGGCATATTTGAGTGGGGCCGGGCGTTGCTGGATCGGGTTTCGGCGCAGTCAGACCCGCCTGTCAACCTTGTACCTAAAGAGCTGGCTCTAGAAAAATGGATGGACATCTGCAGCATTTCAACATATAGACGGGGAAGTACAATCAATTGTTAACATGTCGCCAGGCTTGATGCGACGGGGTACCTACGGGGACTTTCTCTTCTTTGCCTCAGGAAGTTAAGGATGGGGTTGCCCTGTCTAACGGCTTCCTGTGGCCCTTTGTGTGCTTTGCGTTCCTTCAATATACCACAGTCCCCATTTATTTTGTCTTTTGCTCCATGTTCATTTTCCTCTTCGTGCATCATGTTTCTATTGAGCATTTCGTGAGCGGTACTAGCATGGGTTTAGCGCACGGGACAGTGAATCAGCAGTCAGGACACGCATCCCAGGAAAGGATTCTGGAGACGTCCTTTGAAGAAGCTCTGCGTACCCAGGGCATTTGACACATTGACGTTGTTTGTGTCTAAATATATTGCATCCCATTCCTACACCGTATTCATCGCGTCAGAACACACGGCCATTCAAAATCCCTGCCAGGGAGGGCAAAACGACAATGTGTCGATATCAGTAATGTGGCTGGTGCTTTCGGGAACCCAGTTTCAACGGCGGTTGCGGATTTCCCATTCTTACTGGAAGATATGTTTGCAAGACGTCTGGAGATACGAATACATTGCCATATCGCACGGGCATAGGGGCCTTTCTCTCCAGCGCTTTGAAATCAGGATAAGGGGCAGGCGCGAAACCGCGTTGTCAACGCCAGCGATCAGCGGGATGATGTGTGCAATGATGAAGTGTCTCGGTTAGCAGCTTGGCGCACACTCTTCACACTCGTTCGCCTGCCGTCCAGCTGCCTGTTCTTCACGTTCACCTCTCACTCACTCCCCCCAAGTATTGTTCCTTGAAACTAAACTCCTTGCCTCCGGCTTTGACTCATGTCGCTTCAACACATCCTACAAATACCGTCCACTGCATACCGAGATTCCCTGCCTTTGCAATAGCTGCAATTTATTGCTATTGCCGGCCTTCCCGCCCTGTGCGCAAGTCGGTGTAGTCCCGCCAGCACATAGCTGCAGCCTCGCAGCGGCCTTTCTGCTACATTTCTTTACTAGACCCAGTTCTAGCCCTTAATATCTGACCATCGTCTGGAAAAATGCACGATTTACGGCGTCAGGCTCTCGAGAGCGGCAAGACCGTGTCCCGCAAAGCGCGCTCACGGAATGCCTCGGTGCCGTCATCCAAAGCAAATTCGACACTTAATTCCCCGGCTCAGTCCAGGGCCAACTCCCGGAACCCAAGCCGACATGGGTCCGACGATGAGGAGTACCTTAGCGACGGCACAGCCTGGAGGTAGGTTTCGAAATTCCCCAGACTTTTCTCTCCACCTCATGGTGCATTGCCCGACAGCTTCGTCGTGTCTGACATGATGATTCTGGCCTACGACTCCGACTCGACGGGTTCGCTGACAGATATCTCCTCTAGCACCAACTCTATCGATGATATTCTCAACAGCGAGGATGTCGACCTGGCGCCAGACGTGTGGAAGTCGGAGTTGAACGTTCGCGTCGAGCAGATGGTCGATCGCAAGCGCAGCAGCACTGAAGGACGCGCCGACAGCCTGGCCGGGTTCACCCACATTCTCATGGCTAAGTATGCGAAGGACGAAGTCGATGGCCGCATGAGCGAGCTTTTGCCGTCGATGCTCCGGAGCATAAAGTCAGAGACCAGCGAGCGCGAGACGGTCGCCGCCCTGAAAGGTATGCCCCTCCACCACGTCAACTACATAGCCAGCAACTAATCGATGCTCACAGCACTCGCCGTGACAATCGTCACCTTGGACTCTGACGACATTTACGACTCAGTAGCCGACCTCCTGAAGCGCACCATCTCAGACTCCGAGTCCATCCAAACCAAGATCAGTGCCATCCACGCCCTTGGCATTGCTACCTTCTTCGGCGGATCTTCCGAAGAAGAGACCGAAGACAACATGGCGTTCCTGCTCGAGATTATCGAGTCAGATGGCCTCTCGATCGATGCTCACGACGAAGGCTCTGTGGTCGTCGCTGCCCTTGAGGAATGGGGCCTGCTTGCAACCGAGGTCGAGGATCTGGAGGACGCTACGGAAGCGGCCATTGAAGCCTTTGTCGACCAGCTTCAGAGCTCCGACGCCGGTGTTCAGATTGCTGCCGGGGAGAACATTGCCCTTCTTTATGAGAAGTCGTACACGCCTCTTGAGGACGATGAGGAAATTTCTGAAGGGGATATCGATTCCGAAGACGATGATGAACGACGCAACAGAGACAAGATGGTGAAGCGCTACACTGTCTACCGAAGGCAAGACCAGCTCCTGCGCGCTCTGGATGAGCTCGCCACCGTCTCGACCCGCAAGATCTCGAAGAAGGATAAGAAGACCTTACATTCGTCATTCGCCGATATCCGAAATTCTGTCGAAAAGCCAACTCGTGGTCCCAAGTATTCGACGGCGCTTGACCAGGAGACTGGAAGGACCTACGGCGGTGGTAGGATGAAGGTCAAGATCAATCGCAACGTGGAGGTTCGGATCGACAAGTGGTGGAAGCTGCAGAGGCTGAACGCGCTTAGGAGGGTCTTGCAAGGGGGATTTGTCCATCAATATGACGAGAACGAGGCTGTCTCCCGTTGCTTGCCCTTCTCCGTGGCAACCAAGCGCTGAGAAGCCTATTGTAGTGGGACATGTTGAGGACCCTTCGGTTTTGGTTTTGTTGGGATCGGGTTTGTGGCATGGCTTGTGAATCTTTCTTTCATAATCTCCTTCTTCTGCATCAAATACCCCTACACACATCGCATCATTGTCCGGACAGGCTTTCACGTAGGACAGGAATTGGAATAGAAACCGCTCGCATAGATCTTGATCTTTTTGCATATCGACACTTCTCGTGGAACATGAACAGGGAGGGTTGACGTAACAAACGCAATAGGGGGATAAGTGAGAAGTTCGAAAAGATCAAGCGCCGTGGGGTTTGCTTCGCTGGTGATGCTGTTTGGGGAAGCCTTTGCGAAACCCCACTATGACTGTTGATGCCCCTCATCGCGAAATGCACGTCAACAATGCTTGAACAGGTACAGCACCCGAGGAACCATTGGAGGGACTTGGTGCCTGCATTCAAATCCCTGTGACACTTGCCTCCAGCCAGCTAGCCTCGCGAGTCGTCCTTTCAGGTGGGCGAACCTGTCTTTGTGGGATTGCTGGGTGCGTGTGCATGTCTTGGCACGCTGTAGAAGCTTCTGGCACCTTGCCTGACGACGCCGCTTTCTTCAGCCTCGAGACTTCACTTACAACCTTCTCTCACACACTCCCCGCACGCAATTCCTGTCTCTGTTTTGCCCTTTCCTCCAAACTGCAACCATGGCATCCACAAGTAAGAACCCCACGACGAGGTTCCAGCACAGTGTGCTCTGCTAACAGTATAATACACAGAACGTCCGCGCGTTTTCTTCGATGTTACTGTTGGCGGAGTAAAGGCTGGACGTATTGTAATTGAACTTGTGAGTCTTCTTCCTCCGGAATTGAGGGCTTCATTATGCTAACATGTTCAGTACAATGACAGCATGTGTATCCCTCCCCACATCCTCCTCAAATACTAACGCACTGTCCCAGTCGTCCCTAAGACGGCCGAAAACTTCCGCGCCCTCTGTACTGGTGAGAAGGGACTCGGTACCTCCGGCAAGCCTCTGCACTACAAGGGCTCCATCTTCCACCGTGTCATCAAATCTTTCATGATCCAGGGTGGCGACTTCACCATGGGCAACGGCACGGGCGGGGAGAGCATCTACGGTGAGAAGTTTGAGGACGAGAATTTCGACCAGATCCACGATCGCCCGTTTCTGTTGAGTATGGCAAATGCGGGACCCGGGACAAATGGGAGTCAATTTTTCATCACGACGGTCTCCACGCCGCATCTGGATAAGAAGCATGTGGTGTTTGGGGAAGTTATTAATGGGAGGAGTGTTGTAAGGGAGATTGAGAATTTGAAGACGCAGAATGGGGATAAGCCGTTGCATGATGCTACTATCGTTGGTACGCAAACCTCACCCTCACTCGTTAAATCCATGCCCTAGCTAACCTCTTTTACCCCCAGATTGCGGTGAACTCACAGGAGACGCCTACGACCGCGCCACAGAAAAGATCCCCGACGCAACCGGCGACCCCTACGAAGACTATCCGGAGGACCAGAAAACTAACTCCACCGAAATCACGGGCACCGAAATCCTTTCCATCGCCTCCGCCCTCAAAGACCTCGGCAACTCAGCCTTCAAATCCTCAAACCTCGTCCTCGGTCTCCAAAAATACCAAAAAGCCTTGCGCTACCTGCACGAGCACCCCACACCCCTGGACACTGACCCCGCGGACCTCTTCCCCCAGCTCAACGCCCTCAAAATAATCCTCTACTCCAATTCTTCCTTGCTCCAGAATAAACTCCGGGATTTCGAAGCCGCTAACGAATCCGCAACGAAGGCGCTGGAGATCGAGGGGATTAACGATAAGGACAAAGGGAAGGCGTATTTCCGCCGTGCACAGGCGAGGATTGGGAAGAAGAATGATGACGATGCGTTGGAGGACTTAGAGGAGGCGGAGAGGTTGGTGCCCGGGGATGTGGCGGTTGGGAGGGAGTTGGAGGGCGTGAGGAAGAGGGTTAGGGAGAGGAGAGAGAGGGAGAAGAAGGTCTATAGGAATGCTTTTGATTTTGATTAAGGGGCTTTGGGGGTGTGAGGAGTGATGTGGTGGGGGGTTGGCATGGGCTCGGAGCTATGATGGAGAGGTACGTGTGTGATGGACGAGGGTGCGGGAAAGGTAAGGAAGGCTTACTAGAACGAAAAGTCCATTTCCCGTGCCATACCACTTTAGCGTATGAGCTGGCGGACGACAGCTGAGGGATTAAGAAAGGAGGTTTTACGCATAGCTAGCTGCACTGAAAGTAGCTATCCACGATAACTGAAACCGCTCACATGACAACCAATCAACGACATTTATACATTACATTCAACTGTCTCAATTCCATTCCCTACACCTACAAACGAACGGAGAAGATTGATTATATATGTTGCATTCGAGTACGTGAATATATAAATCTCCAATCCAACTCGCGCGCACCAAAACCCCGAATCAAACCAAACCTTTGATAACCATCTACCCACGCAGCCATCCAAGCTCAAAATCCAAGCCACCGAATATAAAACAGGAAGTCGAATGACCGCCGCCGTGCATCAGAAGTGTAATAAGCCACCTACCACCAATGAAGACTCCATCCCCCCTAGTGTACTTGATAGGAATCGTATCCAATCCACCCCAGTTCGGTCCGGTCCAATACCTTTCCTCTCTCATATACAAGAAACTACTCGTTGGACCCAACCAACCCAATCCAAATGTGTCCCTCTCCCAACCTAGACCCCAGCTCTGACCATGAATATGAATGTGAAATGTATGAACGCTAAACGCTTTCACAGATAGAAACAAATATCAAGCAGACTGAAAGATTTTAGGTATGCAAATGAGTGATGTGAAATCAATCAAAATGTTATAAACTTAACGAAACGCGACGTAACAAGTCCACCCTTTTCTGTATGTGTGCAGTGCAGGACTCCTACGGCTAGCCAGTAAAGTTCAGCGTCGCGGTAAACAGGAGTCGAGTCCCAAGCGGTGAGGACGAGCAAGCAAGTAAGGATGATAGCCTGCCAGACCAGGTAGGAAAGACCCTCCTCCTGGGCTGAGATGAGCTGAGAGTAATGATTGCCAATGTGCTGCAATGCACAGCACATTTACGGTGAGTATTAGGGTGCACTGGACTGGCCTTAGTCCTATTCAACGAATAGACATGCTGCGGCCGGCGACCCACGAAGAGGACAAACTCCGCTCGGCTCTGCGTGAGATTCTGTCCACGCAGCTACAGACGGTGAAGTAGAAAAAGGACCCGAATTAGACAAGACAGGAACCACCAATATGCATGCGGCAAAGAGAGTCCAGAATGGCGAGATAGACCAAAAGTTGGAAGGCGTACTGCGTCTTGGAACTCGACATGGTCGGAGCAGGAGTATTTTGGGACGGAAATTTGCAGGACAGTGGTGTCCGCACTGGTTCTAGCAAGAGGCTCGACTTGTCGAATTATCTCTATTAATGGTCCGTGGGAGGTGTGAATATGCTGTAATAGGGCACGGTACAGCTCGGTTCAGTATTTGGTTTGGGTTGACTCGAAGGACATGCGGCAACGAGAACTGCGCAGCATAATAAAAGGAATGGCGGTGAAGTTCCGTTCCGTCCGGTGTAAATTGAGCACGGAGCTTAGCAAGGCATCTTTTCCTTCTCGTAGCTCGGCGAAGGCGGCGTCAATCTCCATCTTGCTCAAGTGGCGTTATCAAGTGCTTGTGGCGTACGCATGCTGAGTCTGCATGCAAGCAATCCTTCTCGCTCTCATGCCTCCCTCCTCACACATACTCCACATCATCGCCTTGCTTTCCCGCGTCGGAGTTCCGCCTGCCTCCCTTGTCCCTTCCCAACTTCGGGCTATTGTACTTCCCTGTGTACCAACCATCTAGTCACCACTCCCCTCCGACGCCTTCATTGATGCCTCTTGATCCATATGCACCTAGTGCGCTTGAAGTAGCTCCGCCTCGGTCCGTATTACGATCCGCATCACGATCCCTCTCTTTGCCCTTCCGCTCGCTATCTTTGTCTTTATCCTTGTCCTTATCCCGTCTCCGAGATTTGAATGGCAAAACACCCCTAAGGCCTTTCTCTTTCTTCTCCTTCTCTTTATCGAATCTTGGAAGTGCCGTTGTATACTCTTCCCCACTACCCGCTTCACTTCCCTCCATACTCATGCCTCCTGCACTCCTCGGCGGGCGGGATGTGGGATCGGAGTTGATATGCGCCAAATTAATATGAACATTTGGATTTGCCGTGAATGAGGACGACGACCCTATTGACACCATATGCAAGCCATCACTACTTCCCGGTGGCGTTTCCTCGGCTGCAGAAGCCGATGCCGATGCCGATGTAGACGCTGAAATTGACTCATTCAGGCTAGGCGCGTATGCGCCAATCCTGCCTTTCATTGTTAATGGGTTTGACGAGGTAGACGTCACGGAGCTCGCGGAAGCCGATATCGACGAGTTCTGTTGATGTCTCGTCTTCGGTGCTCTGGCGGGTTTCATGGTGATTGGTGTGCTCGTAGATGAGGAGCTGGTTAGCTCTTCAGTCAATGGACTTGTGGGCATCGAGGCAGATGCCGATGCGGTAGCTTTATTGCGAGTTGCAGCCCCACGAGTCGGCTCGAAGGATGCAGAACCTTGCAACTGCTCCACGAGTTCTTCCCATTTGACGCTGAGGCTAGAACTAGGGCGTTCAGCGCGTTCAGCCCGGTTGAGGCAATCGCTTGTGCGTTCGTGTAAGCTAACGCATATGTTGTGGAAACGAAGGAGGTCTCCATCTGTGGACTGGATATTACGGGCTGAGTCTTTGGTGTTATCAAGCCAAAGGTCGACTAGGGCGGCAAAATTGCGGGCGTGATCAATTAGGTAGGGCAAGGAGGGGAAACCTTCTCGGGAGGTTGGAGGGAGGCGTTGGAGAATAGCGAGGGGTGTGCTGTATGAAGGAGGAATTGGGGGTAGTGTTGATGTTGAAGATGATATCGAGCAAAGGTTGTCGATGTAGGTCTTGAATTCTTGCCGGTGCGAATTTAAGAAAACATTCATGGGCTCCATCCACTGCTCTTTTGTGCCGAAAGAGGACATGTTAGCAAGACCTTGGAGAGATTTAGCGATGAGTGTAAGCGTTCGGCGTGCTTTCGGCTTCGGGTGGTCTTCTTTGCGTTAGGGGGTCTTTTCAATTTCTGGCGTGTACACTTACCTTTAAGCAACCCGAAGAGCTTCGGATTGAGAACAGCGGGACAAAAGAACCTCAGGAATAAGAAACCTGACACGCTGCTATACTTGACCGTCCTAAGGAAGTCGCCGTATCGATCTTCGGCACAAGCTCGAATATGCCTAAAGATCAGTCGAAGTTCCTGGGGGCAGCGAGATATTGAGTTGTAGATTGCTTTCCACAGATCTTCCGTTAAGTTGATCAAGCGTCTCCAATTCCTATCCAGCTCATGTTGCGATGTGATCCTATTTGGATCAACTTCACATTCTGGGTCCTTGTCATTGATCTCCCTCAACTTCTCGCATAACGTCTCCTCTAGATATTCTTTCCCGAGTCTTTTCATATGGAAATCCAAGGACTTGGTCAGGAGAGTGTTGCCGCGAAACAAAAGGTTGGCCTCAAGTTTGGCGTTATTGCCCATGTCACGTACGAATAGCTCCCGGTCGCTAGAGGAGCCGAATGATTCGGTGGAATCAGTGGAGCCTAGCCGTTTGCTGAATCGCAACCGGCTGGCTGGGGTTTCTTTCAGTGTCCCGTCTATTTCTTCTTCCACAAGAGACATGATCCACTCTCCAGCTTGTCCAGAGACTTGGAAGATATTGAGTAAGTATTCGGATAGTCTCTTGAGTTCATTTGGTATCATCTGGGCGATTTGTAGTGTCAACCCGTTTGAGAACCTGTGAAGAAGCTCCGACATAGGCTGGTAGTCCCGAGCCATTAGTATGACACACTCCTCCGCGCTGACCTTGACAAAAACTTCCCCCACACTATTTCCATACATATTAACTAACGGCCACCACTTTTCGATCTCTTGATTTGGGCCAAGATCATCCAGGTAGATGTCTGTTTTGCCGCATGTTTGATCGAATGATATACCAGCATAGCCGCCAGCGCCTTCCGAAGTGAAAGAGTCTGAGGACAGCGGGTTGTCGTGGTGGCCTTTGTCGGCGCGCATCTGACTGGGAGGTCGCTTCTTGAGCAATAAAGATGCTGTTGAGAGGACAGCGGGAAGATCTAAAAACTCGAACTCCTCTCTCCAAAACGGGTTCTGGCCTTCTGACTTGGCCATAGTTCGCGCTCTTGTTTCACCGTCAAGCAACACCTCCACATAGTAGCCTCCGGAGTTCGTCACTGACGAAGCTGGCCGTGTTGGTGTACCGTGTTCCGCCATTTTGGGGCTTATTGGCGGCATCAACCTGGCCTCGACAACCCGAAAGAACAGCGATCGCTCCATTCGGAACATATCTTGGGTTCCAAAGGACGGCGATAGTGCGCCCTCCTCGTTCAGCGTTGGCTGCTTAGGCCCGTACAGCTGCGGAATAGTGAATGCTCGGAGTAGGACAATCCATACCTCATATAAGACTCGTGATTCTAGGGACAGAAATATGGGGCGTAACAATGATAACGATGTAGATGTAGATGTATATTGTGGATAAATGGCGATGCAAAATTCGTTATCCAATACCGAGGGATCCAATCGCTGGACAGCACATCGAGAGAGCTGAGAGAGTTGCACCACGGAGACTAGTGTGACATCAGTGTCGGAGTACAGCTTGAGCTCTCCGTTTTCTCGAAGGGTACAAGAGACCCTTCTCCACCTCCGCGAGCCGTGACTCTGTATCCGGTACGCTTGTGGTCTCGAAGCCCCAGTTTTTGGCGTGCCAGTGTTGCTGTATGTGACACTAGTGTCCCAGTATATCATTTTCCCGACCTTGATGATTGGCGCTTCTTTTAGGAGTGACACCTCCGAATGTCTCCTGCTGTCAGCAAGCCGCCGCTCGGCTACGAGCGAGGTTTGTGGTTTGGCCATTTTGTTGTGTATTCCTTTGGGACGAATGGGTTGCCAGCATAGCAACGCCGCGAACCACGAATCGAACTCGTCTTGGGTGGGCGGCCGCAAGAAGACCTCCAACTTCGAGTTATGCCCGAGAACGTGGATGTAAGCCGTGTAGGATTCGGCATCGTATGCGCTCTTCACACGGCAGCCTCGGAGGTCAGGAACGAGGGTGCGATGATAGGATGTGTCGCTCTTAGGCTCGTACACGAGACTCCCAGCCTCCTCGTTTATATAGCAGTACGACAAAGACCACGGGTTTGCCTCGCCGCGTCTAAAGGCCAGCATGCCTTGCATCTTGCCGCACGTGGCGCGCATAAGCTTTAGGACCTTCCTTGCATCCGATGCTGGGACGGGCGACACCCAAGAGTCGGGCTGAGCATTGGGAGAGGCCACCATCTGCGGGATGGGGGAAGCAGTGCGTGGGGGCTGCTTGATGAGGCGGCTTCGATTCGAGCTAGAGGTTCGCGGTGGGGGGTGCGAGGGAGGAGAGATGGTGGACGGATGCCCTATCGAGGTCACGACGGCTTCTTCGAGAGCCTGGAAGTTAGCAGAGCCTGTCGAGTGCACCGAGCCGATGCGGTGCCGGCTCGTCACGAACAGGTTCGGCGGCGACCTGTCTCGTGTGGACCGCTCTTCTAGCGTCCTTGTTCGCGGCCTTGTTTGCCCCTCTCTAGCATTTCGTAGTGTGTAATCAGCTTCGCTGGAGTTGGACCTGGAAACAAAGCTGCGCGGGTTGGTGTTCCTGGGGGCCTGAGGGTCGCGCTGGAGGCTGCTGCCAGAGCGAGGCGATATGGGCGGCGATGATGCTAGGTGTGTATCTCTGGCGTAGCTGTTCTGCGCAACCTCGCCCTCGGGAATGGCCTCGGGGGTGACAGCGCGAATCGTCGACGAGGGATAGTTGCTGCGGGTGTACAACTCGGTGTCGTCTCGCCATCTGTCCCGGGATGGTGTCGCCTCTGGAGCGCCGATCTCCCTTCTGTTCCGCCTGGTCTGCCTCGATTGATCCATGAACAATGGTTGGTGAGCCCGCTGGTTGGGCTATCCCGGATACTTATTGGAAGCACGCTCTTTTGAGTATTCTGCGCGGAAATGATGCCAACCGTGTGCGCCGTGTGACAAATGGTGGCGTTACGGTCGGCGCAGAGCCGACTGGCAGCGTTCCAGCCGGTAGATGCTAGGTGGGTGTAGGCAGGGCCCTCTGCCTTTGTCCTATCCCAGCCGTGCGCTCCGTTGCGCTGTCATTGACAGCTGACCGACGAGATTGGAGCGGGCACCCGGTCCGACCGTCACCGGTGAGCTGGGCAAGAAACGGCGGTGATGAATGGGGAGAGGATGTTCCAGTTGGCGTGGCGCATCGTATGGGCTGCAATGTCTTGGGAGCGCCTGGCCAGCAGCCTGGGACGGGGGGTGAGGCGCCTCGGAACAGCAGGGCGGGAGCTCAATTCATCACTGGGACTGGCCGCGTGGTGAGGGAGAGGGCAGGGCGCGGCGGGGGGCAAATGGCGATGGGTGATGAGCGACGGTGGAGGGTTGGGGGGAGGAACGAGCAGTTCTCACAGGGCAAGCGCCTTGGCGCCACGACCAATCGCTCTCCCAGCCTGCACTGCAAGGAAAATTACGGCTGTCTGACCTATCCTTCCAGAACAAAAGAGCGCTATCAACAAAGACAACGGGCCGTCTGCCACGCTTATCCATGGTGGGTTCTGGGCTTCATGCATCACTCGCCTGCATGAGCAGGTCATACCGAGTCCTAGGCTTCTGATGCTCACTCAACCACGAACTGCAAGGGACAAGCCGCGGTAGCTGCAAATCTTGATCAACAAAAAGAAAAAAAGCCATTTGTCATGGAAGCAGGCACCGGGTTGCCTGCTCGGCCTCATGCTCCCCTCTCAGCTAGCCATGTATATCACATCAATACCCTCTGCCATCCGGAAACACACCCCTAAAAAACACCTAAGAAACATACTGCATGTTGGATATCGCTCCCAAGGTTCCTATCCGCGCCTAATAAACGTGCTCGCCCGCATCCCACGCTCCGTCATCAGCTGAAATTACCCATTTCCCAACCAGTTTCACATGTCACCTTCCAGCTCATGCCAGACAAAGACTTTAACAGCCATAACACCACCCCGGCATTACTGCATATCGGCGCCAGGTCGAAGGGAGGATCAAGTCGATGCAGCCTTCTTTCCTCATGTGCACGCGCCTCATTTTCCACCTTGGGTGCCAACGCAGTACATACCCTTATTTAAATGGAGGCAGGTCGGCCGCGTTGTCTTCCAGACTGACAGCGCTCAGTGGCTGGCTCCGTGCGCCGCTGAGATCGCCGCTGCCTGTCTTCCGCAGCGCTTGGCGCATGGTTTCAATCTGCAATTCACCGCCCAATGGGGGGCTATGGGTGCCATGAGTCGTTGTAGGGCTGCCGGGAGCCCGAGCGCCTTTGGGAGACACCAATTCGGCGCCCTTTTCTGATGTGGCTCCACTCGTAGGCGGAGATGCACTGAAACCATGGGATGAGGTGGGGGACCGCACTGGAGATGGAGACCGGTTGGCTGTGGACGATAGGCTCATGAATTGCATTGCGTTTCGGTTGTCCTCAACATGTTCAGCTTGGACGACATCCGCAAATGAAATAAAGCTCAGACGTCGCACATCGGTGGTGTCCAGTGACCCGTAGTTGGACGCAGAGTCCTCATAATCTAGGTGTCCTGAAATGGGAAAATCATCCTGCGAGGGAGAATACATCGAATCAGTCATGCTGCCAGCAACGGTAGCTGAGGCGGGCTGGTGCGCCGAATGCATAACAATCTCCACCTCATCTGGGTTCAAATGGTCGTCGGTGATTGCCAACGACGATGCCTCCAAGACTGGCGGTATATGGTCTTCCGTTTGGATATGTGCGGGGATGGCAGGTGACAGCTCGCCCACGCTTTCTTGCACGTTACGCTCGAAAATCTGAGACGACGCCGGTGAGTGCATGCCGGGGGAGGACGAGCGGTTGTATCGCCGATTGGGAGATGCTGCGACGCCGGCCGGGTAGATACGCGGGCTGCTGCGAGGAGACGGTCGGCGGTCGGGGGGAGGGGAGTTGAGGGGAGACACCGGTCTTCTCGCAGTGGGGAGAGGAGGGGACGCTGAGAGGGTTGCGGGCGATTTGGGAGACATGTCGGTGTCTTTCTTGTCTCCCTCTTTCTTCTTGCCCAGCCCGAGGAGCTTGCGCTTGCCTTTGGCGAGGAGGCTCGATTGATCGTTGGTGTCTTCTGCCGGCTTGCTCTCGCTCAGGAGAGGCACTGCTGACGAGCGTGGGCTGGGGCCAAGGGGAGGGGTCGTCTTTGGGATCTCCGCGACACTCATTTGAGCGTCGGAAGAAAGGGTTGGGCGATGCACGCGCAGTCTGCTTTATAATAGATCGTGTGCGGTGAGTAGACTGCCCACGATCCAGCGGGTTGTCCACAGAGGGGCAGATTAAGGCCGGATCTCGCTTGACAGGAACCTTGGAAGCCGGCAATCAGAGCACCGGAGTGATAACTCGTGTAGAATCGCACAGGGCGAATGTGTCGAGCCGTATGTTGGCGTGAGGATCGGAGTGTTCTTGGGCACCTTGGGGAGGAGTAGTAATGGGAAGTTGGCTCGCGGTTGGGAGTCTACGAGGCGACGTCGTCACGTGTTGGGCGTCGCGGCCACAATGACGTTGCAGGCTCGAAACGCTTCAACTAGCTCTGCGTTTTGTTCCAGGAACCGTCCCTTTGGCGGATCCTCCCATACCCGGCTGACTGACTGTGAACATCACTCCCTCTTACATTGTCGTCGACCGCCCAAGATTTCTTGGATGTGTCGAGATTTGCCCAGGTTAGTGTCCAGAAAACCGGGCGTGAAAGCGGGGTGCTGGCAGAACTGAGCTATCACGGCGCAACAAGTGGTATGGAAGGTTTCAAGGAGGTTTGATGTAGTCTCAGTTCAATTTCAGCAATGGATCAAGTCTTACAGTCGCTCTTCTTTCATCATTCACACTCGCCAAGTCTCTCCAACTGGCCAATGGCCCGGGCCACGAAGGAAGATGGCGATGTGGAATCAGCAGCTAATGCTTGTATGAGTGGCCGCACAATCCAAGTCGCGCTCAAGCGGCCACATCTCCGTCCCCTTTCCCCCTGCTTTCTTCTTCCCATGCCGTCATTGTTGCTGTTTTTATTCTTTCCGGGGGACCCGGATGCGAATGTCCTCAAGGGTCAGCCCATCTGCACCCGAGAGTCTGAGTCCGATTGCGCAACATTCACACAATTCCATGCCAGATGGTCTGATTGCGGGCCATGAGATTAGTCTTCCCGCTTCCGCGAACCCATTCTCTGACCGCTTGGGGGTTTGCACTGGCATTCTTCAAGGAATAGGGCTCTTGGAGATGGAAAGGGCACGTTCATCGTGTTGCATAATTGTTATCCCTCTTGCGCCACCAACGGATTTGCAGGCACAGGCACAAAGCAACAATCGCTATTGGGAGATGCTGCCAATACAGTGTTTCGTCTGCACACAACCTCAACTCAATGCTCTGGCTGGTTATTTCACACCAGGGGTCGCCATTCCATATTGTCCCAGCTGATTGCATTGCAGAAGCTGATGTCGCTCACAGACCACAATCTCGTATCGTTGGCTGGGCACAACCGATTCTCGTATGAGAACGACTCTTCTGTGTCTTCAAAATTTCACTGATGTGTTACTTTTCAGTCTGCTCGAATAGGGGTGGCGGCATACAGCGTTTAATAATACCAGATTATCGATGCTGAAATGTCTGGGTGTCCTCTTGTTTACACTTGAATACACGAGGTCTTCTTCACACTGGACCGCCCACTAACCCCTGACCTGAAGACTTCAACCCCGCCACAACATACCGAAACTGGGGTGCGTGTTCTCCCGGATCCTTCAGGCCTCAGCTTCAGTAATCTCCACGTCGATCCAATGCATACACCTCGTGATCCCAGGGGTGTGAGAGGGAACGACCCGTCCGCAGACCCACTTCCGGGGATCTAGATATTATCTCGCATGACCGCGTCCCAAGTCGTGGGAAGTGATCATTGTCAACCTCATCAACTTGTCAGCCAAGGTGGTCCTCAGTGCGACACTACGATGTTTGCACCAAATGACTTAGGTCCTACGATAGAAATCACTGCTTACACCTTAACAAGCCTATCAACCCTAGTTGTTGGCGTGAGGTAAGGCCCCATTCCCCATCGAAGCTAGCTCTGTACCGCTGTGTTAATTGAATCCCCAGATTTTACTGTCGAATATGGGTCGTAGGGAGGTTAAAACTATATGATTATGTCATGGTAACCGCATTAGTGAGTTCACAGTTTCCCCTCGTGTTTACAATCGTCGGTGCGATGTCAATCCTTCCTGTTGTCCTTTACGATGGAGCATAACGAGGGTCTGATTTCAATAGAGGCTAGCATCCTTTCAAAATCCTCTATAGTCCAAGCAAAGGGATTGATAAATCAGATCTGCCTTAGTTGTGTTCCGTCATGCGATCACATACTGTAATTTGATAGGCTCTAGGGACGTTGGGTACTAACTGTGCTAGCTGTGCACCTGGGGAATGTGCGCCATCAACCACTACCAACTCTTTTACGGCAGCGGCCAGCATCCAAGACCCCCAAATCTACCACCTGTAAGGCCAAAGCGTGTAGATTCACCCCTCGCCAATAACCTTCTAATATTTGATTCCCAGATCTCATCCGATCACCTCCATCGTAAAATAGTCGGGGCCGCAAGATCTTGGTACGCCTTCCAGCTGATGTACTTGGCCGACCTTGCTCTTATCAAGTTTTCCATTCTCGCCTTTTACCTTACTATTGCGACTCAACGAACGTTTCGGTTTCTCGTATACCTTTCGATTGTCATTGTTGCAGTCTTCACGATTGTTATGATATTTGTCAACGCATTTGAATGTCCCGAACATCCCTCCTTTGCCTTGGGACCTCAAATCTTCGAAAGGGAGAAGTACCACTGCCTCATTATGAACACGGTCTACTACACACAAGCTGGCTTCAACATCTTCTCCGATACGGCGATCCTCCTTCTCCCTATGCCTCTACTTGTCCAGATTAAGAGCATGGCCAAGCTGAAACGTATTGCACTACTCGGTGTCTTTTCCGTCGGTGGTATTGCGCCGATTGCATCTGCCATCCGTGTATGGGGGGTGTACATGTGGGCTAACTCAGACGAGCCTCGATATTATGGCGGCTATGTCATATTCTGGACGCAAATAGAACTAAACACGGCAATCGTATCGGCTTCGGTGCCGTCACTCCAGCCTCTGTTCAAGAGAGTCTTCGGCGAGCTCTCGAGGTTCCCGCGGCGAAGCGCATACTATTACTATGGAGATGGGGCAGGCAGTCACAGCAATATGACGGAAGCGCATATTGGACAGGGGAGGAGAGATGTGAGAGAAATCCCACTGTCCGGCTTGGAGTCACCTCGGTCCTCTTATCATCCCCCGAAACAAAGTTCAAACACCGAATTGGAGAGCGGCTGTATTCACGTTCATAGTATTAGCGAAGAGGAGGAAATCCGAGCTCGAGTCGACATAAGCGAAGAGGAAGAAATTCGGAATCGAGTCCTTGCGTTCTCGTCCCAGAGGTCCTCTACTCAATCCCACATACCAAAGTCACCCGAGCGACCAAGAGACATACTGATGTCTTCGGGCTAAATATTATGGGACCGCGCTAAATATTTGCAAAGTCCCTTTAGAGCGCAGACCCTCTATGATAGCCTTATTGAAGGGTTTTTAGCCAGGTTTGCCGGTCATCATTGTAGGTGATTCGCCTGTTCATCCACCAATATGAAGTCGAGAATAGTAATTCCCCTGGTCAAGCTACGCCGCACAAAGTCGACTTGCTAGGTCGGAGTTCGAAAGAGGCTTATAAGTGGTCAGCTCCGCAGTAACCACTTCCATTCATTGCCGCAACGAATATATCAATGATGCCCTTTACCAACCCACGGTGGCTTACTCCATCCCTGGAGAAACCAGAATCCAACGTCGCATTCGGTCATTCCGTTGTCAGATGTCTGGGGTCGAGCCTCGCCGTGCTTATTTTATTTTCCTATTCCGGAATGGTCGGCTTCAGCTATTGGTCCTGCTTACCCATCGACCTCTTCTATTTGCACCTTAGGCCAGTACTATCTCATCCTTGTGTAGTCAGAGTGTGTAGTTAATCATGGGTTCACTGCTGTGGCGGAGAAGGAGGAAGCTGAGTTTTATCCATCTCTAGACAGGTGGGTAAGCACAGATATATTGGTATATAGGCACTGTGACCATGTCTGAGGTCTCTCCTAAGGTGTGAGATGATACTGCATTCCTCCTGGCATCTGTTTCGCTCTCTTACTTCCCTTAACTGGATGACAAGGTAGGTTGAGTTTGTACCAGAAAAGCCTTCTGAACGAACGAACCTTGCCCTTTCATTACACCAGTTCTCTCGTATTTACAAGGCTCCCTCCTCTCCATCACACCCCCAATGGCACCAACTACAAAGCCTTCTTCGGCCCCATACGACCCCTCCTTTACCGATAAAGTTCTGATTCTCGTCTTCAAAGGCGTTAACTGGCTTATCCCATGGCATAAACTCCCTACATATATAGGCGTCGCCAATCTCGATGCCTATCGCAAAGAACTCCGTCACAAGAACCTCCATGACGTCTACCCCGGGCCAGATTACCAAGGGAAGTCCGGTTGCCCGCACATGGAAACCACCGAGTACCTTTCGACGCGTAACTCGGATGGCTTGTACAACGCGCTCGACCGACCGAAGATGGGATGCCTAGGAATGCGGTTTGGAAGAAATGTTCCAAGAGAGTTCACCAAGAAGCCGACGGTTGAAGAAATGTTAACGCCGAACCCTAGGCTGGTGAGCAGATCATTGTTAGCCAGGGATACGTTTAAGCCAGCAACGATTTTGAACTTGCTAGCTGCGGCGTGGATCCAGTTTCAAGTACACGATTGTAATATTCCCTCTTAATGTCCGAAGTGATACAGGCCGAAATCCCACTGACGTTAATCAAGGGTTCATGCACAATAATAGTGAAAGTGAAAATTACAATGTCCCTCTCCCCCAGGGTGACAATTGGTCTAGCTCATCAATGAAGATAGAAGCAACTCTCGCAGATACACCACTCGATAAGAAAGATCAGGAAGCTCCCGCTTATGCGAACAAGAATACGCACTGGTGGGACGGTTCTCAAATATACGGCAATACTGAAGCAAAGACGAAAGAACTCCGTGGCAACGCTAAGAACGGAAAGCTCTTAGTCGACGTCGAAAACATGGAGACGTTTCTCCCACGGGACGAAAACGGCATTCCCGTAACTGGATTCCTCGCAAACTGGTGGATCGGTCTTGAAATGATGCATACCCTTTTCGTACTTGAGCATAACGCTATATGTGATGAGCTGACCCTACACAATCCTGACTGGACTTCAGAACAGCTATTCGACACCGCTCGGCTTGTCAACTGTGCATTGATGGCAAAGATACACACCGTAGAATGGACGCCCGCTATCTTAGCCCACCCAACTCTCGACGTCGCCATGCACGCTCAATGGTGGGGAATCCTCGGGGAGAAGCTTTACAAAATGCTCGGGCGTGTCTCGAGCGGCGAGGAACTCAGCGGGATCCCTGGATCTGGCGCCGAGCAGCATGGCGCACCCTACTCCCTGACTGAAGAATTTGTCTCTGTGTACCGCCTCCACTCGCTCATTCCAGACGACATCGCATTCTTCACCGCGGAAACCGGCGCCCATAAGAAGACGTACTCAATCGCCGATGTTGCCTTCGAAAACGCGCGAAAGCCGATGCAAGACTCGAAGCTGAAATTCGAAGACCTGTTCTACTCCTTCGGAATCAACTATCCCGGGGCTGTGACTCTGAACAATACGCCCCACTTTCTACGCGACCTACATACACCCGAAGGCCGTCATATCGATCTTGCAACTGTTGATATCTTACGAGATCGTGAACGAGGTGTTCCGCGGTACAATCAATTCCGCCGGCTCTTCCATCTCAAACCCGCAACGTCGTTCCTCAACTTGGCCGGCGGGAACAAAACCGTTGCGGAGAAACTAGGCAAGATCTACGACGACGACATCGAGAAAGTCGATCTGCTAGTCGGTTGTCTTAGTGAGCCGCTGCCAAAGGGCTTCGGCTTCAGCGACACAGCGTTCCGGGTTTTCATTCTCATGGCGAGCCGGAGGTTGAAGAGTGATCGGTTCATCGCAACAGAGTGGAATGAGGATGTGTATAGTAAGGTGGGTATGAAATGGGTGCAGGATGGTGGGTTTAAAGATATTCTGGAGAGGCATTTTCCGGTGTTGAAGGCGCCGTTAAAGGGGGTGAAGAATCGTGAGTGCTATGCCCTGCCGATATGAAATTAAACGGACGACTGCTAATGAAATAAAGCGTTTGCGCCTTGGGATAAGGTTGGCAGCTCGGCGGAGTATAAGGGGAAGGAGACGAATGCTTGAAGAGTGGTGGTAGTATGTATTTGTACGATCTCTATGTGGAGATTATTGGTTGTGTTGAATAAAAAAAATTTTCTCCTCGTCGCACTTTGGAGTAAAGAACCCGTAGCAGACCCTATTTTAAACCCTGAGCCGCATTTTCAGTCCGCCTAAGCGTACCATCTAGCCATCTACACACACCCTCACTTTAGAGATAATAACTACCAATGCCGATGCCCAAATTACCAGTTCACCGGTAGCTCAGTGATTCCCACGTCCTTCTTAGGCGGCGTCCACTTGATTTCTTCGAAAGGTACCGCAAGTTTCAAATCCGGCAATCTTTGGAAGAGGGTAGCTAAGGGAGGTGTAAGTCACGTCCTTGCTTAAATCAAAGAGGCAAGGTAACGTCAAAGGGAAGTCTAATTAACTCACCAAACACAACTTCCAACTCCGCCCTCGCAAGCGGCTCAGCCACACACCGATGCTCGCCCCATCCATACCCCATTGCCTTAAACCAATCTTCGCCGCGTCCCCCTTCTTCTTTTGGCACAAACCTCATGAGGTCGAAAATCTCTGGGTCAGAGAAGATGTCTTCGTCTCGGCTGGCAGATTGCGTGGCTGCAATTATGCCGTCTCCTGCTCTGATGTCGTGCCCAGCGAGAGTGATGTCGACTTTGGCAACACGACGAGTCGCCATTGCAGATCCGGTGTGGTAACGACAAAGCTCGGATACAAATGCGGGAGAGAGTGTGGGGTTCTGCTTCAGTTTGGAAAGCTGGCTTGGGTGTTGGAGGAGTGTTACGACTCCCTGCAGGATCGTCAGTATTTTGTTACATTCAGAGCAACGAAAGTGGGTTTAAGAGCAGAGGGAGATAGTACGAGATTGATCATGTTGACCATGGTAGCATTGCCAGCAACAAGCATCAAGAACGCAATCTGCACAGCGTCGGAGCGGTCAATGTTACCAGGCTTTACTTGTTCAGTTACCAATCTGCTAATCAGGTCTTCCTCTGGCTGTTGAGTTCGCTTATCTACTAGTTTGCCGATATAATCCAGCAAGGTACTTCATAGCATATTGAGTCAGCAGGGCTTTCACTTCAGGGGCCTAAACCTACGTGTTTGCATTAGACGCCTCGGTCGCAGTTGCGCTGCCATTGCTGCGGATAGCATTTTGCTGAGTGAGGAACTCGAGGTCCTCAAACGGAACACCGAGAATTCCATAGATGATCTATTTGCAAATAGTGAGTAACTCTCTACTATATCTTCCCGAGTAATCGTACGTAAGAAGGGACTGGTAAAGCGAATTTCTCAATCAAGTCGACTGGTTTCTCGCATCCACCTTTGATCATGGCATCGAGCAATGTATCTACCGTCTTCTGGATGTGCGGACGAAGCTTCGATATAGCTTCGTACGCAAAGAGGGACTCGACCATGCTTCTAATCAAATATTAAACAAATTCGACCCTAAGTCAGTTATTTCAGAAGACTTACCTCTGCTGCATATGCTGCGGTGGATCCATGTCAACAAAAGTTGGTTTGTTCTTTGCGGCCTCCCTTCCACCAGCACTCATCTCTGGAAACCCCGGCCTAGTTCTCTCCTGTCTTGTGTTATAATTGCCTTGATAGCAACGTAGTGGAAAGTATGAGATACTTTGGAGAGTCGCTCATCTATCAAGACACTGGTGACATCCTTGTGCTTAACAATAAGCCATGGGTGAGTGCCATCCCAGAGCTCTACACGAGACACAGGTTCAGTGGCCCTCAGTCTTGCATATTCGGTGGGTGGCTCCCAAGTCTTTGGACGAGCGAACGGAAAGCTTGGTGGTGTTGCCATCACTGTAGAGTTAGAAAAGTATTTGAATAGATGAGACGGACTGTGAAGGCGAATGGGAAAATTGAAGGGAGTGACGCGCGTCAAGCTTTGCATCTCAACAGCTACGGAATCCAAAAGTGGCACTCGAATATGTTGGCTTTATGTCTTCCTCTAGACATGTGCTCAAACTTCCCACCGACCCTCATCATACGATCATTACGCTTGATCACGATGACTGAGGTCATGTACGCCAATGGCTTGCAGATTATCAAAGCAAAATGCCCGCATAGACATGGTACTCTAGTGGTGCTTGTCTTCTGCCGTAAAACCTTGCTGGTATCTACTCTAGGAAAGTTTATAGTGCCTCGTAAGGGACATGAGCAGAGAATAGACGCTGTGCTGCTTTCTAAGCGATGAGAAATGAAATTACCAATTCAACGGGAATTAGGGCATACTTTACTGGCCAATCTGAGAGCATTATGAGTCGAGTAGAGCTTTGTGGTGCGGGGAGGCAAGGTCGCACCTATTCTAGTGGACCCCTCAAAATGATGAAATGCTTATTCATGCATGCAGCGTGCAGCCAAATGTGTAATGAGCCAACCTCCTGGTTCATGTCGACTCACGATCGAATTTTGTGACAGATCATCAGACGACATTTGAGTCTAAAATAGGTACCTCTTCCGTCGCCGTGGTACTTCTCCACGCATTCTTCCTCCGGGATCTGTCGTCCCTCAAAAGATGTATGACCTGAATAGCCAACTCGCCGAATGTATCATTAGCGGCCTGCATGCATCTTGCTCCTACGTCCAATCTAGATAACTAACTTTACACAGAAACCTTCTTGTAATCCTTAGATCTTGTAGAAGTCGTTGCTGCTACAATGGAACCAAACTAGCAGTAAATTTATCACAGAAATTTGCACCCTCCCAGTATTCCCTTATATCAAACGAAAGATCTACAGATCAGGTTAGCCCTATTCAAATTCCGTCGTATACACTAACATGCTAGAAGACCAATGAAGTATTCCCTAGCCAACGATTCTGAGATCTTATTAGTCATTTTGCACCTTTATATGCGCTGGCACTAGATTCCGATGATAAATTTGTTATAACGAAGTTTAGGATAGCAGGATAAAGCAACTTAGCGTGGATTGGGTCGGCGAGCGTGAGTTTAAGGAAGAAAAATTGGAAGAGGTGGGGCGCGTTGCTCACTTTCTCATTTAACAAGTTACTAACCGTATTAGGAACACGAAACGACAATTTCTTATCGATACCTTCCCCGCAATTCCAGTTGACCTCAGCACAAGAGTTCCTATCGATGCCACCTTATTTTCCTTAGAAGGTGTTTGGAGGCACAACTCGAGCGGACTAGCCCCCAGGTCTCCTCGTTTCTCACCACTTTTCACAACACTAGATACAGTACAGAAAGATGGGTCTGGGCTTTCCTCCTTATTTCCTTATCAGCGTGCCAGCATCGAGGAAATGCATGGGCTTGGAGATGCTGTTATCATTATATCGGTAGTCTTGTCGACGGGTTTTAGTCTCTCTCCCAACTGCATTGTCGTTATGGGCTGTCGGTTGTACTTCCCTAAGCAAGTTAGAGCAACACCAGAGAATCGACCGCTATTGCACCTATCACCACCTCGTCAGAAGCGTTGAATTCCTTTCCAATAAAGCTAGATAGATATGGACGAGGAAGTGGGACCCTTTTAACTCATGGGGCTGGACAATAGTCCCTGAGTCCTCCCTCAACATCGGTAGAAGCTCTTGTTACCATGACCGAATCCACATATCCGCAGAATACCTCTAACAAGGTTAACCGCTACAAACACCAAGGTTAGAATCTTGCTATATGCTAAGACCGCTGATGTTTGTTAATTCTCATAGCCACCTATGATGTGGAAACGATCCGTTCCATCGTCAATAGCACGCCAGTCCTTCACGTGTCCTTCGTTCCCGAACCGACCATTCCCGCCCCCATTGTCCTTCCTATGATTGGCCAGTTGGGACTCTATCCTGGAGATGAATCTCGTGGCGAAGGCGATTGGAAATGCTATCTTCATGGTTACGTTAGCTCCCGTCTGATGAAGCTGGCAGACGACGCTGTGAAGCGGGGTGAGGAGGGCCTGCCCCTCTGTATCGCTGCTACAAAAGTAGACGGATTCGTGCTCACTCTGACACCAAATTCTCACAACTACAACTACAGGTCCGCTGTTCTACAGGGGTTTGCAACCATTGTCGATGACCAGGAGGAGAAGATCTGGGCCATGCAACTTATCACAAATTCAGTTGTTCCAGGTCGATATACCAACACACGAATTCCCCCAGATGGCGCTGAAATGCAGTCCACGCGCATTCTGAAGCTCAAAGTCACAGGTGCCAGCGGGAAGGTACGAGAAGGCATTCCTGAGGACGAGAGGAAAGACATGAAGAGAGAAGATGTGCTCGACGCAGTTTGGACCGGCGTAATCCCTGTGTATGAAAAGCTGGGTGAGCCCCAACCTGGCCCTTATAATAGAATCGCAAATATCCCAGAACACGTCACGAAGTTCGTCAAGGAGGAGAATGAAACTCGGGAGAAGTATGCTTTTGAAGCAGCACATAAACCTGCACCAGTCAAGAGAGAAAAGAAGAGCGAAGATAGCTAAGTGATTGAGGTGCATGGAAACTTATCCGAAGACAACGTTATTTGTGACTGACTAGTACCACGTAGAGCTGAGAATCGTTGGTCCTGTATATGCCCTATATACCATTAGACTAAGTGAGCAGAGTTTTGATCATGCCTTAATGACACAATCCCATCGCTTTCCAGTCCCAACTTTCCTCAAATTTAGGACTGAGCCGGCTCAAACACAATGCCATCCATTCTCATCAGTTCCATTCCCACGACCTTTGTACACATTTACTTTTGGGTGCTTGCAATGCTTCCTAGTAAATGCAACTCCTTGCGCAGGATCATCGTTGACAAACTTCGTTCCCCTTACGAACTCAGGTGCCTTTCCATGCTCGACCCACTCAACAATCCTCATGAGCATATTGTCGTCTGGATCGTCGCTTGCCGCAGTTCCGCCATGCTGCCCAAGGTAGTTCGTCCCAGGTCCACCGAAACAATGGCCCAGTCCACTAATGCGGAAATACCGATAGAACTCGTCCAACTCCGCATTCGAAGACCCCATAGTCTTGGCTACAAGGTCGTAGTAGCGGTCCGAGTTTCCGACGGGGAGGTATTCATCGGCCTGACCGTGGAAGTGTAGAACTTTGGCGCCGCGATCCCGGAAAGCACGCAAATCGCCATCGAAGGTTTCAACGTTGAATAGGTTCGCCTTTAGCGCTACTGCAGCGTCTTGCAGACTGAACATGGTCCGATTCCAACTCAAATTCTGGTAAATCACAAAGCGGAAATACTCTTCCAGCCAGGTTCCGGGCAATGGTCCGTACAGAGCATTGATCATTCTGACCTCATCGCCGTGTTGCTGCCCCGAAGCAATCACCTGTCCATCAACGACTACCGGCGAGAATACTTTCTCCACAGCGGATACTTGAGCTTGAGAGAGACATCCAGGCCGAGAAGTATTCTCGCAGAGGATTTTCGTTAAATTAGGCTTACATTTGCGCGTGTCTTCAAGGATGCCATCGACAGCGCCATCGAGGTGATCGCACTGGCTGAGAACTTCTTCGTGGAGAGTCTCCCAGTTCTGTGTATCAAGGAAAGTGTCACTAGAGTTATCACCCAAGGACTGGAAGGCATAGCCGAAAAACGAGATCAAGCCATTGGAAGCAATCGCTGGTGCTCCTGCTATGACACCGTCAAAGAGTTCTGGATATGACTGAACGGCTTTCCATGCTTGTCTGCCGCCGGTGGAACAACCGATGTAGTATGACTTCATGGCTTTGCACTTGTCCTTTCCATAAAACTGCGAGGTGATGTTCTTGCCCAGCACAACTCCGGTATAAAGCGACCTCCAGACGAAATCCTTCAGAACCTCGGGCTGATGGAAGAATGCGCCGCCAGATGTACCGTTGTGTCCGTTGTTTGCTCCAACGGCTGCAAAGCCAAACTTGGTTGCGTATGCTATATCTGAATACTGGATGCCTGGCGTTGGAATTAACATAGATGATTTAAAGCATAGTCATGTAACTTAGGCTCACATCCGCTAAGTCCACCATTTCCAGTAGACAAAAACCTCCCGGACCAATTCTCAGGTAGCCATGTTTCGAGGATGATAGAGCTTGAGTTTGATGTCGCGGCTTTGAGGGCTAGTCTGCAAATGTTGACCGGAAGAGATGTTGGCGAGGCGAAGAGACTGCAAGTTTCATTCGTGCCGTCAGCCGTGTGGTTTATGACCGACCCCGCTGGAAGATACTCCACAATGTTGATATGGATGTCATATTTGGCTTCAGCAGTGACTGTATGGGCGAGGTTCGCGCATTTGGACTGGAAAGTTTCAACGACACCGCTATGAACACCCAAAGGCAGTAAAGCCAAGGAGGATAGGAAAATGGATAAATGCATGGCCGTTTCTCCAACGTTAGAGCAGGTGATTGATGGGAAGAGTGTTCGAAATTCAGAATATAGACACGACGTCACTTATATTTCTACCTCATCGGCCCAATCCGACCGCCGAGTGTGCAAGTCGAAGGAGCCTTGCGCTCTGAATCCATGCCCCGACGGGACTAATGATCAACTTTTTGCAAAATAATGCCTGAGTAGTCTGCTAGCGTAGGATTTAAGCCGCTCCCCGGAGATTATCTAGTCACCGACGCCGATTCTCCAGTTCCTGGCTAGACAGATGTGGAGACGGGTGAGTTAGTAGGAGTTGAACGGCATGAAGAAATGATTTAAAGCAGGCTCTACCCCAGAAGATCGGAAAGTAGAGTGCGATATGTTCCCAGACCTAACATTTCCGACGACCAGAAACTGTGATCATTTCTACAGAGATTGCTGACCCACGATCTTGCTTGTAACAGATTGACGAATGAACAGTATCCGGAAACGAGTGGAAGCTTAGCTCTTTACAGCCCTAGGGATATTTCCATGCATGTTGCTGATAAGCTAGTCTTGATTGGGAGCCGACGTCCCTGGTCCGGGGAAACTACCCACCGTTTCCCTAAGTCTGTAGATGAATCTTCCCTCCCCCAGCCTCAGAGTCGTCGCAAGCGCAATTTCTTTTTCGCGAACAAAATCACAATCCTTTTCTGAATTCAACCTTGAAGGATCTGATTGCTGAGGCGACGCTTTCCCGCAAGATAGCTGCAATTATTGCTGGCTATGCAGTTTTCGTGCGACGCTGTTTAAGCTGGTCCGCATATAAGAGAGCACGGATAAAAAGTGACTCGCTCTATTGCCTCGACCTATCTATTTTCTTTCCTTCTCGTCTTTGTCCATATCACGTTTTTAGATTAGGGAATTTCAAGTTACCATTCTTTAGATAAGTGGTAAGAGTTATATAGCAGATATGTTTACCAAGGTTCTTGGCCGTCAAACAATATTCCAACCATTTGCAGAAGCGAAAACTCTGTACTACCGAGCATATTAAATTCTTTGTATTTTATTACCTACGATTTCCTCCATTAACCTACGCATACGTATAGCAAAATGGCCCGGCGATCGTGCTCATACCGTCCCGGTTTTTGATAGTTGGCGCATTAACGCCCAGGTTGATAGGATCGTCGAGCGTGCCGTTGGGAGTAGTGAAGTCATTCAGAACCGTAGGTCCGTAGAGTGCATATGTTCGATTTGCTGGATCCTGGTTTTGCCACACCCACCTAGGAGAGAATCGTTAGCCGCGCGATGATTCAATGCGGGATCATTTAGCAAGAGAGCTCACCAGGTGTAGTCAATCATAGCATGGTGAAGGAAGAAGGCAGGGCTGCAAAAGGTTAGAATTTTACTTTTGTGGTGCGATGGCAAGCTTACTCGCCAGGCGACGTGAAAAAGTCGCTACCAGGATCGCCTCCAACGGTGAAATGGCCCGCTCCATGAACACCCATGTATCTAAGGGATATGTAAACAGTTTGCAAATCAGGAGGGCAGGGCTAAACTTACCCAGCTGGGAAATCTCCCTGTAGGTAATACCAGAAGTCTGCAATCTTGGTGTTGTTTGTGATCAGATATGCGATATCACTGTCCTTAAGCCATTTGCTCGAGATATAGGTGGAGATGTCCCGACGCAAGCAACGGGGGTTGTAGTACCGCCCAAGCCCAGCTGGATCTGGGTTCGTCTGGTTCAGGTAGGTAACAGCTGGAAAAACTGGGCCGAGAGTTGGGGTCCAGTCTTTGAACGGGCCTTTCGTAACGCATCCACCTCCGACACCCTGAGCAATATTGATCTGGCATATGCCTGTTATTGGATCATTGATGCAAAACCCGGTATAGTTGAAGAAGTCACCATTACCGCCGACGCTGGAGTCGCTGCCATCGAACATAGGTGAATTTATGGGATCAAGCGCCGTGATGGCCCAGTTCCAATATGGCTGATACCCGGTGTATCCGCACTCATCTCTAAGAGCCTTCTCCATAGCCCAGACTAAATTCGTGTTAGCGTTGCTTCACTACGGGTCATGGTGTCTTACCGTAATATCGATGCCAAACCATGAAATTTGCCGTTGAGTGAATTGTAAAGCTTTGATTCATGTGTATAGCCACGAAGTCATCATGCCGTGATCGAACTCCAGGATACCCAAAGCTTTCTGGGGTTTTCGGAGGTTTTTTCTTGAGGCATTTCAATGCACTGATGTATGACTTCCTCTCCGCAACAGAAAGAGTGGTCCATTCCTTGCGGACTACAACATTTTGCGCAGTGCACTTCGGATTAGGGTAACCATGCCTCTTGATGTATGCCGCAAGATTTGTCCGTCCCTGCCCTCATATGAGCAATATATCATATTACCATGAGAAATGAGGTACCTTGTCTGCTAGCTTGTGAGTTTGCACAGATGTAGCCGGTGTCCATTTGGTCCTAGGGATATTGAGGGCAATAGCAAAGGAGAAAAGCAATTGAAGCTGGAAAAGGAGCTTCTTGGCTAACATGGTAAAGGAATGTAGGATATAGCGAGCAAACACGAATAGGGAAACCCGTGCCCTGCAAAATGAACGCAGTGACTGATCAGTTCAGAGTATTAGACGCGAGTGGCATTTATCCAGACGCGAAGTGGGAATACCCAGTTCTTATACTCGCGTTGCACCAGCTCGTAGCGAAACTGGTGTTCACTGACCACGATACTGCATGGGTCGTTCAACCTGGGCAGCTTTTCCGACAAGAGACGAATCAATCCGTTTATCTAAGGGGAAGAACCTCCTCTTCGAATGAAAGGAACGTGCTAGTCAGTCCCTTCCCTGTGCCACATCGCGTTTGTAAGTTCAAGCATACAATGATGCACTGGAACATGGGTTCCTCTGACCCACAGGGGGCTTGTGCTCTCGGTTCTGGGATTCCCCTTCCCCGAATCCGAGATGCATTATCTCAGCCTGGTTGAAAATGGAATTGGGCCGCGAAAGCATTGGTGGTTGTCCAACTCTTGTCATGTAGGTCCTATGTCTCACCGATGAGCCCGAGGGGTAGCTCTGGTGCGATTCCAGACAGAAGGGCAAAGGGTGTCTGGCGCGAGTTTGCAGAAGGTGTTGGCTATGCGCTCCCTGCTATCTATCTTGCTGTGAAATGTAGTATGGGCGCCGCCGCCATCAACTCTCCGCAAATCGGCCTGGAACACCGATTTATGTCGCACATATTCAGTTCGGGCAAACTCCAGACTCAAAAAGAGATTGCAGAATCCTGGAACCACAGGGCTGGATTTGAATACGAGAGATGCCCTTGCCCTCGCTTCCTCACAGTACGAAACCTGTGGGCAGGGGAAAAAGGCCCCCTCCCTCCTTCCACATAATCACTTAATCACAAGCTTGCTTATCTCGAGTAAAAGTGTTGGGCACCTTTAGACAATTTCGCAATATGAAATAAGACAAGCATGTGAAAAGATCAGCTATTCGTGCCATGAAAACAGAGTCTTCGTAACCGAGAGCGCTGCCTTCAAAATAAGGTTTGCGATGCCCCAGAATTTCTGCAGGGGTCGTGCTTCCGCTTCCCCCGATCGCGACGACGGGCAAGCCATCCAAAGCGGGCCGAACAGCACTCTTCGGTAGGACAGCCGAACGTTCTTCACACCAGAGAAGGTGAGCGTCAGTCGAGTACCTCGGTGATATCAAGAATGGGATTGTAGCTTTTGTGCCGAGCCGCTCGTCCAGCTCAATTACAACTAGCTTGGACTTGTTCAACTATAAGTTGCGATATCGCTAACATTTTACGTCATGCTGCAAAACTCCTTCTGAGCATGGAACGATACGTGGGTCAGCAGATGCACGCAGTCAGCTTACCGGATATAGGTAGCTTGCAGATGCACTACATTTCTGCGTCGCTTAGCCGCTCACGAGCGTCAAATTCTGCTTCCTACCGGAGAAGCTTCCCAAGTTTCTTAGAAAGTGAATTGAATCAGTCGATGCATGGGCAACGGGTGGCCATGTCCGAACTTTCGCGCGGCAAACGAGGATGGGGATTCTAGGTTGACAAGCGGGCGTATTATTGATTTAAGCGCCTGCGCCGAACATTCGATTTGTAGACCACCGAAGTATGATATGAGATCACTCACGCTCCCGTGACTAGTACCATGTATACAGAATGTCTGATCTGGCGCCAATTAAAGGCAGCAATATGGGGCTTTATGCTAGTATTCCTGCAATATACTTCTCGTCCGATCTTTGATTTTAACATGTTTGGAATCGAATGCCGCCCTCTCTTTCTTCTTGAGCAATAGCTTTAGTGGCTTGCAATAGCTCGTCATATTCCGTCGAGGCGACGAATCAATTAGAGAAGGGAGAGAGGCAATGGCTGCTTGTATGGAAGCCAGTTTTGAGGGACAAGAACTTCTATAGCACTTTTATGCTTCAACACTCGCACCAGCAAATAGGCCTCAGTCATTTGTTGCTCCACCTCTTCTGGTCACAACTCTTTCTCATCAAAACTGTCATAGAGGTTCAGAAGGCCTTTAGGATTGTACACTCTTTGTATATCAATCGCTTCTGTTCCTTTGCTTGGCTTCTCTGGAAACGGTTAATGGAGAGTTGCAGCTGGACTTCACGGATGTATCAGCTGCTGTAGGATGTTGATTTGCAAAATAAATGTCAGCGAATATGCATTCAACATCCGCTGAGCCTTTAAGCTGTTTGGGGGAAGGTGTGTGACTTTCTGATTGTCATCCAAAGACAACTTCAACAGCAGCACTGCTTTTGGTAGCGGGGCGTCCTTGATGTCACGTAATTTGAGGCTGCGGGTTTTCGACGACATACAATTCTCCCTGATATCGCGCCGATCCCGCAAGAGGAACCAACACGCGATGAATATATAACCCGCGATTAATTCTGCAGGTACGACGACTCCTATCTTTGCCTCGCCAAAGCTGGCATATCACTTCGAGTATATAGAAATATGCTCATTCGCGTGGCGAATATTTAGGTGAAGGGGTATAAATAAAATATAACGAAACGCTCAAACTAACTCCATTGGCAACCACACCCAAACAGGTGCCGTTTCCATTACTTAACAGATAAGTCTTCCGGCGGGGACAAAGGCAGCACAATTATTTTATTTAGCCAGAGAAGCCGCACCGGGCAGCTATAGAACCAGATAGCAATTAAATCTACTATGGATTGGACTGAGACATCATTTCTGTGAACGGAACTTTCTGAGGCCAAGCAGCTGCATTCCCCCCACGTAATTCTGTCCATGGTGTACGTCGTCCTTAGTTAGGCCCTGCACCCTTAAATGCAGGTAGGTAGTAGCTGTACCGTCTGCAATCAACGACCCAGCCAAATTGCTAGCTAGACAAAGGAGACTTAGTAATCCGCGCCCACCCGTGTAGTTAGCTTCGTCTAGTCCGTTAATAAATATGTAAGTAGGGATGAAAAACGTTTTGATAGTACTAATTAGGATACGTTCCAGTTCCAGAATCGACCAATCAGACTAGTTGACTTTGGCCGAATTAACCTACATTGGACGAATTCCGACGGAGAGATGATGATTCTGAGTGAGTAGCTCATGCAGGCAAGTGAAGAGACCATTTCGCTTCGTTAAACTGGGCAATCGGAGCTCTAAACGAATGCGGATATATCGATGGTTCGCAGGTTCGCAGGTTTCGTTGTCGGAGAAGTTTGACGGTTCTGGCGCTATGGATCAGAAATCCCAGAGCGTACTCTTGACAGTGCCTGCTTTACCACTAATCCAATAAAGACCCTGTTTAGAGCGAAGCTACTGAGCAAAATTGTTCTAGCGCACACTTAGTCCATCGTCAATTTCTTGCTATATATCCATTTGAAAGTCTCCAGATACAATTCAGCAACCGTATTCCGGCGTATATTTATGTCCTGGAATCGGAGGCTTTAAGGAAGTTTCTGATATTGAAAATCAACCAAGCCATTCCTTTGAAGTGAACACAATGTTTCATGGATGGTTTCTGCATTCTTCTTTGACCCGTCCTCCATCATGCCCCTTATACCAGACGAGATCTCTTGGAGTAATGCCCATGACTTTTCCACTATCTCCATTGTGACTTCCTAGACAGGGATAGACTCTGAACTAGCAAGTTTTTCCATTCCTAAGAACCTGGGCATAGCTCCAGAATGAAGTGCTGATATTTTGTTCAAGCTTTAAACCAGTGGATGGCCCAAAATTTCTTCAACGGAGAGTTCCTTCCTGCATCAGTGTTAGCGTGATAAAGCGAGGCAGAGGATATGATAGTAAAAGAGAATGGAAGGGTACGAAAGGTGGGGCCTGCCTTAAATATAAGAAATTTAGGTTTGTATCGTCTTCTCTAGACCGTCCAAATACCTCCTCTTCAAAGCATACATAAGCGAAGTTTCCAAACTCCTGAACATCGACTGATGCGACTGGCAGATTTCTAACTCTCTTTAAACATGGCCAGTGAGCTTAAGCAATTTCAAAGCAGTTCTAGAAATTCTCCCTTGCCGTACTGACTGTGGTTGAGGATAGTGGAAGTATCTGAGTGGGATAGGATGAATAAGTGCTTAAAGATCTTGTGTGATATTTTGGGACAGGATCTATTGTCTGTGATATTGGGAGCAGACGCGCGACTCTCGTATATCTTACAGATAGCGATAGCGTCGTAGCTGAACTGTACGACTCGCATTACGTTTTACACAACCGCGAACGCTGCAAGCAGTTCCTTGGGGAGCAGGTTGAATGTGAGGAAAATCCCTCTTGAAGAAGAGGTTTAGCTGTTGAATGGGCTCCGACAGCTAGCTGCTTATGGTATGAGCACTTAAGTAGCAAGAGTAAGAGTGGTGTACGGTGTGCACAGCGTACGAGGTAGGTAAGGTGAGGGCAACATGTTTCTGGTTCTATTGCTCTTGTCTTTCCTCCGTACGGAGGAAAAGGGGGATATCTAGATGTTCGCGCACGGAGGTTCGCGCACGAGCATCATGTGACATAGATCTATTGTGTGCAAAAATTGGGAAATTTCTTGGCGTTCCTTAGATCTTTTTTTCCCCCACTAAAATTGTATAGGAGATTAGAATCTTAATAGAATTCTTAATATATTAATAAATAATAATTAGATTAGCCTTAAGTAAGTTAAAGCCTTTAGTTTATATAAAAAAGCGCCTATACTAACTTTTTTAGAAGTAACAACGCGTTTGTTTGCAATGTATTGCGCTTATAGCGTCTCTATCCTTCCTAGCTAGCCTTAATTACCTTAATATCTTAAACTAAGCACTTAAGGGCTTAATAATTATGTTTGTATAAACATTTATTAGTTTCTCTTACTTAGATAGCCTAGAACTATAATTACTAATTATAAAAGTTATTTTTTTTATGTAGTTTATAATATAAAGAATAATTTTAAGGCTTATAGTAGTGTTTATAAGCTACCTACTATAAAGCTTAGAAGACCTTCTAAAATTAGTAATAAAGATAGTAAAGCTCTGTTTAAAAAGTTAATTTATAGTAAATAAAGATACTAGGACAAATAAGCCTATTAGCTATAGATAGAAAGAGGCGTAAAGGTTAATAGATCTATAATCTCCTGTTACCTTACCTAGCATAAATAAAGCAGGTGTACCTTATAGCCTTTCTTATAGGCTTATAATAAAGAGCTTTAAAAGCTTTACTATTACTCTTTTTATTAGTTTATGTAGGATAATTTAGTGTTTTTTAATAAGTTTATTTTTA